GACCGTTGTTGTCTCATCTATCATCGCCATTGATAAAATGGTTGTCGTTGCTGATAATATGAAAAGGGAAGTGGACATTCAAACAATAATTAATGGCTATGGCTAAAGAAAAATTGGTTGGTTCCAGAGCTTTCTTCTTTTGCTACTCTTCCAATCAGATTTTCTAAAAGTGCGTCACTCTTAATCTTTTATGTGAAACTTTCTTCGACTTTCCAGATTTCGACCGTCCGCCACTGCAGAGGATGTATTGCTGTTGAGCCACGGATCGCCGTCGTCCCTGTAAGACATCCCATAAATCCGGAAGGGTATTTAATAAAAAATAACCAAATAAAATATAAAAAAGCAAGTCATTTAATCCACAAAATCTTCACTTTATCTTCTTGGATGTCCATAATCTCAAACCCTCAAAATCCACAATATTTGCAGCAAACGGTTGTTTCCATGATATTGAACACGGTTGTGTGTGTCCAATTAGTAACACAATTAGCCGTCACATCAACATTTTTGTTGACTTTTTTAATGATAGAACCAAAATTGATTAAAATTATTTATAATGAGATTTAAATTGATATTATTTTTATTTTTATTTTTTTATATTGAGACCAAAATTGACTATTTTGATGTATATTGAAACCTATTTTGATTTTTTTTTTTTACTTACTATTTCTACATATAGGACACTCTTATCAAGTACATTCAAGATTTACAAAATAATTTTGGTCAAGTATCTTCAAAGAATCTTGTTGTTGGATATTGAGAATTTAATAATAAAGATCAAATGTTAAGGCTAAGATCATATAATTCTAGGTTCTTATTCAATAATTAGTCAAACTTGTTGCTATTGTTCACATTCATGATCAATTTGTTTTGATTTTATTTAAACTATATATGTAGTTAACTTATTTATCTTTTTTTGGTTCGTTAACATATAACAATAGTATACAATATATATATATGTATTAATAATTTAGTATTGCTAAAGGAACATTACTTATATGGATTATATAACTTGTTAAATATTAATAAATTAATTACTTTTACTATTTAGATGCACCAAATTATCAATCACCACCATCATCTTTCACACGTCATTTAGATGAGATTCGATCGACACAAAATATATTAGTTGAGACAAAAAAACACTCGAAGAAGTCTATTTCATATCGAATAAATCAATTGATAGTTTTGTATTAGTAATATTTGCATAATTAATATAGATGATCAAACAAGTTAAAGCTCAATCTCGATAGGTTATGTATATTCAAAATTTTCACATTCATTTTAGTGAAAACACGGTCTCTACTCAAAGACTGATGCAACTCCCAAGTCGGGTGAAAAATCCACCACTTTTACATGAAAAATACTTCTATCGAATTTATTAGTACAAATGAACGAGGTAATGAAAAAGAATATGATGATGAAACAAAAAATGGTTCTGAGTCGGATGCGATAATGGTTTATAATTTTATTTATTACAAACATGATAAGTTTACATTGTTTTATGTTTTCTATTTATTGCAATGAAGATTGTAGTTATGTTACGGTTTGCTTGTATGAAGTGTCATGTGACAATTTGAGACATTAATTTTATTTATGATATTGATATGCACTTATTTTGGTGAAAATATTGTGAGGAATGAATTAATCAAAATAATTAATTTATTTTGACATTAGATTTTGAAAAATAAAATATCGGATATTGCTATAATTATTTTGAAATACAATATTAATATAAATTAGTTTAGGTATTATTACGATTGTTCGATACAAATTATAGCGTCGGATATTGCTACAATTATTTTGAGATAGAATATAATGTACAATCTCGAATATTATCATGGTTGTTTGAGATGATTTCAAGACAACATATATTCTCGCAAGTTATCATGAACATTTAAAACAAAAATATAGGGTTGAATTATGTTTTATACTCCCTTCATCCACCAAATTTACTCATACTTTCATTTTTAGTATGTCCGCTAAATTTATCACATTACTAATTTCAGCAAAGTTAACAAATCAACATTTAACTATTATTCTTCATTCAATAAATCAACATTCAACAAATCAACATTCAATTATTATTTTCCATTCAACACTTATTTACATCAAATACCACTGTCTTTATTACATCATCTCTCGTACTTTTCTTTAATTTTTAACTACATTTTTTTTAAAAAAAAATCTTCAACTAATTTTTTACTTTTATCACATTTTTAGTAAAATATTCATTTTTCTTAATTTTGCATCGGAAACAAATATTCTAATTTTATCGGAACGGATGGAGTATTATGTTACTTTCTCTATAGCAATACAGTGGTACACTTTCTGTGAACAAGAGAATGTAGCAGGAATAGGAATGTGATTAGTAAATAATTAAAAATATATTAGTAAAAATAATTATAATATAAAAAATAATTATAAATTAATACTCCATTCGTCCTACTTATTGTGTCCACATTTTCATTTTCGTTTGTCTCATCTATTCCGTTATTTTTTTTTTTAAAAAAAAGAATTTTACACTTTAATCTTATTTTAAAATTTTAATTTATATACATATTTTAATTTTAATTAGACTAATTAGTTATATTAATCTTAATCTAATACATTCTTAATTATTTACTAATTATATTCCTTATAAATTCTCATGTCTACAGTATATGGGATACTGTAGCCGGGACGAAGAGAGTATTAAAATAACTGATTAGTATTATTAAAATAAAAATATATAAATTTAAAAGTTAAAATATGATTAAAATGTGTAATATTTAAAAAAAAAATAACATAAGATATGAGATGGACAAATAAAAGTTGCGATATAATACGTGAAGGGGAGAAAGTATTTTTCATAAAATGAAGTGTACTAGTGTTGAATAAATTAATTTTTATATATTTAAACTATCTATTTGTATAATATGTTAGACGCTGCTAAATACTTTCCCGTTCCATATGTACAATTACTTTAGATAGCATATTTTAGAAAGGATATAATTAATAAATAATTAAAAGTATTAGTAAAATTAATTACAATATAATATAAATAATTATAAACTAAAATTAAAATAATAGTATAATTGCAACTACAAAATTATAAAATTTAAAATGTAATTTAAAGTATGTAATTATTATTTTTATTTTTTTAAAACAAAAGACTTTAGACAAACAAAAATGAGAAATACTCGAGTGACATTACATGTGAATAAGATATTGATTTTAAATATAAAAGTTATTAGAATTAATTCACGTTGTTAGTGTTGTATTGATAAGTTTTTATTGGACAGCTTGGACTGTTATTGAAGCATTCAACTAATAAGTTAATATGAAAGGATGATTTTGTTTGTTATACACGTTGACGAATGAAAACGTGGCATCAACCAAGTCAAACCGATTCAATCGGACACCACGTAATTATAATAATAATAATAATAATAATAATAACAACAAGTTCCGTAAGAAATGGACTGTTAGTATAGGGTTGAACTTACGATCATGAAATCATAAAAAAAATAATAATAACAACAAAGTCAAAGACATTGATTACACAATAACATTTTACTCTCATTTGATACTGGTTATTTTTTAAAAATTATTACGTTAAATACATTTTTTTTAAAAAATTAATTTAAAATTCTAATAATTTTGAAAAATTCATGTTTAGACAGAGCCTAGTGGTTCATACAGACACATGAGATGTAAGAATCAAAAGTTAATTTTTATTATTATTATTATTATTATTATTATTATTACTACACATCAGTCTCATAAGAAGATATTCTTTCTGTCCCACCGAAATTGAATAATTTGATTAGGAATACAGTATTTAAGGTAAGGATATTTAATTAGTTAATAATAATTAGTTATGATATTATTTTTTATATAATTAATAATATTTATAGTTTGAGAGTAAATTTAATATATATTATTAAAAAAATCAAAATATATGTTTAAATATTTAAAAATTATATAGCAATAAAAAATATATGTAATATGGATATCATTTTGTAGAGAATAAAATTTTCTATAATACAAGTAAATAAAAAAATATTTTTGTTTATTTATAATTAATATAAATCAATTTTATAAAATATGTGTAGTTTTAAATATAGATAAAAATATTTATTTTTATGATACTAGAGATAGAAATCAAGGGGTTTTGAGTGGATCCTACGCCATTTATGATATTATATGTTATATAGTTAATTAAGTTGATTTATATTTATTAAATATGTTTATATTAATAATTTTTACCAAAAATAAAAATGTTACGGGACATACAAAAATAGAAATTGTGTCAATAGTGGTGGGACAGAGGAAATACTATTTATTATTTTTATTCATCCCAAAACAAATGTGTTATTTTTTAATTTAGTAATTATAGTACCTACTTAATATAATTAATACTCTTACAATTTTCAATGTATTACAAAAATGTTATTATTACACAATCTAATAAGGGTATTTTTTTAATTTTTTATTATAAATTAATATATTAATATTAAAAAATATACTTAAAAAAATAAATTATGCTGATTTTACGAAAGTGAAGTATTATTATTATTATTATTATTAGTAATAATTAAACAAAAAAGATAAATAAATAATAGTAGTAGTAATAATAATAATAATATAATAATTGAAAATGTCAACGGCAGGATGTGGGATCTCCTTCGGGGCTGGACTTCAACACCAGAAACAGTCAGTGGTTTCGAATTGTTGTGGAGCTGAAGTCCAGGGAGCTCTAATGATTTTCCAATTGGGCGGAGGCGGAGGAGAATAAAAAGAAAAAAAAAAAAAACTCGTGCTTTTAATAATTGACCAAACAGAAATTTAAAAATCGTGTTTTTCAACCCCTGATGGGTTGCAACCCCTTTGACGCTATCAACAGATCTTATTAATTTTTTCTGTCCACGTGGACACACACACCTAATCTAGTACAGCATATATATATATATATATATCTTTAATTCCATGCAGATTCTGTCATGCAATCTGTAGTGGAAATTCCTTATTAATTACTTAGAGAATATATCTGAATTTATTATGGATTTCGAACAGTACGAGGATTTCGAACCTTCATCGTCCTCTCCGAAGAAGCAACGGTCGGGGCGGACGCGCCACCCGCACTACCGGAGCGTGCGGCGGCGGAGCAACGGCAAGTGGGTGTGCGAGGTGCGTGAGCCTCACGCAAGGTCGCGGATATGGCTGGGGACCTTCCCCACGCCGGAGATGGCCGCCGTCGCACACGACGTCGCAATCCTGACGCTCCACGGCGACGGCGCGTCGCACCTTAATTTCCCCGAATTGGCCCACTTCCTCCCACGCGCCGCGTCCTGCTCGACCACCGACATCCAGCGCGCCGCCCAGCAGGCGGCGCGTGATTTCACTCCCCCGGCGGCAGAGGCTAGCAATTTGTTTGAGACAATGGAAGGTAATATTAATGTTGAATCCCGGTCCGGGTCCGGGTCTGGGTCCGGCGGTGGGTATTTGGATGAGGAGGCGGTGTTCAACTTGCCGGCGCTGATTGACGGCATGGCGGAGGGAATGCTTCTGACGCCGCCGGCGTTGAAAAACGGCTTCAACTGGAATGATTGTAATGCAGACCACGACGCTCATGACGTCAATCTTTGGAATTTCTAGCTTAATTAATTAATTCGCTATTTTCAAAATAATAATAATAATACTAATAAAGTGGGTGTAATTCTATTTTAATTAGGATGTTTTTCAAAAATTTTGGAAATAATAAAAAATTGAGTATTATAGATGATGGTTTGTGAATGTATATATATACATATTTTTGTTACAATAGAAAATAGTATATTTTTTAATATCATTCTTATATTTTATTTAAAAATATTTATTTTAAATTATGTAATTAATAAAAGCAATCAATCATATATGTTGTTATCAAAATACTTTTTTTGTTCTTCAATATCATTTTTCAACTTTAATTCTCTTAAAATAATAAAAAAATATTTTATATTTTATACAAAGTCAAAAGTCAAAATACTCATTCTAAAACAAATCAAAAAGTTATTACAAAAAGTCAAAAAAATTAAATATTCAATCTAAAATTATAAATATTTTATATTTTTGACACAATTCCCCGTATCACGCACAAAAAATTATTTCATCAAAAAATGATGTGTGAACCGAGCCCCTTATAATTTTTGTATAAATTATAAACATACTATTACACGTGTATATATATATAGAGTATAAGAAAAAAAATATCAATATCATCTTATACGCTGAACGGAGGAAATATATATTTAATGTAATACTTTTAACATAATTACTCTTAACATGAAACGTCATTTTTTATTTTTCGATGACGTGGGAACCCGCAGTCGCTACTCGAAAATGCACATTGGGTAAACCCAGCCGAACCTAATATTTTGAACCCATGACGTGATGGTCACAAGTCCAACCCCAAATTAATTTGTATTATTGATAAATTAATATTTGTTTGTATTATGTAAAATTTTATTCCCTAAAAATAAATTATATATTGATTATATTTTTCTTAAGTTATTTATAAATTTCAACTTAATTTATTTTTAATCAAATATATAAATTAGTATTTTATTTTCAAAAAATATATTATATAATCATTACAATTCAAAACCATCATAACAATCAACAAAACTTAATTGTTTTGTCAAAAAAAAAAAAAAACATTTCATTAAAAAAATTAGTATATTACACGCGATCATTATTTTTATATTATATACAATCCACTTATTTTGATCGTGATTTAAACAAATTTTAAAATATATATTTACTAGATATAGACTTACCTAACACCAATGAGTTTCATCATCGTCTTTTGTCCCTTGTTGCATCTACAAACAAACGTTAACGCAGAAAAAAATATATCACACATCGAACAAATGAGTCCTAATATGCATCTAGATAAATCACATAGCAAACTATCACATAGTATATACAAATACTACAAAAATAAATATACAAACAAGTTTAAACAAATTTACCACAGTGAACCTCAAGATTCTAAACGAACATACAATTACTACACAATCCAACAAAACACATGCATATACACAAAAGAAAGCAATCACATGCCAATACAAACAACTTAGAATCACAAAATATGATGTTCATCTTATTTGATATCAACTAGACAACGCATAGGCACAAAAAAAAACGTAAACACATAACTCTATACCTTGTAACACAACTATACAACACAAACACACAACTCTCAAGTTTAGACATACTACTTTACAGCTAGACACACTACTTTACAGCTTAAATACACTACTCTACAGCTTAGACACACTGCTTTATAACTCAAATACACTAATTTACAACTTAAACACACTACTCTATAGTTTAGACATACTATTCTACAGCTTAAGTACACGACCCTACAATTCAAACGTACAGTCTTACAATCCAAGCACGGAATCCTACAACCTAACTATAAAGTCCTATAACCTAAGTGCAAAGTTCTACAGATTAAGCACAAAGCCATACAACCTAAACATAAAATACTACAACTTAAACACAAAATTCTACAACCTAACATTAGGTCCTACTATCTAAGCATAAAATCCTACAGTTTAAGCACAAAGCCATACAACCTAAACATAAAATACTACAACTTAAACACAAAATTCTACAACCTAACATTAGGTCCTACTACCTAAGCATAAAATCCTACAGTTTAAGCATAAATATTTACGGTCTAAGCGCAAAAGTTACAGGCGCGAAAATCACAAATCAATTAAGGAGACAACATGCTTTAATCAAACAAAAATAATTAGTTCATAAAAAAAAATGCAATCCAAGTAACAAGCATGATCACTAAATATCAACACTAATTTCTATCACATAAAACACTTAAGGATCACATAACAAGACAATCCGCATAATATGATCATATTAGGAAGTCATTTCACGTAATGTAAACTAAACAATCAAAATACAAAAGTATAGGAAATACATGCGACTCATGACATAGCAAACACGAAAAAATGTATTACAATGTTTCTATAATTAGTTTTATTTTAGCATCTAATGCTTATTTTAAAAAAAAAATCATTTTTTCAAGAAATATGCAATTTGCTTTTTACACTTTGGTATTTTATTATTCACAAAGAACCTACTAAGTAAAAGTAAACCAATCACATAACATACAAAATAAGAATAAAAAATTAATACACGCATTTTCACCAAAAAATAACATAATGCAAACAAAATTATTTTTTTTCTTGATAATCCCCCAATTTACAATTCTTTTTATGCATTTTCACAAATAATATTTTCTATCTCACATGAAAATATCAACATACATCTAACAATTTACTATAAGCCTATAACAACTCAAATTCTCAAAACTAATACAAATATATTCCAAGAAACTACACAGTTAAAAATAACTAAGGAATCAAAAATAATTTCCAAAAATTTTCACCAAATATAACAAAGAAATATATGAAATTACGACAGATTTCAATATTATTCAACTAATCTCCAAGAAATGCATAGTCAATTAAATATCAATAAATTTTAGCATATCATTAACTACAATTTCACAAAAACTATAATATACCGAAAAATTAAAGAGATGATAGTTTAGCCTTTTACCATGGATCGAATCCTAACAAACTCGAACAAAAAAATTATTTGAATTTTGGAATAAATTTTCGGGGTCTGATATTATTGTTGTGAATTTATGACCTGGATCGATTGGATTATTTGAACAAAATCTCGTAACAAAAGATGAAAAAAATACATAGGTGAATATATTATTCTAATATGTAAGGCTCCGGTTAGAAAGAATATTTTGAAGTTTTGAAAATTTTTAACAATAAAAATTTATTAAATTAAATTTATTATTTTAAAATATATATTGATATCCATCTATAGTGTTAATATTATAGTTTATATGCGTTTCATATCTCATTAATTTAATTATATTTTAAATTTTATAATTTATAATTTATAATTTTAATTAAAAAATTAATTATTTTAATCTTAATATATAATTATTTGTATTATTGTTTAATTATTTACTATTTATATTCTTTCTAAATTATTGTCTATATATATAATAATTATGATAAGTGCAGAGGAAATATAAAAGTTTAATTTATTTTAATTTTTTTGTAGAAACAACTACAAACAAGTGCATATATATTTGGTGTGTTTGTTTGGAAAATTCTCCTCCAAATACATTATTCATTCAATTTTTTCTTCTAAAAAAATATTAAATCAAACACTTATTTTTTATTTTCTGTATTATACTAAAAATTAATTTTACATTCAAAACATCACATCAATACTTATTTATATCATATTATACAACTATTTAAATTCAAAATTTTTACTATTTAAATCCCAACTCAAAATTCAAACCCAAAAAAACAGACACCCTTAAAAGCTCTCTCCGTAAAGAAGCAACACATGTATGATTATGATGACAAGAACATGAAAATTTTACAATAGTTCATAATTCCACAAGAAAAAGAAAAATAAAATAAAATAAAATCAGAAATGTAATGTCAAATCATTTTACAAGAAAAAAACCAATCCACACACAATTACTTGAATCTGACAATTGGTAAGCAAACATACAATTAGAAACAGACAATCTTATATATATATATATATATATATTTGTTTCCAGGTCAGCGAAGGGCGTCGATGCTCTTGCAAAGCTCCTCCAATTTCTTCAATCTCAACTTCTCACTCTCACTCACTAACTGCAATACACACACATATACATATTATCATAATTACAATAATTAATTGTCCAAATAATAATAATAATTATTTAGATATGGATAAATAAGTGTAGGACCTCGATGAGCTTGGCGACGAGGAGACCCTTCTCTCTGTTCCTCTCATTAAATGCTTCAAGCACTTCTTTATACTCTCTTTCCTGTCATTATTATTATCATTTATTAATTAATTAATGCACAAGGAGTATTGTACCAGGTACCTTCTTCTGGCAGGTGATCCCCAAGGGCTTCAAGTCCCGATTGATGAGATCGATCCTTTTACGAATCATTCCCACTTCCTTCCTCATCGGATCATTCAAACCTTCCAGCTCCTACTACACGTAAAAATAATAATAATAATCATAATAAAATATTTTTATATTTTAAAAATTGCAAAACATTTCTTTATACTTTAAAAAATATTGCATGAAACATCTCTACCATTATGAAACATCCCTTGTGTGACGATAAGAATATGATTTCCTATTTATCTGTTTTGTATGACGGAAGATTTTATGCAATATTTTCGAAAGTACAAGGGGTATCATATATTTTTTTAAACTAAAATGAAAATTTACACTAAATTTTGAAACTACGTAGGAGTTTCATTTAATATTTTTTAAAGTATAAAACTTTCATTGTGTTATGAGAAGATAATTTTCTATCTATATCTTTTACATGACGGAAGATTTTATATTTTTTAAAGTATAAGGGGTGTCATTCAATTTTTTAAAGTAAAATAGAAATTTAGACTGAATTTTGAAATTAGAGAAATATTTCATATAATATTTTTTAAAGTATAAAAAAACACGATACAATTTTTAAAATAAAAAATTATTTACGTTGAATTTCGAAACCACAAAAAAATTATGAACAATTTTACATAAGAATAATTTAAAAAGAAAAGTAAGTATAAATTTGAATACCTCGCGGATTTCGGCGAGGCGTTTGGTCTCCTCCTCAACGCGGCCCAACTGCTCCTGGACTTTCTCCCGGACGGCCATTTTCCGGCGCTCGATCTCCTCCTCCTTTGCTCGGAACGCCGCCAGCGCCGACCGCGTCATTTCCTCGTCCCTATCGCCGCCGCCATCAATTATATTCAAATTCATTAGCGGGCTCCCCACCACCATCCCGGAGGAGGACTTCTTCATCGCCGCCGCCGCCGATTCTTGTTGCGGCGGTGATGGCTCCTGCTGCTGCCTCTGCGTCGTCATTTTTCAAGAAAATTAATTTAATTTATCTTTCTTAATCAATTCTTATTACCTTACGAATGAATGAGAGTGCTTTTAAAGATGCTCTGGCTGAGAATTTTGCTTTCGATGGCGACGTGGAATGACCGAATTGCCCCTCTCCCCCCCTCTTTCTTACATTATTCTGGTGGAGATACTGTTGTCTTAAGTAGGTATGCTGACAAAATTGAGCTAACTACTCAAATAATACGATCAAACTGGCTACTAATACTAACTCTATATATACATACATATTTACAATGAGTATTACTTTAATTTAATTTAATTTAATTTGTTGAAGGGTCTCTATACATTGGTAAAATTTAAATAAAATAATTTTGTCTTCTTAGAGAGGTGCTTAGTGTGGAAGCTTTCTTGACTGGACAATAAGAGTTCACCTAATAATTAGAGACAAAAAACATTGAAAGCCTTAGGTGCCAAGACAAAGTAGCTAGGAGCCAAGTACCATGTTATCTTCATCTAGCTAGCTAGTGTAGTGTAACGTTCTTGGGAGGTCCTGGACTTGGAGACCAGAACGATGCACGCCATTGATGATTACCCGGTGGACGGTGGCCGTTGATCTGGACTCGGAATCCAGCCATGAATATAATAGAGAGATGTCCACATGAAGCTTCGTAAACTTTGGAAATTTTTTGTTTTGTTACTTTATTGTGTGTTTTTTTTTTTTTTTTCTTTAATTTAATTTAATTTTTTTGGGGGGTTAAAATGGGTTGGGGAGTTTGGGGTTAAATAGTTGAAAGGGGGACATGAATTTGAAGATTTAAAATGAGTGAATATATATATATATGTGTATGTATTCATCTTTCTTAATCTTTCTTTCTTTCTTTTGTCTTTGGGTGCTTTAAGGATTCTTTGATTGTATATAATAATGTAATGAATACATGCAAATGCAATAATATATGTTGATGATGAGAAATAAGTGTAGAGAGATATGTTGCGTAAAGCAGATGTATCACCATCATCATAATTAATTACTCCCTCCGTCCCATGTAATATGGATGTATTACTGTAGACACGAGAATTTAGGTAAAGTATAATTAGTAAATAATTAAGAAGTGTATTAGTAAAAATAATTATAGATTAAGATTAAGATAAGTAAATAGTTTAACTAAAATTAAGAAACTTATAAAATTTAAAATTTAAAATGCGATTAAAGTATATAATTATATTTTCAAAAATAAAAAGGACAAGTTATGTAGGACAGACAAAAATAGAAAATAGGAATAAATTATATGGGACGGAGGGAGTAATATACTTGCTGTGTCATCTAAAATTATATTCAACAAAAATGGTATTTTTTAACTAAAAAAAATAAAACACAAATATTTTTTAATGACAATAAAAATAGATATAAATTCAGATGGCAAGCTATATATATATATATATATATATATAAATGATTTGTAGTTCATGTGGTGTGGCATTTTAATTAATTTGCAACCGGCAGATTGTCCACAAAGAAATTCACTTTTTATCTTTTTGTTTCCTCGGCTTCTATTTTATGTTTGATCTTTCCTTTTAGATGTTACTTTAGATGAAATGATATTTCATTTGATATTTAGAATAAAGATTGAATGTTTGATTCGATAATTTTAACTTTGAAGGTCTTTACTTAGTATTTTAAAGATATATAATTTTCAAAAAAATATTATTCAAAAATATATATATACATATAAAAATAAAAATACACAAAATATCATTTTTATATATTTGATATTTTCATATTTTTTTATACTTTAAAATAAAATCTTCATATCTCATATGATTTGGAAACATCGAGATTCGAACTCATAACCTCATATTTTAGAATCAATTAAAGTATAAAATTCTAAAATAAATTTAACATGGAAAATTTAAAATAATGTTAAAAAAGTAGAATTAAATTACAAAATAATAACGGTGATTTATTGTTTGCGATTTAAATATACAAACCAAAAAAATAAAAACACCCAATTTGTGTTTATATATAAACTATAATGAGAAATACAACAAAAAGTATTTTGTATTTTTTTTTCTTTAATATTGGAATCCACAGCCGCTGTTTGACGAACGGTCACAAGTTTATTTGACACCACAAGGTTATCCGTTACGGAATTAGAATTCTCTTGTGTGTGTGTGTGAATATAGGGTATGTTTCTTAATACAAATATCTGAAATTTTATTGCTTAAATTTTGTATTTTTTGAAAAAAAAAAATTATAAAATTTTATATCAAATTTAAATCAAATTTTCATACACTTTTACCAAAAAAACATATCATATTTTTTTATATTCATTATTTGTATTTTATTCCGAAAATATTCTATGCATCACTTTTTTCTTACAAATTATTATATAAAATAATTGTTTTTTTTTAAAAAGTCAAAACTAGATACATATATATAAATCTATATAAATGCAAAAGAAACATACTATTTTTTTTAAGGCAAAATAGCATACCCTCTCTATCAGTAAATTTTATGAAATTTTTAATCCATGAAATTTTCAACAAATTTGAAAAATTACATGAAAATTTTAGAGATTAGAAATTAAAATTTTCTTTTTAATATATATATCCAACTAAATATATTAAAATTTTCTATTATGTTAATAATATATTTTAAATAATTTATTATTTAATTTTAGTTATTATATAATTTAATTTATATTAAATATAATTATATAAAAAATTTGTTGGGGGGTTTTCACTATATATAATAAAATTTTAAACTAAATAATTTTATATCTTTAGAAAATGTTTTTAAATAATAAAAAATCTCAAAACTAAAAATACAATCATAAATATACAAAAATAAATATTACAGTACTATATTATTATTAATTCTATATCACTAATAATAATAAATTAAAATAATTTTATTAAATTCCTCATACCCTAATTTATCCCGATTGCAGACCTGCAGGTAAATTCGGCTGACCTTATTGATTCTTCTCCTTTCTTATTCTTTACATTCTTCTTCTTCCCCTATTCTTTTTCTTTCTCCCCATCCCTTTTTTTATAAATAAATATATATATATATATGTATATATATATATTTTTTTTATCTAAGAACCATCCAGCACTCTCATCACCAATTTTCCAAAACACTGTATAAAGGATTTGTTTGTTTGTTTTGGATTTGAAATTATTTTATTTAAAATTTTGATTTAAATAATATTTGTTAAAAACAATAAAATTTAATACTAGCATAAATTTTAAATTTAAAATATAAAATAAATACATCCAAAAATATATTATGGGCTATATTTAAAATAGACGTTATCCTACAGTTGGTTGTTGCCTAGTGGCGTGCAATCTTCACACGTTTTTAGTTCAATAATTTGGTAAGCTTACAACTACACCTGGCTCTCCACGTATCACTAAAGTCGTGTTTCTCACGGAGAATAACTGTGCGCCCAATCCGTACTCGGCAGCTCCGCTCTCGGTTTCCCGGCGCCGCTGCACTGCACTTCTCGATTCCATCGTAGCTCCCCACAATTGCTCTGAAATCGCCCTCCCTCGTATTCTCCCAAAGGGCACAGTTACTTGCAGGATTCAAGTAAGTTGATGAAACTTCAAGATTTTTTATATTACCGTTTTATTGTGTCCATTGAATATTCGATAGCGAGAGTGATCCGGGGAAGAGAATCGGTATTTGTTATTTTTGCAAGTTATTAATTGACGAATCCGTAAATATACCTTTTGTTGCGGGAATGGAATAAGTTCGGCTGAGTTTTGGAGGTTTGGTATGTTGCTCCTGTTTCGGAAAAAAAAGCTTGTTATATGCTTATATTAGGTATTTGTTTTCCCCTAGTTAAGGTTTGTTTGGATTGGGTGCTTTGGAGATTATGAGGAACGAAAAGAATTATCAAAATGAGAAAAAACTCTCTAGCGTGTTGGATTATCACGAAATTAAAGAGAGGTATGGTGAGCAGAAAAGGAATGTGTTATGTCAGATGTCAATATTGTTTTGAGGAAGATGATTTTCTCCTCTAATGCCATGTTTGCTAATCTACGTTTAGTGTTTGCTTTAAGTAAATGAATTTCAAAAGCCCTAGGGTTTTGGTTTGTTTTTTCTTCTCACCGTTCCTAATGTTAGATTGGGCCTTCTTTCATAGCCATGCATGATTCATTTTCCAATCCATTTCTGACATGCGTGATTGGTTTTGATGCTCTGGGGAGCTAATTCTGTGTCTCATCATATAAGTAAATTTGTATGGGTTATTTGTGAATTATCATCATGGTTACAATTTTGATTTGGATTTTTGTGGTTGTGCAGAAACATCATACATAACAACGAGGACCCTAAAGAATTGCTCTGTAGTTTATATGGCTGCTTCAGAGGCAGCTCTACAAGTTATCTCTGGGGCAGTGCCATGTCAAATTTACACAAACTTGAGATCCACAGCACGTCTTTCCTTTAAAAAAAGTGTCAAGGTCCATAATGAGGGAAATAGTGGCAGCATATTTCTAACTGGTCAGGTGTTGCTTCAAAATTATGCAGGACAACTTGTAATTAGAGATAAATCCAGTTTTACTGGAAAGGGACAAAACAGACAGTCAAAATTTTCACTTTGTAATTGCGTTGGGGCTGAAAGTGTTCGGGGCTCTTTTATTGAGGATGGACATACAAATGGTTCACGGAGCTTTGATGCAAAACAACAGTTGAAATATGACAAAGAAGGCTTACTGTCCAGTAATGAATCAGCCTTGGAAACAGCACCTGGCCAGGTGTTTAGTGAAATTAATGTAAATTCTTTGGAGGATGAAGCATGGGATTTTCTGCGAGCATCTGTTGTATATTATTGTGGTAATCCAGTTGGAACTATTGCTGCTAATGATCCGAGTGACCCAAACACTCTCAACTATGATCAAGTGTTTATACGTGATTTTATTCCTTCTGCTATTGCTTTCCTGTTGAAGGGAGAATATGAAATTGTTAGGAACTTTATCTTGCACACTCTTCAGCTGCAGGTAATGTATTAGACACCATTGAATACTAATTTGTAATGCCACATGCTTATTTTTATCATTCAAGCATTTCGACGTCCAATTTATTTTCCACTATCCTAAATTGGATAGCTTTATCTAGCTATTCAATTCAGTCTCTCTTTTTTTCCCCGTATGCCATATCTATGCATGGAGCATGCTTTTTTATCAATCATCAATATTCTGCAGGGCTGTTGGCATGTTACAAAATTTTCTTATCTTTCCGTAATATGTCCTTCTATGGTCAAGGAAATGATGAAAAACACAGTTATTACCAATTTTAAAACATCACAAAAATATGTTGCTATTGTGCAGTTTTTCTTTTTCATTCTTCATGCACTGCTCTGATGTTTCCAATAGCTTGTATCTTAATGGTAGTGTGTGGTGTTAATGACAAAGCTAAAAATATTATTTCATATTAGATAGATATCTAGATGAGGTAACAAAAGTTCTTCTCCTTTTATTAAGTCTTACTTCTGTGGGTCTAGAGTTGGGAGAAAACCATGGATTGTCATAGCCCTGGACAAGGACTTATGCCAGCAAGTTTCAAAGTGCGTGTGGTTCCCCTAGAGGGCAATGATTCTGCAACTGAGGAGATCTTAGATCCTGACTTTGGTGAGGCTGCTATTGGTCGGGTTGCACCAGTTGATTCTGGTTAGTCAATTCTTCTGAAAATATTAGAATTTGTGATTGAGATCAGTCATAACATGTATTTGGTTGTCAGGTTTGTGGTGGATCATCTTACTTCGTGCATATGGAAAATGCACTGGAGACCTTTCTGTTCAGGAGAGAATTGATGTACAGACTGGAATGAAAATGATTTTGAAGCTTTGCTTAGCAGATGGTTTTGATATGTTTCCAACTTTATTGGTAACAGATGGATCATGCATGATAGATCGCCGGATGGGCATCCATGGCCACCCACTTGAAATCCAGGTATCTTTTTATTTCTCTTAAGCGTGTTTGTCAGTAGATTTAAGCATTCTCTTATTCTGGACCCTTAGCACTAATCCCTCCTTCCATTTCCTGGATTATCTTGTCTAGAAAATTTTCCTTTTGGTTAAGAGGTATTTTTCCTCTGCATATCATTCATAATGAACCATGGAATGAATATAAGCTCCTATGTTTAATCTTATCCAATGAATTAATGACCGTATCTTCTTCAAGATTCAAGAATGACAAAGCGAACAGTTTCTGGATGATGATCCTTGCTAGTAGAAAGGGTCTGTTATAAAAGTCACTAATCACTATATGTACATTATTCTTTAGGAGCTGCAAGCTAAAGGAATATATTTGGTTTGTGCAGGCATTATTTTATTCAGCTCTGCTTTGTGCACGTGAAATGCTTACTCCTGAGGAATCCTCGGCTGACCTTATAACAGCGCTTAACAATCGATTGGTCTCTCTATCAATTCACATTCGAGAATACTACTGGATTGACATGAAGAAGTTGAATGAAATTTATCGATACAAAACAGAGGAGTACTCTTTTGATGCAGTTAACAAATTCAACATTTACCCTGATCAAATCCCTCCGTGGCTTGTGGAATGGATGCCTAGCAAAGGAGGCTATCTTATTGGAAATTTACAGCCAGCACACATGGACTTCCGGTTCTTTTCACTGGGAAATTTATGGGCTATAGTATGTAGTCTTGCAACCACAGAGCAATCAAATGCAATATTGGATCTTCTTGAGGCAAAATGGTCTGATCTAATAGCTTCCATGCCAATGAAACTTTGTTACCCTGCTCTTGAGGGCCAGGAGTGGCGGATAATCACAGGCAGTGATCCAAAAAATACGTAATATTTCTATCAGTGAATTTTTGTTGCTTCGTTTGTTGAGTTTATGGATTTCAAACTACTGAAATATTCCATCCTTCTCATGCAGCCCTTGGTCTTATCACAATGGAGGTTCGTGGCCAACTTTGCTGTGGCAGGTAAATTTATTTACTGTAATTTCTGATAGTATTTTCTGGTTCTTGTTTAGCATTTAATTATGGGCACATCTGTCATGTCTATGATTGAGAAACGAACTTTGATATCCTGCACAAATATCGCCAAACAATGAGTTATTTTTCAGATACTACAATTGAATCTCACAATTACACCTCTCTGGTCTGGTGCTATTTGAGTAATATACGCCTAGACTTCCCTTGATCCAGTGGCATTTGTGGAACTGATTGTATTCTTACTCCATATCTTTTCCTTCTGATTTCTCTGTCATATATATGTAGTGTCCTGTTTCATGTTATGAACATTCGTACTATTCAAGGAAAGCTTAGTTTTCTAAGAACCTTACCCAGCTGGACATTGAAAGAGCAACTTATTCTCAATCACAAGCTGATGCACTTAGCTACTAGTTTTTAGTTATGTATTTCGCTTATACTGTCAGAAAATCCCTTTTATTCCTATTATGTAGTCTTGAGTCTCCTACTGAAATTTAATTTACATGGTTAATATATGCCCTCTTTCAGCTGACCGTGGCATGCATAAAGATGAATAGGCTGGAGATTGCAGAAAATGCAATCAGGGTTGCTGAACAACGGTTGTCTAGAGACAAGTGGCCTGAATACTACGACACTAAAGGAGCAAGATTTGTAGGGAAGCAGGCGCATCTCTTTCAAACTTGGTCTATCGCCGGATATCTAGTTGCTAAACTTCTTACCAAGAACCCAGGTGCGGCAAATATGTTGATTAATGTTGAGGACGCAGCGCTTCTCAATGTCTTTTCCTGCACCCTCAATGCCAATCCAAGGGGAAAACGTCCCCGTAAAGGGCCAAAAAAGAGTTTTATCATATGAAGAGGGCACATTTTGAGCATGAAATTCTGCTAGCATTTATGAGTGCAACAAAATGCTCCCTTGATCACCCATTTCCAGGCCTTACTCCAAGATATGACAGTCAAATAGTTGAATCTCCTGCAAAGTTCTGCTGTATATTCGGTTGGAGGTCACACAAGTAAATCTTATTACGAGATGCGGATATGGACCCCCTATTCTTTTTTATTTCATCACATGCCTGTTTTCACACTCTTCTATCAAATGTGAAGCAAGCCAGTGTATGTAATGCTCTGTGTAGGTAATTTAAACAGGATCATGTTGAATAAGGTGTTTTGTTGGCGGACTACATGTAATATTTCAGTGCAGTAATGTAAGTTGTATTACACTCTTGCTTGTTAGACAGGGGCTTTGAGAAGAACAATGTTATGAAAGAATTGGGCACATTCAGCAGGGCTGCTGCAAAAATGAATTTGATGTGTAAAGCAGAACTTATCCAGTTGCATACTTTATTAACTATAACTAGCTTGTTTGATGATGCGTAACAGATCACAGAAGGACCAGTCGCATTGTTGGAACTACAGGAATTCATCCTTTTCATATTAGAAGCTGCGTAGCTAAGGTACAATCTTGCTTTCTATCCATGGTCCCAACGATATATTCCTTGATAACATTCTCATTGTGACATTTCCTATGTGCTTTTAATACACATTTACGCTATCCTATGTATGTATGTATATAGATAGATAGATATCACTTACAAGAAAAGGCAAGTTAGGTAGGAGGCAGATACTAACGAGCCTACTTGTGTTCCACATGATTTTGCTAGAACATCTCAAATTCAACATCATCTGATGTGTGTTCATATTCTAGGGGAAACTTGATTGATTTGTTTTGAAAATTTGTGTCAGGTATAACATTTCCCAAATCAAACGACCTGGGCACTTCAGGAGGTGTCTCACATCTTATCAAAGCCCAGTTCAGGCCATCGAAGAAAGGGTGTTGCTTGATCTCAGCAGCTCCCTTTGATGATCCAAGCCTATTTTCGGGCTCTTTCTTCAACAACCTTCTGATCAAATCCCGAGCATGAGAACTAACAATTGGGCATTGAGGAAAGTTAAGGCACTGGGACACCACATTGGATACAGTTTCCTCGTTGTTTGATCCTTTGAAGGGTGTCTTACCATATAAAAGCTCGTATAGGAAGATTCCAAATGTCCACCAATCAACAGCACTACCATGACCTTCTCCTCTGATGATCTCGGGAGCAAGGTACTCATGTGTGCCGACAAAGGAGTTGGATCGAACACCTGTAGGCTCAACTACAAGCTGTGGCAGTGGAATAACCTGAATTGGGAGTTCAGACTTAAGCTTACCTGTTTTGGCTGCTGCAGACAAGAACCTGGTTGTGAAGCAGGAAAGTTGCCATGATGGTTGAAGGCAGAGAGGATCTATGCAGCTAGAAGCCGAGCATGGACTAGAGGCCCTCTTTGGCGGCTCAGAAACAGGGGAGGGTGTCTCGAGAAGCACAGGCTTTACTGAACATCTGAGGGACAAATCGAAATCTGAGAGCATAATGTGGCCATCTTCCCTTACCAAAACGTTCTCAGGCTTCAAGTCTCGATACACCACCCCAAGCATGTGAAGGTATTCAAGCGCAAGAAGAACTTCAGCAACATAAAATCTGCACATCAAAGTAACGATATAAACTGTAAGTAAGACAACTTAGCACCTTTAGCAGAACTTTTTCATATTTTGATCGAATATTTACACAGTATTGCAGCTTATCAGACTGTGTTAGGAAATGTCTTTTGATATAACTTGCCTGGCTGCTTTGTCAGGGAAACACTTGGTTGGCTGCTTTTGTCGAAGCAAGTGGAGATCACCACCAGGACAATGTTCCATTACCAAACAAGAGAACTTGCCGGTGGAAAAATGGGCGTAAAGTGTGGGAAGGAAGGGATGATCCAGAATTTCGAGTATCTCCTTCTCAGTTTCTGCCCTCATCAATTTCTTTCGACTAAGTAAACATTCATTGTCCATGATTTTCACAGCAAACAAACAGCCTGTGCCATTCAGCTCGGACAGGTAAACTGTGGCAATGTCTCCATCACCTATCTTCTGCAACAACCTGAAGTGTCGTAAGCCCAAACTGCCATGCTGCTTCTGAACACGCCATATAGCTTCCCATCTCAAATCCTTCGACATGTGTGGGCGATAACCACTACGGCTCAACCCACTTAGGTAGCTTTCTTCACTATAGCTTGTTGTACTGCTACTATACTCCCCAATGCTACTTTTTGAGCTCTGCGAGATCTCCCCCTTTTCCCTTGATCGAGATCTTTCATTGGCTTTTGTCACTACAGTTTTCCTTTTTCCAGATATATGTGGAACAAGAGCATGCTTATTTGTACTGGGGGCTGGAGTAGCTGAACTAGACGCCTTCTCCAACTCATTACATCCCGTTTCCGGGTCGAGGTCAGGTATTCGATGCGCTATCACACTAGGTTGACAATCTTCTTCATCCCTAGCACCTACATTTTGCTGGCCCTGAATTTTTGTCACAGTAGTGCTTTTCAGCTTCCAGGTTCTTAAATTTTGCTCCCATGAACCTAACCCTCCACTTGAACTTCTCGTTAGCTTATTCGGGTTTTTCTGTTTTGCATGTGTAATAACTGATTTCTCATCTGGAGCAGGAGCTATCTCATCAAACTCCACAAGTTCAGTTGCCGTGTCTTTCGACGCCACCCCGCAATCAGAGGCCATATCTGAAACATTTGAGGAGCTCCTTTCGGGAACTAAGGATATCTCCATCAAATTTCTTTCGCCTTCGTCTCTAGGCTGTCCAGCTTCACCGGCCTTGATTACTACAGACCTATACAGCTTCTTGCTAGCCCCTGTTTCAGATATTGCAGGTGAACCTAAAGGTCTCGACATTCGTTTCTTCACTGCAGCCATCTCCGATGCCTGAGAGATGCACAAACCTCTCAGTGCTTGTTTCAAACTAACTGCTTCCGAGATCCCAATCCCTGAGACTTGTGCACGGCCAACCCTCATCGGTCTTTTCATCGCACTCTTGCTTAAGGTACCTCTACAATACCGATCTCCTTGACGTGAACTCCCTATATCTATCGCCTCAAAAAGCTTGTTAATGTCATCCTCAATGCTATGCTTCTTCCAAGCCCTCCCTGCGTATTGATTCGTAGAATCTCCAGGTACTTTTGATTCACAAGAACCATAACTCTCTCCTAACTCTATAATTTCGCAGGTTTTTGGCAAGGCTCCCATAACCGCCGAAGACATATATATTACGATGAAAGCTGGACCAACTTATGCTTAACCCATGAGATAAAATCCAATCAAGAGATATTTATGGGAATGAACTCTAGAGCTGCAGCTACTGCACCAGACATGCTGAGATTGTTGAGGTAAATACCCTTCTCTGCATTCATTTTTACAGCAGTACAATATCAATTCTATTATCTTTAAGAAATACACACTTCATAACTTTCTACATCTAAAATTAAATCCAAAATTTATTTATTCTCCATGCAAAATAGGAGATCACCTCATCTAAAGCACTCAATTAAAAGACTAAGCTGATACAAGTATCATTTAATGTTTAGTTTATAGTTTATACTAAGCCCTCCTAAGATATATAATTACTCCTACACCAACCCCTTTGTCCAACCTTTAAATAGAAACCACAGAAATGGACAAGTAAGCCAAATGAATGTACATATATTAAAATTTTCAATATTAATTGCTATTGAATTCAAGAAATACACACATCAGCACAAAACCCTTTGGCTCATCAAAATCATTGAATTTGATAAAAGAATTCATACTTCCATGCCCAAACAATATGATAAGCACTCATATCTTGAAAAACAAGCATGAACCCTCAAAGGTGCTTTTTCTGCCCACTCTTTCTACCCTCACTCACCCTCACCCTTTTTATTTATTTATCTATTTATTTTTTCACTTCACATGGAGATCATAGGTAGTTCAAAAATATCATAGCCATCAAAATACCTACGCATGAACTACTTTAGAAAAAATATAAAATTCAAAATCCAACCAAAAAAAAAGTTTAAAAGCCCACTTGGACAGAGCAGATGAGAAAATAATATACACATTTAATTTCATGTTGTCACCTTCAATTCCAGATCAACAACAATCAAGAAATTGGACCACTTTCTCTCCGCACATACAGCAGCAAGAACTTGAAGAAGAAGAAGAAGAAGAAGAAGAAAAAAAAAAGAAAGATAAGAGCAGAAGCATACATACACTCACACATGTGACAGATCAAAAAATACAAAGAGAGACAAAAGGGTGAAAAATAAAAGGTATGTGGGTGGGTAGGTACCTGACAAAATCCTCAAAATCAGGAGGATAACAAAACACTCTTTTCCTTCCCCCTCTTCTTCTTAACTCCTTTCTCTTCTTTGTCCCTTGAAAAGAATTCAAAATCTAAACAGGGAAGTGTCGTGATTTAGAAGAATCATGATAGATAGAGGGGAAGTATTTGTATTTGTTTTTTTATATTGGTATTGGTATTGGTATTATTGGTGAAGGTGGGCAGGAAGTGAATTGACAGTGCAATAGAGGGTGGGGTGGATGCAAGGAAGGGAAAAAAGTAAAACCGTGATAGGAGGGAGAGAGGGAGGGAAGGGCAAAAAAAGGCAAGAGCAAGGACGGGTTGGGTGGGTATTCAGTATTCTTTATGGAAATCACGAGAATTGAATTGAATTGAAGAGACACAAATAGTTGCTGTCTGTTTTTCCCTTTTGGCATTAGGTGAGATGACGATGATAATGGTAATGGCGGTGGAGAAGAGAGGAGTGGCCTGGCAACAACAGACAAATTTGGCGGAAGGAAGAAATGGAATCGGAGGGAAGAATTGCTTTGGGGCTACACTATCATCATATAAAGAAATAAACCTGCCCTGCCCGACACCGTAAGGGTGGTGTGGCGGTTGAGGCGTGAGGTCATGAGTTCAAACTTCTGACCCGACGTGCAAGGGTGGTGTGGCGGTAGAAGCGTGAGGTCATGGGTTTAAATATCTGACCCGCCTATGACACGTAGTTTGCATAGTATAATTCGTTTGTTGAATCTACTTTGCATAGTATTAGGTTCGATCGGGAGTTTACTCAATGCACATTTTTTGTAGAGATTCCTATATTATAAAATAATAATAATAAAATAAACCTACCATACTTTCACGACTTTGCTTTATAGGACCTAATTTTAGGGTATTAGATTCAATCGGGATGAAATCGTAGCTTCGCGCCAGCAGGCTATTAAATTCAATTTGAATTTACTTAGAATACACTCTACAAGTAACATATACGATTCCCACATTAAAAAAAAAAAAAAAAAAAGGGAAAATATGAGTACTATATATAAATAAATGGAATTGACACACACATTCATGGCTATTTCATTTCAATATTAATTGTCTAGTGAGGCTCTCTACTCAGTCTTCTTATTATGGTCTCAAAAGCGAGAGGCTAGTTTAGCAGGGATAGTTCACTTTGATTTTTTTTCCTACATATTTCTCCAAAATAATTAATACATCACAAATATTTATATTTTTTTATATTTTCTACATAATTTTTATATTTTGCATTAAAAAATATTTTTTTCAAATTATCTCACAAAACAAATACACTTTTAGACTTTTAAAAATTATTTCCAATACAATAGTCTATTTTTTCATTTTTATTACACAATTTCCACTGCTTTTTAAACTAATACACTCACAAGGGCAAAAAAGTCTTTTATCTATATATTTTTTTTATCAACTACCGATATAATATCAATATTTCTTAAATCTAGTGTCTAACTGAATTAATACTATAATTCTCGAATTGAGAGAATATTTTTTTTATCGTTAAAAGCATCTAATTATATATATATATGTATATATTGCAAAATAGAAAAAATAAAAAATAAAAATGATGTGGTTTACGAAATTTGTTGAAAGAATACATCACATTTATATTAAATCAAATATATTTTTATTCATTTTCCCTATTTCGGATACCCAAATCAAATCGTAACACACGCATGTCGTGATCCGTGATTAATGATAATTAGAAATATTAGGATTCTTTTGTTTATTATCAATAATTTCATGCATTATGTGATTTTTTTTTTTTTTTTTTTTTTTTTTTTTTTTTTTTTTTTGAAAACTTTACTCGAAATTAAATTAATATGTTTTTGATATTTTCTCTTATGGCTCCTTTATAGTGAAAAAGGGATAAAAAAAATGAAATAAAATAACTCAAAGATAATAGCCCAAAACTCATCTAAACAGATACACTTTATTGGCTTTAATTGGAATTTTGGAGTCAATCCCCTATTTTGAATGAAATCATGATGGCCTATTGTAAATATATAATTATAGGTACTATTGTTTATTTATATATATATATATATACATAAATAAAATAAAATAAAATGTGAGACTATGTAGTAATAAAAAATCCAAAAAAAAAAAAAGAAAAAGAAAAAGAGTAAATTTCAAAGGAAACATAGTATTATTATTTGAAGTAGTAATTCATTTCAAAGTTAAGTTTTGGGTTGTTTACTTCTGTTTCTTTAAGTTCATTCTAAAAAATTATTATTATTATTATTTTTTAAAATTAAAGTTAAACTTAATTCAGATTATTTTGTTTGATTACAATTTCAAACTCAAATTACAACTATTCATCTAGTACGATTTCTAATAAAAATACACTATTTTTCTTTTATAAAAGATAATATCAAAATATTATTTAAACAAAATTTCAAATTAACAACTCATTTTGAATCGATTTCAAACTATGAAAAAAAAAACGAATTTTCTATTTTAAAAAATTGCTGAATGACTCAATTCATTCATAACATTATATATATAGAAAATTTTGCATTTATATATTTTTAAAAGAACCAACATTGTTCGAAACATTCTTAAAAAACACAAACAAATACACCCCAAAGATCTCTATACATCAGAAGTGATTTTTTTATGTATGTCATTAAGATGCAAAGTAAGAATTTATATTAAAATTGATTAGGGTGTTTTGGTTTGACATTCTATTTTAATTTGTATTTGAATGTGATATATTGTGAAAAATAATATATGTATATTATAAAAAAATAAAAAATGATAAAATTAAAAAGAATACACCCTTAGTTTGTAGAAGGTGATAAAAGGAAGAAAAAGTGGGGAAATAAGCCTTTAGGTTTAGGTAAGTAAGGTCAAAAATAAATTCTAATAATGATACCAATCACTTTTAATTTCACAAATTATGTGTATAGTCAAGTAAAAGTCACCCCCACTAATCATATCCATTCATTACTTCATTTCAAACCATCATTTCTGATTCAATTCAATTTTTATTTTATTTTATAGTTTTTTTATTATTATTATCATCATTTCAAATAATAATAATAATACCAAACAAAGAAGAAATATTTTGTCAAGCCCACTCCATTTACAGCAAATTAACATTGGACTACAATTTATAAATAGTGGGCCATAAAGCCCAATGATTAGCCCATTTATGGCCCATTATGATTACCTAGAAAAACAGAAGAAGAAACCCTAAGTTGTGTTAAATGTAACAACCCATTTGTTTTAGTAAAAAAAATATATTTTTCAAATACACACCAAAGGCAAGTTAATTAAAGGAAAATGAATTTTTTTAAAAAAAAAAAAAATTATTAGTGTGAGAGAGAGATCCAGGACCATCAAATGTAAGTGTAACCCATCCGATCCTATCCGACCCGACCCGTTTATGTGGCCTTCAATGCAGTCACGTGCATTCACCGGTCTCTCTTCAATAATTGAAGCAAACCAAATCCATCCCTACTGTGCCCAATAATCCAATAATATTATATTACACAATTATTTTAATTGCAATTAATGCAATGCAATCATATAATAATAGTGTACTATTTATTAGTACCAACTCTCCACTCCCACTGTTACAACACTAATCCAACATTTTAATAATAATAATAATAATAATAATAATAATAATAATAAATAAATAAATAATGTTTCCATCACTTCTAATTGCAATTAGCAATATAATTATCAGAATTAAATGCGTTATTTTTTAGGGTATACTAGTAGAAATATTCTTGGCCACAATTATATATAATTTAAATATAATAATTATTTAATTCAATTGACTGCATTGAATGCCTGAGTAGGTGTACGTAACATCAATTTTAAATATAAAAAAGAAATTTATTCAAAGTACATGGTACAAAATTGTTTTGGCTACGTCTAATTATTTAATGGCCCTACTAACCTTAAATGAGCCCTAACTATGATTCTTGAATTTAATGAAGAATATAATATTGGGATTTCAATTAAACCCATAATTAATTTAGTGCTTATCAATCAAATGATAATCTGTAGAATTAATAAATAAATAAATATTTTAGATTAAGCATGAATAATTTTAAGTTCCTAAAGTAAAGCTAACCCAATATAGAATTTAAGTACTAAAATAAAATAAAGCGTAAGAGAATAGAACTTACTATTCAAGTAGACGCCGGCCCAATGCACCGTCCAATCGATGCGATCCACGTGTCAGTTGAGTAAATCCAGTACACGCGGTCCAATAGACCCACCAATCGCTTCCCTTCAAATCTGCCGTCTCCCTCCCTCGCAATTCGCAGACACGCGGATTCCGCCGGATTCGTGAATCCGCCGCCGTGGACGACGGAAATGGAGTCGCCGGTAGACAACGTAGCCGACGAGCTCGAGAGTCTGAGCTTTAACTCCACAACAACCACCACCGCCACCGACATCCACCGCTCTATCAGCTCCGGTTCCGACTGGACCTCATCCTCCTCCGCGCACTTTCCTCCTTCCGCCGCTAGACAGTATCTAACCACTGGAGACCACCGCTGGGACGCCGTCCGCCGATTCGCCTCAATTTCCTTCTCCGACCTCCGCTTCCTCCACCGCCTCGGCGCCGGAGACATCGGATCCGTGTATTTAGCCGAGCTCAAGCCGCAGCCGTTCCTGGCGTCGGCTGACTCGACCAAGCCGAATCCGCCGGCGTCGGCGGCTCTATTCGCGGCGAAAGTAATGGACAAGAGAGAGCTGGCGAGCCGTAACAAGGAAGGAAGGGCGAGAACTGAGAAGGAAATTCTGGAAGTGTTGGACCACCCGTTTTTGCCGACGCTTTACGCCGCCATTGATTCTCCGAAATGGTCGTGCCTCCTGACGGAGTTCTGTCCCGGCGGCGACCTCCACGTGCTCCGCCAACGTCAGCCGTCGAAACGGTTCTCCGATGCCGCCGTCCGGTACGCACCAAGTCAATTCCTCTACTCTTTACAGTTACTTGATTCCACGTCACCACCAAAATTTGACGCGATGTTTACTTGAATTTTTAAATGAGATTTTCGTACTACCCTTTTTAACTTTTTAAAATACTAGTACTATTAAATTAAAAAAATAAGTTTTTTTTTTTATTTTTTTTTATTTCAGTTTAATTTTTTTTTTTTTTAAAGTTTAGTTCTGGTAAATTTATCAAAAATATAGAAAAAATAAAATAAATGTATTTTGTTTGCATTTTAAATACAAATCAAACTACTAATAGCCAAGTATAATTTTTATAAAAATATTAAATTAAATAAAATTTCTATAATTTGTATTTTTATTAAAATATAATATAAAAAATGTTTATTTTCTTCTAATTTTTTACTATTATTGTACTTTGTAGAAATATATTTGTAACATTTTTGATAATTTATTTTTTCTTTTACTTTTTTAAATGTAGATTTTAATATTTTTAAACAAAGTCAATAATAAATAATTATTGAAATTTTACCACTTCATAAAAAATATCTCCAAAATAATAATTTTTTTAAAACCCAAATTATGGGTTTGTTTAATTATATTTTGATATATTATAAACGAATAGAAAATTTAATTTTAATTTAATAATTATTTTGTATCATACAAAAAATATTTAATTCGATATTTAAAATATACTTTTTTACTTATTATATTAAATTTAAAATAAATATATAAGGTGCGATTTTAGAAAGGTACTGGTGAGAAAATAAGTTCTAATAATAAACTGTTTGTTCTCCCAATTATTTTTTTTAAAAAAAATATCATTATATTTATATTGTTATATAATTATTTATTCGAATAATTATATTTCTTCTAAATTATAATTTTTATGCGAGATAGAAAGAGTATTTAAAAGAATTTATTTTTATTGAAAAATATTGTATAATTTTTTCTTTTAGTGTTATATAGAAATTAAAAGAGATTATTATAGATATTTTAAAAAAAATAGCTATTTTTTTTTAAACATCAATTTGAACATGCTTATTTAGTATTTTAATTAGTTTTTCAATATAAACAGTATGCTCAATAATTATATACTACTCATTTTTTTAATATTCTCTCAAAATGTAAATTTATTTTGCTTAGATAGCGAATTTAATTACGGAAATGCTGGCATAGAATATGGAGAGTTTTCTTTAAAAAATATATAGCTTTAAAAAATAGAATGTAGGTCCCACGTGCCCGTTGGGTCCACCACGTGCGGGGCCCACATTGGTTTTGCTGTCGCTTCTGTACAACCATAACGAAAGTGTACTGTAGAGCGCGTAACACTGGAACATTCCTCCTTTATTTGGATAAATAGATAATAGATAAGCAATTGAATTGCGATTTTTTTTATATTTAGAATTATGATCGGATGTGACCGGTCCACGTAAGCCCATGAATTTTAATTGGTCCTGTAAAAATTTTGTGAGGTTTTATTTATTTATTTATTTAGTTATTTATAGGTAAATTTAATTTTTATTGAGCCGAACGTCATATGAATGCACTTGAATGAACATGCATTACTATTGCAGTTGACCTATAAACATTTATAGTAAATAATAACAATTCACATGGTCTCTATCAATTATTTAGTGATTATTTTTATCTTCACAAAATCCAAGGAAATAATTTTTGGGGAGGTTTTTGTCTAATTTAAATTTGTTTGCCTGATCCTCAAAAGAAGGGCAAAATGCCACACGGGCTTTGGGGGATTCCCAATTCCTTTTGGGGTAAAGTTTGCGCTATTCTCACTGGGCCCTCGCATGTTTTGAAAATTTTGAAATGTGGCCCCCGCTTGATTGTGTCCTTGACCCTAACAAAAAAGTTTAAATTAATAGAAAAATGTGTTATAGATTATCTTATATATTAAGAGTGTATGTGTTATATTTGTATTATTTTGATTAATTTATGTGATGTATGCCTCTGCGTGTATTATTTGTCTTTATATCATCTAACATAAAGAACTATGGATATGTTTCTTTGGTCGAGTTTTCTCATATATTACTATTTGAATTTTACGTTTCTAAAAAAAAAAAATATATGTTTTTTTTTCATAAAACATCCATTCAAACATTATTTTCATACCAAACTCAAACTAATTTTTTTCCAAACCACCCTATATTATATGTTGTTTAACTATATATTGTATTTGTATTATGTTAATATCATTTATATAATTATCTTTACATAATATGTTGTTTGTCGGTTTATATAACTTCTTGAGCCCCTGAGCCGTCGTCTTCGTCGTTGCATCGATTGCATTAATTTGTTGATTATACAATTGTTTGTCCGGTTGGATTCGATCAATCCTTATCAAATTAGTATTTTCATATTGATTGAATACATCAAAATATATATTTTTATCATCAATTTTGCTGAAAATGATAAAAATATATGATTTTTTACTTTGATGGAACCCTTTAGCTTTTTCGGTAGATAATGTTGGCTCCCATGATATTTTATGAAAAAAAAAAATATTTATTTTTCTGAGAATATTAGAATCAAAATAGTAGAAATTTGTATTTGGAACATAAAGATATTTTATAGTTTTTCGTGATTTTTTCCCTTATTTATTTAATTAAATATTTACTTTTAATTTCAGGTTCTACGCGGCGGAGGTGGTGGCGGCGCTAGAGTACATCCACATGATGGGAATCGTTTACCGCGATCTGAAGCCGGAGAACGTCCTGATCCGATCGGACGGTCACATTATGCTCACCGACTTCGATCTCTCCCTACGATGCGACGATTCCACGTCGACGCCGGCGCAGGTGATCACCGGGTCCAGTGCACCGCAGCTACCGCCGCAGTTCCCGGCGTCGTCCTGCATCCTCCCCAACTGCATCGTCCCAGCGGTGTCGTGCTTCCACCACCGGCGCCGTCGCCGGAAGAAAGCGGACGCGCACGCACGGCCGGCGTTCGTGGCGGAGCCTATCGACGTCCGATCCATGTCGTTCGTCGGAACGCACGAGTACCTGGCGCCGGAGATCATCTCCGGCGAGGGTCACGGCAGCGCTGTCGACTGGTGGACGTTGGGGATTTTTGTATTTGAGTTGTTCTACGGAACGACGCCGTTTCGGGGTACGGACCACGAGATGACGCTGGCGAATATCGTGGCCCGGGCGCTGGAGCTCCCGAAGGACCCGGGAGTGCCTGGCCCAGCCAAGGACCTGATCGCCCAGCTGCTTGTGAAGGATCCGGCTCGGCGGCTCGGGTCCACTCTCGGCGCGGCGGCGATCAAGCAGCACCCGTTTTTTCAGGGCGTGAACTGGGCGCTGTTGAGATGCGCGCCGCCGCCGTTTAAGCCGCCGCCGTTTGCGCGGAGCGGCGTCGTGTCTGGTGAAAGCGGGCCGGACCAGAACACCACTGTCGAGTATTACTAGCGTAATGAGATATTTATTGTTTAATCTTAAATATACATTTTTATTTTGAAGTCACTTTTATTATTTATGTCTTATCTTATAAATTTTATTTATTTAATATCAATTTTACAGGGTCGGATTGGTTTTTTAAAAAATAAAATAAAATAAATGAGGTAGCTTCAAATGGAGTAGATAGTTCTACCAAATGGTTTGCTTTAAGCATCTTTATAATTTTCTTAAAATGCATTATTCCGTTTACTTGTGAGTAATTTACATGTGATTTTACCTAAATATTTTACTTAAAAATAATAACATAGGATTTGTTCTTTTTTTTTTTTTTTTTAATTGATACACTTTTCTTTATTAATACTAAAATGTGTAATCATTTTTTTTAAAAAAATAAAAATAGTTTCACTCTACACTTAAAATAAATAAATTTTCTTTTCAAAATTTAAAACATTAATTCCACCGTAATATATAAAATATATATACGAAGACTTTCAAGAATATGCAATTGGTCCACCAATTTTGGATAATTGAAATTTCTACATGCATAGATTTAATAACACAAACAATATATAAAAATATATATTTATTTATATATTGTTTGTGTTATTAAATCTATATTTATTTATCTATATGAACGACTTTAATGAACAGTGTTTTTGACAAATACATATACCCAACTGAGAATACGACACCAAATTAATTAATTATTAATTGGTTAATCAAAAATATTTGAAATGGAGCTAAGTTTGTATTATTTATTTGGCATCATAATAGTTAGTACTTGGAATTTATCAGAAATATGGCGACAGAGGAAACATTCTTTTCAGACAATTCTGTATGTACTTTTAGCTACAAAATTTAAAAAAATAAAAATAAAAAATTGATTAAACATGTAATCCTTTATCATAGTCAATTTTAAATAATATAGAAAAAAAAAAAATAAAAACTTTATTGCTATCTAAAATCATGCATGTTTGCATCATATTTCGACAACTTATGTGCAAACACGAAAGGTTTGCATTAACAACAACGACGACAACAATAACGTCTCACGATGATAAAAAAAAATAATAATAATAAAAAAAAAAAAAAAATTGCATGAGTCATTGTCACTTTATATTACTTTTCAATGCATGTTTTTAATTTAAACCCTTAAATTGTTGTTCTTATATTTATCACCTATTATTAAAAGTCTCTTTTGTTGAAATCAATATAAGCCTTTAGATTTTTATTATAATAAATTGTTTTATATTTCTTATGAGAAAGAATAATTGAATGATGAAATATTGATTTTAATAATTCATTTATGTTCAAACGTGGGATATCGATACTTAATAGAATTATAGAGGGTGTGTTCAAATATATTTTGATATTTTATATTATTTTCAGAATAGTAAATTTTAATTAAAAATAAATTATTGAACATAATATTTTAATTAAATAATGATTTAGATATATTTTATTTTTAATAAAAATATTAAATATAATATTTTTAAGAAGATTTTATATATATATATATATATAAAATATAAAATAATAAAAAATATAAGTAAACATATATAACCATTAGTTTACTTGTAGAATTTTAATAAATAATATTATCATATGATAACATAATTGAATATTTATTTTATTTGATTATTGTATAATATTATTACTTTTTTTAAAATATATTTAATTCTAACATGAAAAATAAAATAATCATTTAAAATTAATATTATCTTAGTAGTATTATTTATTAATGATAATTTATACTAGCACATAATTATACTATTAAATAAAATAATATTATCCATGATAATAACTCAAATAAACTAATCTAAAATGTAGTGTGCATACATAAGTAACACTTTGAGAAATAAAAAAATAAATAAATAATCTGACGGCCGAGATGAATCGGTGAGGAGGGAAAAAGACGTATAAGAAAAGTGAAATTGCGACGTGGTGTGAGTATCCAAATAAGAATATATTTAGCTTGACTTTGTAATGAAATCTAATCTAATCTAAGAAAAATAATTTAATTGAAACTGCTCCCCACCACGTGACTTGCTTCATTGTTTGTCCATCATTCACACAATTTAATTAATTCTATACATAAATTTATTTCATCCAATATTAATTAATTAATTTTTTTTATTATATATATAGGCCTATAGTAATAATAATAAACAGCCCAATTGAAATACAAAAAAAAATAAAAAATAATAATAATATTTTGATCTCAATATATATATATATATATATATAAACATTAATTTTAGTCTTATTTTAATCACTTTTGGTCACATTTTTAAAAACTAATGAAAAAAATCTAAGGTGAAATCATATTTTTTAAAACATGATTGTGTATTATTCTATAAACAAAAATTGATGAGTTATATATATATATATATATTAGATCAAGATTTTTTTTTTAATTTTTTCAGTGGATTATTTTTTATTTTTTTTCTTAATAATAATAATAATAATTTGGTTTGGAGCTTATCCATTGAAAGCCCAATTAATTGTGAAAGTCTTTCTATATTTGGGCTAAGGATTGGGCCCAATATGATACACGGATTAGCCCAGATCTGCAGTTCAGATATGAATGCAGATTTGGGTTAATTTCCGGAATGAATGGGATCGTTCAAATTGAATTTGAAGTAAAAGACTCCGATTTGGGGAAAAGATTTTAGGCGTCGGACGATCACGCAGTGATTAATCGACTACAAAATTTGGGTAATTTGGAATAGCTGTGCCAAGGAAGAGCATGGAGGCAGCTCCGGAAGACAACGGGAACAGCGCCGCCGGGGAGGGAGAAGAGGCGATGATTGGTCCCGGTCCGGCGCCTCGTGCTCGGCTTAAACGTCCCCTTCAGTTTGAGCAGGCCTATCTCGAAGCTCTCCCCTCTGCCAATATGTGTGTGATGCTGTGTTTGTTTGGGGGATATTGTTATGGTGTAGGGTTTTGGTTGTAGTGGAGTTGATAGTGATATTTTGAATGAATTCAATGTAGGTATGAGAAGAGTTACATGCACCGCGATGTGGTCACGCATGTAGCGGTTTCAGCTGCTGATTTCTTCATATCTGGGAGTGCAGATGGTATGGTCAAGTTGATGTTTTAATTTGGATTATATTTGCTTATATTGAGTTGTATGTATCAATCTTGTGTCTAAGATATAGTTTTGTTAGTTTAGATTCAACTTTCTTTATGTTTTGAAAACTTAGTTTCATTTTATTATTGTGCTTGTTTTCGACTCCTCTGATTTGCATTTCTAATGAGTAGGAGAAAGATACCTTGAGGCTGCTAGGGAAGTAAATTGCAATAGAATTAAGGGAATTTTGTTTACATATGGATATGCAGAGCGACTTAGTTACTAAAATTGATTTTTTCTATCTTATCCCCCTTTTTGGTGGCAAGATTGAGATTGGGCAGTTTATGGTATTCGGAACAATGAAGCCATTTAAATGGAGAAGCTTGGAAAATTTTGATAGTTGTTTGATGTTAGCATGAAACTAAATGGTACTATATAATCGTAGGGAGAATAGTTTGTTGTAGTGGCTTTTAGAACTGCTTTGTTCTATATATCTTGTGCAAATCTTCGGGCAGTGCATATCTAAGCTTGATGCTGTGCTGCCTTAATTCTTTTTTGTTCTGCCTAAGAAATAAGATAGTTTGCATGTTGTAATGTTAATGGTGCACCATGGCACAACCTTGGCATCATTTTCCGGTGGTGCACTGCTTCACCTGGTGTGTTTCTGGACCTTTTGCGCAAATGCCATGATGTCCATGACTGCACACCATGGCGAAAAAGAAAAGATACATTTTTAGTGGTTTTTTTGGTTCTACACATGATTTTTTTTATAATTATTTTTCCATAACTTTATAGTTATTATTACCATATGATCAAAATCCAACCTTCCTAAGACCCATAAAGCATCTAACGCACATATAAAAGATTATGAAAATGTTGGAGAGGAAGAAGGAAAGATTATGATGATTAATGTTTTAAGAACTGTATATATTATTTTGTTGAGTAGATTTGAATAGTATTTGTACTAAAACCTAGTCTTTATATAAATTTTCTAATATTTTTAAGCATTGGGTTCTTATTTATACTTACACATTGCCACACTTAAGTATAGTTAAATATTTGTACTTTACTTTCTTATGGAAGCACTTTGCAGTGCACCATGGTCCCATGGCTTCAAAGAGCCTTTGTGCCAACTCTTTGGGGGTACTGCTATTTTCAGCATGCCCATTCGATAATGATTGACACTATGATTCCCTGAATTTGGTGTCTTCTTCTTCTTCTTTTTTTAATAGTTAAAAATGGTTTAAAGTTGCTATAATATGGTGACTTGTTTGCTTTTTGTACAGGTCATTTGAAATTTTGGAAGAAGAAGTCCATGGGCATAGAGTTTGCCAAACATTTTCGATCCCATCTTGGTCCAATAGAGGGCCTGGCCGTGAGTTCCAATGCTTGCTTACTATGTTAAGAACTGCTGTATATTTCAAGCCTGTATTAAATTCTAGCTTTCCTCTTATGCCATCTTGGATCTTGTCAGAAACATGCCTGATGTGCATTGTTGAAGGATTGTATCCTTCTCAACTCAAATATCACATATTAGACACACCCATATTTTATTTCTAATATTCTCGACTATCTGACCTTTTTTATTATTACTATTATTATTTTTCAGGTTAGCATAGATGGTGCACTTTGTTGTACAATTTCGAATGATCGCTCAGTCAAAATATACGATGTATTTAACTATGACATGATGGCGATGATACGTCTTCCTTATGTACCTGGTTGTGCTGAGTGGGTCTATAAACAAGGTGATGTCAAGGCCAAACTTGCAATTGGTGACAGGAACTCTTCCTTTGTCCACATATATGATGCTCGCTCTGGTTCTAATGAATCTATAATGTCTAGAGAGGTTTCTTCCTCTTTCAATTATAATCTGAAGCCTAATGCTGATACTCACCAATATTACTTTCTTATTTGTAACTCTTTCCTGCAATTTTTTGACCAGATGCATATAGGCTCAATAAGATGTATGAAGTACAACCATGAATACAATACAGTGATTTCTGCAGATGACAAAGGAATGATTGAGTACTGGAATCCCACTTCACTACAGTTTCCTGAAACTGGGTATCCCTATTTTATACTCCCTCCATCCCCTTTTTGGTTGCTATTTTTTTTGTTTTGGCATGATTTTTTTTGCGGTATATTTTTGGTATTTTTATGACAATTTGCCCCTATTTATTATTATTATTATTATTATTATTATTATTATTTTATTTGGAATAGCTTTATAAATTGTATTTAGAAACATAAAATGGGAGAAACTATGTATAAATAAAAAACGTTGCAAAAGTTTTGGGACATTCCAAATTAGAACTAATAGTAAAAGGTTTGGGATAATGGTAGTATTATCTATACAACTGAGTATTGTATTGTGTCTTTTTAAAGTCATTGTCGGTTTATTAATCTGTTCACTTTATCTACACTGTGCATGCAGGGTGGCTTTTAAACTAAAAAGCGATACTGACCTTTTTGCCATAGCAAAATGCAAAACCACTGTTTCTTCTATTGAGGTAACACACTCGGATTTGTGATGATATTTTGATTTTGCCATTTTTTAAGTTATTCTGTGAGGGTTCAGTTATGACTTATGTACTTGCTAGATATTTTCCGTTGATAGTGTTATGTTCACCCATGGTTCCTTCACATAGTTTGACATGCAATTGTGCCTTTTTTTTTTTTTTTAACTATTTTATAGGTGAGTCCAGATGGGAAGCAGTTTTCGGTCACATCTCCTGATCGTAGAATACGTGTGTTTTGGTTTAGAACGGGAAAATTGAGGCGTGTATATGATGAATCTCTTGAGGTCATAGTCACAACCTCAACAGCTTTTTCTTCAATTACTTACTTAAAAGTGCAATTATGAATACATCTATCTTCCCATTTAAGGTTGCCCAAGATCTTCAGAGGAGTGATGTTCCTCTATACAGGCTAGAAGCTATTGATTTTGGACGACGGATGGCTGTAGAAAAAGAATTTGAGAAAACAGAAACTGCACCTCAACCTAATGCTGTGTTTGATGAAAGCTCCAACTTCCTCATATATGCCACTCTTCTTGGAATTAAAGTAAGTCAATAATAGGATCTTGTCAAATCTGTTGCTAAATTTGATACTTGTTTACAAACTTGATAGATTGCAACACTTCACCTTTTCTGCACCAACAACTTTCAGTATAAAGTCTTAACAGTTATTATATTAACTTCTCCATACTTTGTGTGTTTAGATTATAAATCTACATACCAACAAAGTTGCTCGAATCCTTGGGAAGGTGGAGAATAATGATAGATTTTTAAGAGTTGCACTGTATCAAGGTGATAAAAGCAGTAAAAAAGTTCGAAAGATTCCTGCTGCTGCAGCTAATGCCAATGAAAGCAAGGACCCTCTGATAGATCCTACTCTGTTGTGTTGTGCTTTCAAAAAGAGTAGAATTTATTTATTCAGGTATTACATCTTGACATACATCTAAAAATCTTACGTGAATTGTTTAACATTGTTAGCCGTGTCATACATTTGCCTTTTGGAATTCTAGTAACACTTTTGCAGTGAAAACCACCAATCTCCAATATTGAATTGGTGGTGTTTGCAGGCACTTGTCTTTTAGGACATTGTTTTCCTTTAGTGATAGGCAACATATTGATTTCCATAGCCAAGTTGTGAACAGTGTCCCACAAAAAGGCTACATGTCTAGTTTAACTTGAGAATTCATTTTCCACTATTTAGTAAGATGCCATCCTGTTTTTCAGTCGGAGAGAGCCGGAGGAACCTGAGGATGCAACTAAGGGAAGAGATGTGTTTAATGAAAAACCACCTGCTGATGAACTCTTGGCTGTATCAGAGCTTGGAAAAGCTGCAACGACATCTCTCCCAGATAATGTGGTAAGTAAAATATTGATTAAACCTGTAGCTTTTGGTTTTTTATTATAGCCAATTGACCGCTAGATGGGATGCTAGGTCATACTTATTGGAAAATATGTGTCTGTTGATGGTGCTGCCTATATCATTTGTCAGATCTTGCACACTACCATGGGTGATATTCATATGCGGCTGTATCCTGAAGAATGCCCCAAAACAGTCGAGAACTTCACAACACATTGCAAAAATGGTTATTATGACAATCTGATCTTTCACCGTGTCATCAGAGGGTTCATGATTCAGACAGGAGACCCTCTGGGAGATGGAACTGGGGGGCAATCTATATGGGGAAGGGAGTTTGAAGATGAATTTCACAAAAGGTAAATTTGGGTTTTAACTTGTTATCTAAAGTGACTTCGTCATGCTTAAAAGTTAGATATGTCAGAGCATCAACTTCTTTAGTGCTTTTTTCCGTGCATTTCTGTTCTCAGTGTGTTTTTATTGATTGTAAGAGATTGATATTACTTGTTTAATATCATATCGGACCAGTTTTCAAATGCTTGTTGAATGCCTATTTGCATATACAATTGAAGATCACTAGCCCTTGAAATTGCTATTTTAGCCATAAATGTTTCTCTTGACTGGCTCCCATGAACTTGAACTATCTGATGTGCCTGCAACTACTCTGTGCAGTTTGCGGCACGACAGGCCATTCACGGTCTCAATGGCTAATGCCGGGCCGAACACCAATGGCTCTCAATTCTTCATTACAACTGTTGCCACCCCATGGTTGGACAACAAGCACACTGTTTTTGGCAGAGTCGTAAAAGGAATGGACGTAGTGCAGGTACTCACTTCTGGTTTCGCATGAACTCATGAGTAGCTTAAATAAGACGACAACCCACCTTTGTATTTTCCATTTACAATAGTTGGAAGCAGTCTAATCTTGTCATTCAGAGCATACATAAACTATTTTGTGCAAAATCTCCAACACATCTTGTGGAAATCTCACCGATGTTTCTATGCAACAGGGCATAGAGAAAGTGAAGACAGACAAGGCGGACAAACCGTACCAAGATGTGAAAATTCTAAATGTGACTATTCCAAAGTTGTGATGAGTGAGTTCCTCTTTATAGAGGCATCCTATTTTTGTTCATTCATTTCTCTTGCAATTTGCACTAGAAAAGGACCTTCTGTTACAAACATGCTTATCAAAGTTTATATCATTGACTAACATCAGCCCCTTCGATTTCAGTCGGCAAAATGAGACAAGCTTAAGTAGTTTATAGGGCTCATGGTTAGATTTGTAGGGTTCGCGGAGAATGCCGGAGGAGGGGGTGCTTTGGAAGAGGCAGATCATCTGCAGCATATGGTTTTAGGTATGCATAAACATGTTGTAATGATTCATTATGGATGTTTTTACTGTGTACTTGAAATTGAATCATGGGTGTGTTTGCTTGGCCTTTTGGCTATGTATTTTGATTTTGGAGGGTCTTTATTTAAATTTTATTTGATACAAGAATGGTAAAATAATGTGCAGTGGTTTTGTGGAAGAGGGTTGTATGATGACAATATGACAGGCTAATGTTATTGTGTTGATACTGACACTATATATAAATCAATATATAATATAAATAGAGCCATACGGTATATGATAATAGTTTACCTATAAAGGAGTACATGTTTATAGTAAAATTGACAGTATATGTCCATATTCTATACACAACATGTGCTAATATTAGAGCTAATATTATGGTGTTGATTAGCCCCTTGTTAGCATTCTAAGATAAGTGCTAAGTAAAAATATGATATACTATTAAATTAAATTAAGTGTGTGCAATATAAAAAAAGCTTATATTATAATATAAATAAATAAATATATATTTGTAATACTCTACATTGCGTGATTGGGCTTCAAAGGCTGATTACAAGTGGTACCTTCCTACTTGGTGCTGTTAAGGGATTGTCTAAATGGATGTGTTTGTTTTATATTTAAAAAAAAAAAAATTATTACTATTTAATAAAATATATGATTATTATTATTATTATCTTTTTTTATTAAATATCACTTATTAACTTTTCGACAATACGACCTGTTTGTTGTAAATGTAATTTGATACAATATTTAATAGTAATTAATAAATAATTGTTTACCTTTTAATGTAATGACAAAATAATTTACACAATGAAAACGAGAGGGGAAAAAGCAAAATAATAACACCTAAACTGAAGTGTTTAAATAGTACATATCATCCAAATTTTTTCTCATTTTTTTTTTCAATTTTTATTGTCTCTTAAATTTATTTCCATTTTTTGCATGACAAAGTAGGTAAATGTTTTGTCAAATGAAAGTAGTATTATAATTAATTTACTACTATAAACTAATATTCCAATACTTTATATCAACTAATCCTAACTCAAGACATAAGTTAGAACAAATCTAAGGTATGCCCATCCATGTATAATTTCAAATTATTCTTTATTCAATTCCTATAACATGTAAATACTACTCTAGAAAATTTCTACCTTTTTCAATAACAGCAAAATTCCTGTGCAACCTGATGTTAAGTATCAAAGGGGCTAAAAGCATGCATGAGTTATATTTGCCAGAAATAAAATGAAACAAAATTAGAAAACAAGAACACAATCATATATTTTCAAAGTCTCCATCTTCTCAAGGTAACAAAAATTCCAGATCTCAAACTATTAACTAAAAACAAGGGCAACATTCGAAAATACTTCTAACACAATAAACTTAAGGTGATGAATGAGGGAAAAGTGGTTTCACATAGATTGCTCGCCATTTTAGTCGAACAGACTGAAGCCCATGTCCTGCAAGGAATGAAATAAGAATTATGCATAGCCAAAAGGATGAGATTCATATGATGAATAATGTAATTTAGGTTCTTGAAAGTTACATCGTCGGACTCTTCTTTCTCTTCAACTTTCTCTTCCTTCTTCGGCTCATCTGCAGCAGCTGCAGCACCACCGCCTGCTCCACCGGAAGGTGCTGCAACAGCAACTGCACCACCACCGGCAGGCACTGAGGCCAGTCTTTCCCTTCCGGCAGCAATTAACTCAGTGATGTCTTTGCCCTCGACTTGAGACAAAAGCAACTCAATCTTGTCATCATCAGCTTCGGCTCCAACTGAGAATCATGTCGAACAAAACAGTCATAAATATATGGTGAGCTCCGGGTATCAATCCTTTAAATCTTTCAAAAAGAAAATGGCAAAAGTTTAACAGTTTTTACTGTTTGTACTAGGTGTTTCTCTTTATGTGTTTCCCAAAAAATATTCTCTCCAAAAACTTTATTTAAAACAAAACCAAAAACAAATCATCACGATCCAAGAGCCACACCCTAAGTATCCACATCTCTTACCAAACAATTCATAGGGCAAAAGAAAACAAACAATAAAATCCAATCAGTACTTTCATCTATAAGACTATCTTGAATGGAAAAGAGAGAATTTATTGGCTTCAACAAGGAAATTTCATCAATTTGTTAGTATAAATCACCAGAAACCCTTAAAACCAATTGTAACTTCACGATATAAGCAATCGCATTGATTTTAATATGAATTCTCCATAACTAATCTCGCTGTTAACAAAATTCGCTGACAGACACTGAATCGCTCTCCATACTACACAGTTCGAGTCGCAAGCACGGTAGCATAGACTACTTATCTAAATCTTAAACATCATAAAACAGAAATCACAAATTCCGCGCATTTTCAAAAATCCAAAAACGACATTTGTATGGAACAGATTGCCTAGATTATAAATCCACGAATAGAAAACCTAAATTATAAAAACTGGCATGAACAAATAAATCGAAAAAAAAAAAAAAACCTGTCGAGAGGAGATTCTTAATATCCTTAGCCGAAGGGGAGGTGTTGCCACCCAACACAAGCAACAAATAAGCGGCAATAACCTTCATTTCTGCTCAAATCTGAAACAAAATCCAATACTTAGTCCAAAAAATGCAAGAATAATGGTTTTATCTTCCAGTAAACATATGAAAATTCATAGAAAGACTACAAGAAGATGAATTACTTGGGAGATCTAACCACGAAGCTGCTCAATCGAGAAACTGCGAAAATAGCTGCCTGCCGCTGGGGTTTACGGAAGGGAAATATGTCTCTTATTTATACTAGGGTTCTCCAATGGACTGCGTGAAATTACCTTATTACCCTCTTGGGCTGTTATTGGGCTATGATTTATTGACTAGACCGTTAGTGGACTCAATTGGGCTTTGAATGAAGTATTAGATTAATAATATGGTAATGTTGGGCTTTAATTTATAGTTTTGAACTTTAGTGGGCCTTGGATTTTTTAGGTGTGTGTTTTTAGTTGTCTTTGTTTTGGTTGACATATAATTCGACACTATTGTATTTACTTAATCTAATACTTTTGAAGTAAAATTTATTTATCACTATTTTAAATAGATAAATAAATAAATATATTATATAGAGCTGGTAAAAATATATATCCTTTGAAAATTCGATCTGAACTCAAACACAAAAAAATCGTGTTTGAATTTCAAAACATAAATTCAAATGTCTTGATCCGACACACTAATAAATACCAGATCGTGTTAGGGCCCACTAAAGTCGTGCCATGCCAATCACAACTCAGTTTATTAAAATTAATATTTTTAATTTTAACATTTTTACATGTATATTAACTAATGAAATAATTATAAGAATTAAATTATATTTTGATGGTGAAGTTCTCGGTGAACGGACATTTGATTGTAAGCTTCAAATTGGATCGTGCTCGCTCGGGCCTAACTTTTTAAACTCGATATGAAATTGGGCCATGTGGGCTCAGCACGTTTCCAAACTGGGCCAGTCTGAATTGTCACCGATAGTATTATACTCCATTCGTCATGTTTTAAAAGTTTACATATTTTTATTTTTGTCCGTTTAACTAAAAAAACACATTTATGAGCCATCACAAAATACAAACACCTTTTCTTTTTACACATATTTACCAATAAAAATAAAAATAAAAATCTAACTTAATTATATTATTTTGACACGTCCAACCAACCTATGTGTTAAGCAACAATTACACTTTGATTAACATAATTGAATGACCATTTTAACTTGAGCCATCTCTTCAACAATGATTGTTTATTAAAAAAATAAATAAATACAAATTTAAAGTAGTAATACTTGTCCAAATAGTTGGAATGGTCACTCTCTAATTATCAAAATGTTAAATTAAAATTGAATCTTTAAAATTATGATTTTAGTTTCGATTTAACGTTTTTTTATTACGATTTTGAAATCGCCAATTTTGGTTTAAAATTTTTCGGTTTTATCTTATTTATTTTTATTTTTTATTTTTTTAAAAAAAAATTCTTAATTTCACTTTTGATTTTATTTAAATATATATTTATTATGTAAAAATTATATAAATAATAACAAAAATTGGTTAGATTGTCGTAGTATAAAATAAAATTAAAACAATAAATTTAATAGATAATTAAATTAAGTATTGAATTAAAATAAATAAGAATAAATTATACTAAGTGTTGATGTACCAATATAGTTTAAATGAAATATAAATATATAATTAAAATTTCTAAAATTCAAAATATAAATATAATAATTATTTATTTATTTTATTAATATCAATATTATTTTTATTTTCATAAAAGAATATCATAATATATAATATTTTTAACTATAAATATAAAATAAACTTTATTGAAAGCTTCTGCCCTAATTAAAACATAGCACACTCACAGCCGCCGCACCACATCTCCCTTCTTCTTCCTAAACAGCCGGTTCGAAAAAAAAAACAGGAACCGAAACCAAACCGTGAGAAAACCGATTTCGATTCCGGTTCGAAACCGGTTTATTCTTTTAAATGATTAAAAATCTAAAATACAAATTAAAAGTAGCAAATGTACTAAACCGCAGCGTAGCCCCTTCCATTCAATTCCAATCTCCATCTTCATCTCGCTTTCATTTTCTCGATCGATCTCTCCTCCAGCGACAGTCCTCTACGACTTCATCATCATCATCATCATCATCTCTTCCTATTCCGGCTTCTTCGGAGGTTTGTAAGTTTAGTTTTGCACTAATTTTCTCTGTCGGAGGCTTTGTTACCGTCCTCCTTTTCGCTTCGTTGAGTATACTGTGATTTTTGGTTAATTTGGATTCTCTTCAGGCCTGTCGGTTTCGAGCTAGGTTGTTCGAGTTCGAGGAGCAGGAGCAGGTATTTCATTGCTTATTTATAAATTTTATGCAATTTTATATAACTGAAATTTACCAGCAATTCATTAATCGGTTCTTGTGAAAATGATGTTTCGAACTTGATATTCTTAATGTTTTTCTTTTAATAGATATATTTCGAAGAAGATAGTCGCAAACATTTACTTTGCATTTTCCTTTTGCATAAAAGCTGCTGTCAAGCCATCATCTATTCCTGGATCATGAAAATAGCTAGACTCTATCAATTTGCTCGAGCCTGCCCGGCTATTTGTGGAAGAACCATCCTCTTGCAGTGTCGATGGTTTCAACCTGATTTTGTTCCAAGAGATCCCACAGCCAAGCCAAAGAGATACAAATACCCTGCTTTCTACGATCCGTATGGGCCGAGACCGCCCCCTTCGGACAAGATTGTCCAGCTTGCCGAAAAAATTGCATCTTTGCCTCCAGAAGAGCGAATGCAGATCGGTTCAGCTTTGCAGGCCAAGATGAGTCTCCCGAAGTTGCAACGTATTGACACCGAAGGTTTGGATGTGGGTGCCCAAGCCGGGGCGCGTGCAGGGCCTGCGAAGACTGAGGAGAAGGCTGAGAAAACCACATTTGATGTTAAGCTGGAAAAGTTTGATGCTGGCGTGAAGCTTAAGGTGATCAAGGAAATTCGGTCCTTTACAGATCTTGGATTGAAGGAGGCTAAAGAACTGGTTGAGAAAGCACCAGTCATACTCAAGCAGCAGGTGACGAAAGAAGAGGCTAACAGCATAATCGAGAAGATCAAGGCTGTCGGGGGAATCGCAGTGATGGAATGAATGGGGTATGTGTTAGTCAAAAATTAAGATCACTTTGTAGTGCAATTGTTATATGTTTCTTCTTAATAAGAAAGAGATAGTTTTGACATCGAACAGATGAATTTTGCCTTGAGCTTGCTTGCAAGATAGATACACTTCCTTCATGTTCTAAGTTAGAATTGTTTTGAGTATGTCATGTTTCTAAAAGCAATTTATGTAAGGCATCTGCAAATTAACTTTTCACAAGATACTTCCTGTATCTATCTGTATGTCTTCTTTGTCTGTGTGTGCTGAAAAGTGAAGAAGATTGATGAATTAATGCATATGAAGTTGTGTATTTTTAATGACACAGATTGATTACTACAAAGGGATCCAAGACATACATCATCATCATCATTTGTACTGTACTGTAGAAGTACTTTATTTTCCATTCTGTGTTAAATATTCATTCTTTAGGAGTGGAGTGCTGCTAATCTATGCACATTACTTATACACTGTATATATAATGAAGCTCTCATCTCAGAATGATCTGATTAAATATGAAGGGAGACCTGAGTAGGAAAGATCATATGGTCACACTGTTTCGATGAATTGGCAGCGCAAATTTGCATGAGGATAGCGTGCAATTGATTGAGCGTCATAATCTTGTCATTCATCTGCCTTGCAGTGTCACAAGGCTTCTAAGATCCAAGAAATGCATTCTTGGAGGAGCCGGAACTTCTGATTCCCTGCTATATTCGAGAAGACCTGCAGTTTGGCTTGAAACTCGGAGGGGCTTTCCATGCAGGTGAAGGATCCAGCGCAGGCGCATTGCTCGGCTAAGTGCGCAGCTTTGATTTGGTTGCATTTGAGGCAGATGAGGTCCTGAAGATGGTAGAGCCTCTCGCGCTGTCGGATGATCTGAAGGAGTTGATTCTCCATTGCCTCAGAGTCGTAAGGCTGCCCGCACTGAGGCGCTGCACATCGCCATTCCCCGGCCATTAGTGATCGGTCATGGGACAAATCTAGATCCCTGCAGTCGTTGCAGTAGCTGCAGACAACACGTGATGCAGTTTCTGTTAGCTACCGAATGAGCTCAGAATTCGGAAATTGTTACATAACTCTATAGGGGATCCTTATACAACACTACATTTGCATTCTTGAAAAATTGCCGCAAATTAATGACGGAAGTACCTGCAAATGACATTTGGTAGGGTTAGCGGCGTAGATTGGTTTCGAAATTCAGCCTCTGGAGCAAATTCCTTTGTGCGGACGAGTTTCAGGAGATTTCTTCGCATAACCTTAGCAAGTCAAGAACAAACTAGACTATTAGCCTGAGATATTCAATTGACAAGAAGCCAAGTTACAAGAAAATAAACAAGTACAAAGTAGTTTGTATCGATGTGTTGGTTCAGATTAGAAGTAAAGTTATATAAAATGTTGAGATATTCTTACCAGAACTTCATGCTGAACTCTTCGATCGAGTGCCAGAACTGCGCAAACATACTTAATGAAATCCAGGGAAGAATTGCTCTTATGGCTGCTACTTGAAGATTGCAAGCTTCCACTGGATATGTTGGGATCACCCTGAGATTTGCTTCTATCGATCATATGAAGACTTGGATCGCAGACAATTTTAAGAAGTTTATCTGTAAAGTCGGATCCAATCTGTAGACAAATAATCGGTTTAAGATTTGCGAAGAATGTAAATGCAGGAGTTATAACATAACATGCTTCTATACCTTTTTCTTCAGAAATTCTGTTATCTGTGATTCAAGAATTTCGGCAGTTGAAGCTGTGATTGATGGTGTACAGTGTTCGCTCGTTACTGATGCTCTTTTTTCTGCTTCTTCTTGTGCAAACTTCCATGGAAAATATAAAAACTCAGAAACAATCAAGATGAAGTGATCCTGAAAAATGTGAACAGCAATGAATTAGCAGACAAACAATGGAATCATCGAATGCTTAAATGAAGGCTTAAGATTAAGAAATTCGAAGGGTAGCTTTTGCAGCAACATGTAAAAGACAAAATAAAGCGAGACAATTCAAGTCAAATCAGCAAACGAGCCTACGTCCTGGATTGAGTACAGACCTGAGTTGATTTAGGTAAGTTTTCTGCAATAGTCCAGTTGGAGACAATGTCAACTTGAGAGTCTGTCTGCATACTTTGACTGCTTGCTTCTGAATGTTTTTCCGAAGACGCCTCTCTTGATCTAGCTTGAATTCCGCCATAGTTATACTGTCATTGAGAAAAATGAGGGGAAGAACAGGGAGAAGATAAATGCATCAGAAAGTTGAAACAACACAGAGATCATTGCACATGCATTTTGTTTTCAACACACTAACCATACATGATGCCCACTATTCGAAATGGTCATTGCAACAAAATTGCATAAATATACATATGCATCTTATTACATAATCTCATGGGAAGTGGTCGGGACTTGGGGCAATATAAACTACGGTAAGGAGCTAACCTGATCCATAAAGAGCAGGGAATGCCAGAATTGACAAGGTTCAAGTTCAATCCACTCAAATAGGTCCCTGCTACCAAAGATAAATTTCAGGTGACAATAAATTGATAACTGAGTTACATGTCGTCCAGGAAGCATGCCGAGACAAACCTTGTTTGCAGAGTTTTAAGTACACTGTCACAATAAGCTTTAGCTGCAGAGAGATCTGACTTTCCTGTATCAATTATAACTCTGCCAAAGCTTGCAAATACGATTGTTGCGCCTAATTTCCGAAGCTCAGCCAACAACAGAGCAAAAACCTTTTGCATAACCTGTCATTAAAGGTGTCATCATATCTTCAATGATTAAGAATCCCCTAATCAATTTCAGAAAAAAATAATGCCAAATTATCTCCTGACACAAGTCGCATATTTTCAAGCATATAAAAGATCAATAAAAATAACCACACAATATTTATAAACTTAACTATGTATTAGACCCAAAGTTCTTGATCTTGAATTTAACCATCACCATTTAATGAAAAATCATTTCAGCACATTTTCTTTAAGGGAAAAAAAGGAAAACAAAAGTTAACATGGAAAAAAGCTCCTGAAGAAACATGCAAAAGTTAGAAAAAAGTTTGTATGCATGAACTTATGCATATCTTGACCGATTTAAACTTTGGATGAGGTGATGTTTAATCTTTTCCAATATACATACTTATTTTTCCAAGAATCTCTTGACCATGCATTATGATAATCCTTTTCTGACTTCTACTATAACACTCGGTTTCCTGAGGATGCTCACCTTATGGAGCATTCGATGGAGAGCAGGATCATGGAGTCTAGACTTTGGACTGCAATATAAAAAAAAGATAAGTTACTGAAAGGATTGGGCAATGCATTCAACTAGATTATATATATATATACCTGCAAAGCCAGCGGTAAAGATGCTGCAATATAGCATCTGCAAACACATTTCCTGATGTCACAGCATCAGAGAGACACCTTTGTATCAACTGCTTAAGCACCCGAAATGCAGGTGCACATGATGTTTCCTCATCACAATAATATTGTCCGTCAGATGAGGTGGGATTTAATTCATGGTCCAGACCAAATAGCGCTCCTCCTTCCATTTCATTCACTTGATTGCTTTTCAGGAGAGCATTGACAGCTAGATGATGAATCTAAAAGATAAAGGCAGAACAATGCATCAAAATCCCACACAAAAGAAGGGACCGACCCGATGGAAAGGAGGTAGAGAAACAACTAAAACCTTAAGTTCAACAGTAACTTTCCTATATGCACCGGGATAAGTCAGAACAGGTTGATTAACCTGGAATAAAAGAAAAACTATCAATTCACAGACACTGCAGCTGACAAAGAAAATGCTGCCAAGTAAAGATACTCTGATATTGAGTCCAAACCTCATCTACAAAAGACGGTACTTCTTCGTCAGTGCCTCCCAGATCAGGAATGCCATTATCAGATGCCCAAAGAACCTTATAAAGATAAATTATACTTGAGGATTCAAATTCAAGAAATGGTAACACCCTCTCTCAAAGCATCGGATTAAAAAACACAGGCTTTTGATGGGAATTATAGCAGTGTGGCTCAGCATTGCTTTATGTACTGAAATGACTTAAGAAGAAAATGTAAGCGAAGTTCAATTTTGTGATGAAGAAAACATCCACCTGTTGCTGATCATGCAGTGCTCTAGACAAGAAGATGTCTGCTGTATGTATGAGCCAATCAACTTCAAAATTTCCCAAAGGAACCTGCATATAAACACCAAAATTTGTTAGATAAGAAATTGAAATAGGCACGTTCAATGAACATATGTTATCAAGAAACCGAAGCAACAGATCATACATGGGCATATCTTGAAAGTGAAATTCTCTCATTCAACCATTGGGATGATGCAGCACACCGCTGTATTCCGATTTTTGCAGCAATAACTTGCCAACCTATAGCCTATCCACAAAGAATGTTGCAGCATGTTAGTGCAATTAAAGTAGAAACACATCATAAAGAGACTGTGTCTGAAACAGATCACCTGATATAAACTATCACGAGCATTGGAAGGAATAGTTATACAAGGAAGTTCTTCTAATGCCCGTATGCTGGTCTTTAATAAATGAGAATTAGGACTCTCTATAATAGCAACTACAGGTCCATGATGCCGATGCCTGTCAAACCAATAACAAGTCACATGTCCAGCCATTCATTCAGCAATGCCATAAAAGTAGCAGATATATAAGATGCACATGCAGAACTCTCTAAGTTTGAATAGCTGTTGGATGTGTTGTTAAAAGTAGAGTCAGAAAAAATTAGCTCAATTTGATTCCATATATCCAAACGACAAGTTATACTTTAAATGAAAGCCTCATTCTATCTATATGTGAAAGAAAACATAAAAAGCTTTGGCCTACTATATGATACGCGGACCCTATAGAGATAGAATTTCATCCCATTTACGGTCATTAAAATCGAATTGCATCATCAAATTTTACAATCTTTTCATAAATTACGCTTTCCTCAAATTATATCTATTACATTTTGTAGAATTTCATAGTTGTATATTATTAATAATGAAATCAGGGTCATATAAATAGACATGATATATAATAATAACAACTGAAATATAACTAAATAATAAAGGAGCATATGCATAATAGTCATGCTAGAGGACAATTGTGGGGATGGAAGGTTCAATTAAAAGCTGATTCAATATTTTAATTACGAAATAAGCTTATAAACACGCTATCACTCAGTCTGACAAATAGGTTTTATTTTGAAAGAAGACGAAAAACCTGTATTCAGTTATCTCCTTCAGCAAGCTTCTTTGAGCATCCTTGACACTCCCGACATAATCCACCTTGACAACAGAGCATTATTATAAACGAGTATAATGAAAAATTAATAATACAGATGTATCTAGGCCAAAATAAATATACCTTGAACGTAATTCCTTCATTAGGCATAGGAGGTTGATATGATAATGCTTGTGTGGCTTCATAGAACTGCCTCTCTAGCATTTGAGTTGATAATTCCTTAGTTTGGTAAGGACTGGCAACCACAACAGATCCTTGGGATGATGCAGGAAAATATGCTACAAACATAGCTCGACTATCACAGAAGCTGATGACCATTAGAAACCAAGAATTAGTACAGACATGCTACAGAACAAAATATAAATAGTTAATAGAGTACAAAAAATAAAATAAAATAAAAAATTGAAGGACCAACTACAAGATTAAGCAAGTACATATAAACCTATGCTAGTATGATTAGGCCTGCCTATCAGTCAATGGAACAATAAAACAATAATATTCACAAGCTCTCCGATGCCACATAAAAGTTTGAAAACAGTGTAAACTCATAGCAATTTTGCATTTTGTAATAAAACACCAACAAATTTTGTATGACATCATTACCTATGATACAAGTAAAAGAAAGAAATTGACTGTTCCAGATATGGACACTCTGTTGTTGTCTTCATTTGCAATTCACTCAAAGTCCAACCATCTTGCGGATTTCTTTTTTTTGCAGTCTTGTCCACTTTGCAGACACAACCAATCTGAAGGATAGCATTTAACTCCAGAGGAATCTTGGATTCATATATCCCCTGGAAAAGTTTCACAAAGCAAGTCAGGATCACATAATTTTAAGGCAGAGTTTTGATAGATAATGTACTCAAATCTGGACATTTTCCTTGGGACCTTAAGGGTAATTTTAATTAAATAGTTATCAAACCCAATTGCAAATGATTACAAAAGTAATAATCATTGAATTTGAATCAAAGCTGTACATCATTAATAATAAAACTCACGTTTTTGTAAATATCTTCTCAAGAGTAGTGCGTGATAATATAAAGAAAAGTGATTAAGCGTTATCAAGACAAAGAACAAAGAAGAATTTTCCAAGTGGAGAACTTAAATGTTTGCAACTATGCATCAATACAATACACCTGAGGTCAAACAAGGTAGTCAAGAAAGCTCTACTGAATTTTACAGCATGTTTATTGATAGGGCACAATACCTCAACTTCGGGGTCTGCAAGGTGAGCTGCTAATTTTCGGCTTTCTGCCCTAAATTGATCTTCATCAATAATAACCTATGAAGCCACATTTAAACTATTACATCAATCACTCGAAACTTTTGACAACTGTGTTTAAACATAAGTAACATATTATCTTTATTTGTACCTCAATCAAGTTGAAGCTTTGGCGACCATGGGGAAGTATCTTGTTCACACGTCTTCCTGGGAATTCTTCAGTTACAGGGGCTTTAGAATTGAGGTAAAATATCCTAGGGACAAGTACAGGTATCTTATGCATTGTTCCTTCTACTACCACCCAAGCGAAAAATTGGCCATGCTGTGCACTTGGTACAAGCTGAATAATCTGACATGAGAATATTTCATTCAGCTATTATTCAGGAAAGAGACACTGCTAAATGCTTAAAGAATACATCACCTGCCAATGACAACGTTTAAGAGCTAAGTCATGCCTCTGAAAATAGGTATTCACCCCAACTGCACCCTGAGACTGTCTACCTCTGGGGCGGTTCTCTTCAACATTAATTGGGTTTAACCTGACAAAAAAAATATATCCATGTTGATAAAAAATACCAATCAATAAGATTACAACATATTTTAATAACAGTAAATCCACACCCATTAAATAATAAACTCACATTAGTCAGCAAGCATACATGATTAATCATTCTAATAACTTTTTCATATACCTGTGTTTTCACAAAAAGATTAAATTAAGAAAAACTACCTTTGACGTTTCCTTTTTTCACGGGTTTCTTTCCACTTTCTCTTCTTTAACTCAAGCCAGCCTTGATAATCTACACATCTATCGATAGTTACTTCAATATCCTTTTGCAATGGATGTCTCGAGTGCTCTGCAATTTCATCTCTTCCATTTTGCTCCAACCCTTCTTCTGGATTCTGTGTTGTAGCTTTATGGTGTTCATTAATTATCCCATAGGAATGAACAATAGGCTGAGGCCTAACTTGAGGTGTTTTCTCAGTGTTCATGAAGTCTTCCATGTCTGAAATACTAATTCTGTCTTTTCCATGGTCACTGGCGGTCATCCTCTCAGCATCTTCTCCCTTTCGGCGACTGAATATATCAACCAATTTCCGCTGACGAAATTTGTCTTCTTTCTCGCGAACCTTCTTGTGCAGCCAATCTGGATGAACCACCCTAGGGACAGGATTTGCAACCTAGTAAAAGTGCAACTTCAGTACAGAAATTAGAAAAATGAAAAAGCTTAATCAGCATCATTGAGGAGCATCACCACCTTTTGCATAGCTGCTGGAATTGTAATTATTTTTTGAATAGCTGAACTGAGCCTCTGTTTGTAATACGACCAATCAATAATAGATCGTATGCCAACATCTGACGAGACTTTGCACCATTTTTTCACATAGAACTTCATGATTTCTGTCATCCGCATACAGGCATAAGCAATGAAGCAACATGACAAGAATCAATGCTGGATAACTACTAATTAAATTGTACCCTCATCAGTCTCAAAAATTGCAACAGGGATAGCACGCTCGCTCACTGGGGTTCCCTGCCCAATTAAGCATGCCAATCACTTTAGAGTTAAACAAGGTTACATTCCAAGAGAATCCATTAGGTTAAAATCCTGGTATAACGGAAGTACCACAAAAGAAAGATATATAATTAATGGCTATCAGACATCAAAAGGTAGGACATTGTACAGCATCAAGAGTGAATACTGTTTCAAATTAATTAATGCATAATACTTATCAAATGAAAACCAGAAAATCCTATTTGTGGACAAAAAGAAAAGTGAGTCGTATAACCTTGACAATGCAAATATTTCTGTACCTTGGGTTCACATGCAACTATGTACTGGCAAAGCAATCCTTTGTCTTTAACCATAGCGTCCCCAAGGAAATCAGCTAAGCGTTTTGCTGTGGTCACAGCACATGACTTTTGTTCACCATAGTCTGCTAATGACTTGCTCATTGTGCTTGATTCAGATATATAATCAAGCAATTCACTATCTGCAATATCTTCTCCCTGACTCTGAAATGATTATAAATGCATCAATCAGTTAGGTAAGACAAGCAACTATAATAATACACCCTTCAAAAGAATGAACATTGGTGTCTCATTTTACTTTAGGTACTGTGAATTAGTAGAACATACATTTAAGCATTTTTTTGATGGAATTATTTAAATGAAGAAATCTTTAGAATAAAACAAACAATAGATTATGACCAAGAGTTCAACTTTAATTAATGGTGCTACAGAGATTAAATAAATATTTTAGTAAAAGATATGTTAGCAAGGCTTGTTTGTATTTCAACATTAAAAGATGTCATACATCAAGAAGATCAAGCCAGCGATTTGCAACAGAAGCAACAGCTGAGTAGCACTCTTCTAATGTCGAACCATCAAGAAACTTATTAAATAGCTCAGCCTGCAAAAAGAAATTTAGCAAACTTGTGAAACACAGCTATTCTATAAAGTTGCAGATGGGGAAAATTCTACCCAGCCCAAGGGAATACCTGGAACACTTTTATCAGCTTGAGCTCACCTCTACGCTTGATCTCAAAACCCTTCAGTTCGGCTAGGGTACCGTCATCATTAAAAACTGCATACCGCTTCTTAATCAATATCCCTTCCTCCTTGGAAGCAGGTATAATCATTGCCTATAATCATGTGATTTTGCTCAAGTTTTGAGTTCAGCATAAGAGGTATAAGTCAAAGACTAATACGGTAAAAAAAACCGCCATGTCTCAGGTATTTAGTCAGGATCACCTTATATGGACCGTCCACCTCAAACTCAATAGAACACTCACTATGAGTTGAGTATGTCTTGCTAATAGGATCTTTCAGGTTCTGCAAGAAGAGATATAAACAATTATTAATATTATTGTTGTTGTTGCTGTTGTTGTTATCCAATGAATTTAACTTCCAATTTCCAAGGCAAACAATAAATCAAGTGGCTCACGGAGGTAATACCAGTAATTGAGATGGAAACGAATGAAATTTAGTTTACGAACCTGATATTGATCATTGGTATTGTTTCTGGCCACATCAACATTGAGCATAACACAAGGATATGAGATTGTCAACTTCTTAGAGGTTCTGAGGACAATGAATACAAGATGATCAGAACAAAAATAAATAAAAAAATTAAATTAATATACAATGAAAAAACTCATCCAACAAGTAACAGATTGTACAATAATACTAGTTATTTTACTTTAATACCATCATTTGAATTTGGTTAAATATGGAAATTCACCATGTATTTCAAACTAAAACCATACTTTGTTTTGAATGTGAAGTTCTCTGGGAATGATTGTGGTAGTACACACCAAATACCATCAGTGTCCAATTCAAGAGGCCTTCCAATTCTTTCAATCAGTAACCTGGCATTCTGAATAATTTTTGCTCCAGTATATGTAACTACACCTGCCATTTCCATGGAATACCATCGTGCACCCCTACAAGATTTAATGTCAGTGATATACAGTAGCCCAAAAGATTCATCAAACAAACATTACTGCAAGTAACGGGAAACATGCAGACGTACTTGCGCATAACATATCCGTAGAAGGAGTTGAGAATGCACTTGTGGGCTAGTTGTAAGGAATCATACAGGACTACCATATCCTGTGACAAGTATATTTATAGGTGTTAAATTCATTTATACATTACAATGACAATTTACTGTAATGTAAATGAAACTGATAGATTCATACTTGTGCTTCCTGGATCTTAATAGAATTCCCACTAGCCTTTGCCTCGGCCAATTTTCCCTTCCAAACTTTATTGAGCCCTTTGTATTCATATCTTCTATCTCGAAAGCTTTAAAAGATAAAGAAAATAATTAGGAACCAAAAAACCTACAATGAACCTGTCAAGCAATACCTCAATTTTTATAGAGGGCAAGGCAAGTATGCATGTGGATTGAAACCATGAATGGAGTAATGAAAAATTCCAGGTGCCTACCTGCGAACAGTGTCAACATAAAATGGATTTTCACGCATGCAGATCCCTGCTTCTTGCAGTTCAGTAACAGGTTTATCAAGTACTCTTTTGTATGCCTAGAAATACAGGAAAGACAGTCTAAATCTGTCACAGGCACCTTAATTTCAACATAGGGAAATAGGTTGTATGAGGCTTATACCTTCTGGCAGTATTTCTTTAGACGGTCCTTGAGTTTCAATTGTTGATCTGCTTTTGAGAGGTTGAGGAAAGAGTTTGACAGTTGCCCATTCGTGCTCTCAACAAGCTCAGATTCAATTTGCCTTTTCAAATGATAGTAATCACTGAAACAATAGCAGAAAGTTTACTATAATATTAGTCTGGATATTGATACAACATTCTCCAAAAAAATTTGCAGTGAGAGAATTAAACCTTCTCTTTGCCATGTAGATCTCTCCACGCCAGACCCATTCAAGCTTCCTCAGGCAGTTTTTGCCAGGACGATTGAAATCACATGCAGTGCATATTTCATCTGTGACTATTGAAGGTGGCTAGAAGTAGAAAGAAGAAGCTTAAATGTTAGCTCGTTATATCACTTTTGTGATTGCATCTATATTTTCATGTGATACCCTATAATGTAGTGTCAACCTAGGAGAATAGTGTAACACCATTTTGCAGAGATTTATGAACGTTGTATCTAATCAAGACAGCCTACATTTAAAAACTCTTATGACTTACTAAACTTTTCAACAAAAACCCAAATGCAATATTCATGTTTTAAGGCTACCTACTTCACACTGTTTCCAAGACACCTATAGTGAAAACTCTACTTAACTATGATGTTCCAAACTTTGAACAAGAACCTAAATGCGAGATTCATGATTTATGAGTAACAGCTCTGCAATGTTTCTCTGATGTGTAAACAATCACATTGCTCAATTGATAAAAAAAGTTTCATGATACAAAGCGCACTTGATAAAGTCATCTCACCTGAAGTCTGTTAGTCAAAATGATATTTGGATACATGGCTGCAACATCAAGATGATATATGAGAGGGCATTCTTCACGTATTGGCTCATCCCGCAGTTTCACAAGCTGTATATTTAAGGGCAGAAGTTAACAAAAAGAAATTGGGCTGGTTTTACAGGCAGTCCAATACTGTTTAAGCACATTCAAAAACACAAAAATGGATACTGTGAAAGGGAGAATAATTCAGACTATGGAGGAAAAATGAAAACTAGCACCAGGAAATAAATTCCAACGCATGCTATTAAGCATTTCTGTGTAACACAATACATGCACATTACACAAAAAACCATATTAAATTTGAAGCCATCATTTTTATTTTTATTTTTTCAAAAAAAAAAAAAAAAAAGGAAAAGAAAGAAAAGAAAGCAAAAGTCTACAATAATACTATATACAGAGAACAGTATTCGTGTTGTTGCTGCAATAATGTCTGTGAATTATAGCTAATACGCGTGAACCTAATTCTGAAAATATATTAACTTCTCGTAAGAAATTAAACAGATCTCAATTTTGGTATTACTAACATTACACTACCTTTTCCTTGATTGCATTCTTCACTTCATCATAATTCGTAACTGATTCTATGTCCATCTTTCCCTCCACTTTAATAGCATATTGCAAGTCACGGTCAAGGTTGTCAAGTAGTTGCTGTAAGGATAAGAGTATTACTCCCAGTAAGATAAACCAGTAAGGATGCCAATATTGGAAATCATCAAGGTCTATGGATTCAATAAAGTGAAAAAGAATAATCAAATCCCAATAACCATCTGCAACAGATAATTACAGTACTTAAACAAAATTTTTTTTTCAAAGGCAGCAGTCAAACTAGACAAGCAAAACAAATTTGATATTATGTTGACGCTGAAGAGTTTGACTGTTTCAGCAGGCTGACCAACAGCATAAACTATATATCTTGTGATAATGTTTGCCTCATTCTTTAAAAAAATTACACAAATATTCAGATTTCCAAGTTCCAACTATTGTATGAACTGCTGTCAGACAGTCTGCACTATAAGAGCGGGATATACACCAATCAATACTCACTTGCAATCAAAATTTAAATAGCTGTACAAATATGTGCTTGAGTATTTATTGAAGGGAGAGGCAGAACCATTACCTCATATGCACCTGGATCAAGTTTAAAACTGGCTGGGAGATCTGATCTAAAAACTCCACTTTCTAGACATTCCACATGGCCACCAATATATGTTTCACTCTCGAGAAGTTGATTCTTATAGAACTTCTCTGGGTCAGATTGGTGTTTGTTGGGGCAGATAACATTTGCTTGGTATGCCTATCAGCATCATAAAAGCAAAGCACAGGTAAGATTATACTCACATATGAAGCCAGTAAGTCCGAAAATCAAATTAGAAAAGGCTGAAAATTAGTAAAGCCAGTAAGAGGAAAGAAAATTAAATTATAAAATGCTTCAAAGACCAAACATTAAGAAAATGAAGCATCATGTGTAGGTTGTTCAGCATAAAACCATAAACAATATAAGGTTTCAATTACCCACCTGGACCATAAGAAGCATTTCGCAGAGAGTCCCGCTTCCTTTCCTTAAAACCTCATCTGGTGTCATTGGAATAATGGTGGCAAGGGAGAAAATAAATGGGTGCACATAAGTCATGTACAGGTAGTAAGTTGCAACAGCATCAGATACAGAATAGGATGCCATCATCTGAAAAGACATAACAAAGCATAAGGGGCAGTTGAAATAAGTGAGAGAATTCTATCTACCAGACTGCATGATCATGATGGAATTCCTAACTAATAATGCAGCATAATGCAGCATACTTACAAGTAATATTATTAGGAATTAACACCAGTACACAGAGAAACATTTATCTAGAGTGCACAATTTTAATGACTATAGCAATAACTACATCCAGCTGCTTCCAATGAAAGTTGTAAAGGATTTCCCTAATAAAACATAACATTGCCACCAAAATAGCAATATCATACAGCTTTTGTTTTCACACCAGCTTCTCACATGCAAACCAAAATAATCATATTATAGTTTTAGGGAAGTGTTCCTTAATTCCATATCAGAAGAAATGCACCAAATGGAGCTCAACTTACAATTAACATAATTTTTACCTACAAGAAAATGATAGGTTTTTGAACCTTTAAAATGGTAACTCTCACTGATAATCTTGAGTCTGATCAACAACAGTCAACCATAGGTTTGACAGTTCTACAAGTTACATTCACGGCTGTAATTTCTTTCCCTTTATTAAGAAAAGATTAAGTACCAATAAATGCAATCTAAGTGATACAGATTCTTATTCACTTTGCTCAGTTAGTAGTTTTAACAAAGTAATGCATTATGGCTATTGGACCTTAACCCTCCACATAGTTGCATGAATGCTTTATATGCCTGATTGTGTTGTTTAACAAAGTAGTGTACATGTGTTTCATCACAGTGATGTTTAATATAAATCACCACTGACATGAACAATATCAGATTAAAGTTGTTCATGAAGTAGCAGTTCTGTAAACATGAATGTTCTCATTGAGAAGAAGCTTATAGTATTCCCTTATCCTTATTAGAACATTGTCATATAATTGTTCATTTTCTCTATTATATAATGCATTGGCAATCCAAAAATGAAGAGTCAGAACTTGTACCTGAGGTCTTTCTTTGGCAAACCGAACCATGTCCTCTGGATTGACTTCCAATGGATCATAACCCAATTTTGCTTTTGTCACAGCCTGGAGCATTAGATATACAAGTCATTGACCGCAGAAAAGAGATTACTTGATAAGATACAAAATTCACAGGATACAAAATCCTCAATCACAACCTTAGAGTAAAAGTCAAAATTAACATAAAGTAGGCCCTAAATTTACAGAAGAACCATGTACAACACTATGTAGTATTCATAAAATAAGTGAGATGGATTCAGGGTACAGGGTCTGGGGGCAAATAAAATAAGTGAGAATTCTAGCCAGCATACTGCATGATCCTGATGAAATTCCATACTAATAATGTGATATTCACAACTAATACTATTAAGAATTAACACAGTACACAGAGAAACATTTATTCATAGAGTGTGCAAGTATATAATATTTTATATGTCAAAAATATAAAAGTAATCATATTAATACCATGTATTAATCCTCTGATTACAAAAACAAAATTTCATACTCATTGATCCAAATTAATGACCAAAAGTGTTTCTGCTTGTACCCCAATAAGGAAGTTATACTGTGTTTCTAAGATGGGGTGTTTGAGAGGAGGCTGTCTTGGGTTATTACGATTTAGGGGTTGTAATGTGTTCCCATGATTTTTAGTTTTTTAAAGTGTTTAGCGCAGTTGTTTGCTTATTGTATGGGGATCTTAAGAAATGCTTGAGAACACTGACAATGCCATTTTCTCATCATTTTGGTGTTCAGGTGCATTCTATGTCCAAGAAGGACACAATAATGAAATTCAACAGAATGGTGGGCACCGTTAATGTAAATCTAGAAATCTCCATGTGCATAGAAGAATCATAAGTTGCTTGGATGCCATCGTAATTCGTAACCTTATTTTGAACCTAAAATTTGGGAACAAAGATCATATCACTAAGGTTTCATTGGTAGGAAGGAAATGAAATAACACTTTTACTTTTTTGGGTGTGTAGGGGTGAGTGAATAATCAAGAGTTGGAAAAACTTTTTGTTACAAACATAGCATATGCCAACATATAGTCAACTTAACATTTAGGAAGCATAATGAAAGTAAGGCTAAAAATCTGAAAACAAACAAATGATGTGTTTGCATAGTGGTATGATGTGATGTTTGTTAGACAGAATAGTGTATTTTGCTTAGGAGGGGGGGGGGGGGGGGGGGGGGGGGGGTGATTGGGAATTGCACATGAATGAAATAGAAAAAAGAAGAATTGCACCTTTAAGCCATGGCTGCCTTGAGGGAGATAACTATCACGTTTAACCCATGCAAAGCAGTCCATGTGGCAAGCAAATCTGGCACGGCATTCGCCTTGGTTTTTATCACACCGAAATCCAAGCTCCTGTAAATCATACAAGTTTAGTAGGCAGACATACATAATTTAGTGTAGGACTCGCTTCCATAATATCTGGAAAGTGATTTTCAAATGAACTGGAGTAGCTGTTGCAACTACTCAACAAGCTCCTTAGTTAAAAAACATAACAAAAAGCAGTGATTATGGATGATTTTGATGCTCATATGCCACCATAGTGAATTTGAATTTGGTAGGTAAGGTCACATTTTTCTGAACTATGGATAGTAATGGACTGGGATTTGTTATTGCAGGTTCACTGAAAATAGTTGAAGAAACTCTTTTAGCTAGCACTGATGTAATACATACTTCATTCATGTCAAATCCATGATAAACTGCTCTGCGTTCAAGGAAGGGCCAGTCGAAGAAGTCTCCATTGTATGTGACATATATACCAGGCTTCACATCTTGCATATGGTTAAACCACCATCTAAGAAGTTCCTTCTGCACAATTGTTGGAATCATAAAGTAAATTCAGTATTTTAGTTTTGAATGTGTACATGTATTATTTATGAATAACATATATTGCATCATTTACCTCATCTTTCACATTTGTCACCTTGAAAAACCCTTCATACTCTGGTTTGGGAGTGTATTCTAAATCCTCTATGTCCTCACCAACACACTGCAATTAACCAGTCATCATTATTTACAGAAGTTGATCATCTAATTAGTTACTAAAGAAAAAAATAATCTTTACTACAAAAGACTACATAAATTAGATACCATATTGCACTGTTTGATATTATTGACAAATTCCCACATATCAAAATTTGCCAAGAGCTCCATACTTCAGATTCATTTAATCCTTGATCAGTTACATCCAATGGTACCAAACTTTCTACTGTCAGCATTGCATAATGAAGAATACAAATTCTTTTATGGTTGACAAAGAAATTAAATATGATCATTTATAAGAGGCCACAAATATTCAGATTTAATATTCGTTAGAAATATGCTGCCTTCTTTTTGAATTCATCCCATAACACAAGCTCTTTTCTAATCAAGGATAGGCATTCACTTAGCACATGTCCTCTCCAGCAACCCCTCTCTACTGCCTTAAACTATGAGATTTTTAAAGAAAAATGAAAATAAACAAAAAATTAAAAACTTATGGGATGTATCAAGAATCATAAAAGGTTACCAAAACTGAAAGACTTAAGTTCTAATTTAGCATGCTAAATTAATCTTGATTTTTCAATTGTTTTTCGACAATAATCCATGCAAACAAATTATCAAATGCTTGCAATTACTCAACTTAAGAGATATAATCAATGGAAAGAAGTGGATGATAACACTGACTAGTAACTTATATTCATGCTTGTAGAGAGAATGCAGTTAAATTTCATTTCATTTTGATTACCTCCCTATTAATGATAAGATATCCTTGGCCATCAACCATGTAAGAAATCATCATGACTGAATCATATTCTGCATCAGGAAATTTTAAAGGAAGCTTTGTGGTTTCAATATCAAAAGCACATATATGAACTTCTGCACGTTGTAAAAGATCTTTTCTCCTTTCCATTGTAATTCCGCCGCTGGATATGCTTACATCATACCACTGCCCGCATCTTATATCTGAATTATGCAAATCAAAGAATGAGACAGCATACAGAGAATTAAGGGAAAATAAGCTTCGTTATATGAATAAATAAGTCACCATTATCAATGGCAAAGCGAACATGATAAGGTACGTCAAATTCACGAAGATCGATTATGCACTCTATGAAATCCTGAGGTCTTTGTTTGCTGCACAATGAGAATTGTTAGATTCAGGTAAGAGTTAGCCTATGCGAAAATATGAAGTGAACACAGTAAAATTAAACATTTCAATTGAAAAGGTAAACGAGGGAGGGGGAGGGAGCTACTCTAATATGAAAAACTAATAATGAATATGCAGAGATGATCATTACCTTCTCCCAGTCAATATGGATTCATATGCATCCTCTGCATCCATCTTTGCCTGGTTTCTTTCAACAACCTGAATGAGATCCTTCTTCACTTGCATCAATTGTTGTACAGTGTCAAAAGATATCTTCAAATAAGATTTTTGCAAACCAGACAGGTGATTTTTCTGCAACAATTGATGAGTATTTCAGAAAAAAGTCTCAATATAACAAAGTTAACATTCTTTCAGCATCAAAGAAATGGGAAATGGCATCATAAACCCTAATAGCATTGTTGATTCTTAATAGGCCCAAGTTCTCACTATTATAGGATTTCACTTAATATAAAAAGAGGAAATTGGACACTTTGTATTGTCAATCAGAACTGTGTAAGGAGTAAATCAAAAGAACAAATGCATTTGGGCACAAATTCTAATACCATTAACACTATACCTTTATGTGATTTTATGATTGGCTCTCATCTATAATTTACTGTAGGACTCCAAAAGATTTCAGATTCTGAATGTTAAATCTCAGAACCTACAAAGCATCGAAAGGACCTTATAACACACTTTTTTATTCACCTGTTTAGGAAACTTATGTTCTCTTCAGATCTTTTTTCTCATTTACACAGCTCACTTTAGCACCTTTGTTACTACAGTTCCAATGAGCTTCCACGAAAGTTAGATTTACTTTTGACACCATAAAATTGTGTAGCAAACTAGCAATAACATTGGAAAACCAAGTTTCTGCTTGCAGTAAAAATTATGCACATTACAAGATCAAGATCTTCTTTCTCCACAATTTTAATGTCGGCTACTTCGCCTTCATATCGCCTCCTCAGATATGCTTCAACATCCAACTCCATTTTCTCCTATAATCAAAATATGCAAAACAATATGAGTCCTTCATAACATACAGAAATTGGCCATTAAGCATCAACCTTCCTTTTGGTACTCATACATATATATGTGTGTGTGTGTTTGTACTTATATATTGACTAACCTTGGTAGCGGCATAAAAATATGGCCGGTACTTGTACTTTGCCTTAAACATAGATCCATCCTTCATTCATAGCATTCAACAGTAAATAAACAGACAAAATTATACATAAACACGACTCTAATGATTCTAATTTACTCGTTCCACTAAGGAAAACTGAACCACATACCTGACATACAAAATAAAGATCGACAGAACTGTACACTTTACGAGTTTCTTGATCCTCCCAAGACGACTATTTGCAAAACCAGCTCATAATCATTAGTAATTAAACATAAAAAAAAAAACCACCAGCAATATTCAAGTAGACGAATTGACAATAAAATAAATAAAAATGCAAGAGAGAATCTCACAGAGGCGAAAGTAAGCAACCAGCCGAGGCGCCTCTCTCCTTCTGTAAAAAGATCGAATCCCAGCCTGGACTCGAGCTGCTCCTCCGCATTCAGAATTAACTTCTGCTTCTTGGAAATCCGTGAATCCCTTCGATCTCTCCGACGATAGTCGCCGCCATTCATCCTTCCTACGCAGATTCTGACACTTCCAGAAGTGACTTGAACAATAAAATGAAGTGGAACCGATAAGGAAGTAGCAGCAGCGAGATCGGAAGATTTTGTAGAGAAGGGAAAGAGTGAGGGAAGTGCGAGAGAGAGAGAGAGAGAGAGAGAGGGAGAGAGGGAGAGGCTGTAAATATTTGTTTCCCGCGCTTAAGGATGTCGTTGTATTATCAAATTGACCCTCCAATTTTGACAACTGATGGGCTGATGGGCCTTTTGGGCCCATTTAAACTTATGTAGCCCATAAAAAGGCTCTAAGGTTTCAAACATTGATTTTTTATTTTATTTTTTAGTATTTTTTTTTGGGTTAAAATTATGGGTGTATTTGGTTGGTATATCCAGACACAAATCAATCATAATTATACTAGTAAAAATATATTAGGACAAATTCTCCGTAAATATTATAAAAATACGATATATATATTCGTATTTTATTCATTAAAAAAAATGTTCTAACATAAAATATTATTTATTTTTTATATTATCGACCTAACATAAAAAAAAAATCGACTAAAATTTAAAAAATTCACCTGTGATTGTATGAAATTGCACCAAATTTTTATATTTATAAAATTGTGTCAAACTTATTCGTGGTCTCGTAAACTCTGTCTCTAACGCATTCAGTATCCTTGTTTGAAGGTATTTGACCTTAAATGCGCTTGTGAATAAATTTTAGAATTTTAATTTCTAAACCCTTAAAATTACAAATATATTTATTTTTCTTGTATTTAGTCTTAAACATAGTAAAAATAAACTCTTAAAATCCGAAAAAATAACTATTTTTGAAGGGCCTAGTAATTGACGATAATTGGGGTGCAATGTGGACGTCGCATTCTAAAGTGGGGATTGTGTGATATCCTTGGAGTTGGGCTGTTGTTTGGTCAAATCCTATGTGTGAATGAGTCGGTATTAAGTCATCCGAAATTAATTAAAGGTTAAATAAATTCAATAAACTACTCATATCAATAATGTGCACATTCATTTTCGAGAGTCCTATTGAAAAAATTCTAGTTTTAAGCATGCTTGTGCTTGCTCTTGCTCTATAGCAATTTGAGGATGAGTAACCCATGAATGGTCTCCGCGTGAGTAGGATAGAAGCGTGCTGGAAGAACTCGTGTTGACATGTAGGGCCAGTTTATGATCCTAACACGATCGTATTGATCTGTAGAACTAGTCTACGATCCCGACACTACTGGTTTTGCGTGGCTTTGCAGGCCTGAGTATGGATGGCATACCGTACCGTACCGAAAATACCGGTCGATACCGATACTGTACCGAACTTTTCGGTATGACTAAAATACATACCGGTACCGTACTGAAAGTTTCAATATACCGAATTTCGGTATACCGAAATTTTCGGTACGGAACGGGTATATACTGTTTATACCAAAAATTTCAATTTTGATACGATACCGGTATATCGCTTATACTGAAAATTTTGATTTTGGTAGATACCGGTATATACCGATTATACCAAAAATATAATTTAAAATTTCAAAATAATTTAAAAAATTAACAAATATCCTTATTCTCCACCAAAAAATATTATAAAAAAACCAATAAATTTTCAATACTTTACATATTTTTTTTATAATTTAAAAACTATTAATAATTATTATTTATATTAATAATTAAATTATTTAATAAAAATAATATCAGTACGGTATCTTACCAAAATATCGAACTTTCCGAAAATTCATACCGATACCGTACCGAAAACTTCGGTACGATATCCATACCGTACCAAAACTTTCGGTATACCCAAATTTTCGACACGATACGATACGATAAATCGTTATTTCAGTATGTTCGGTAAATTTACCCGCCTGAGTGTCACAAATTTAACAATTGACAAAAAAAAAAAAAAGAATATTGATATAATTTTAAAAATAGAGATAGTATAAAAATTAAAATATAATTTTAAAAGTATATGGATTTACTTAGGTTGAATTTTCAATTTTTCCAAAATGATCACATAAAATTTTTATAATTCATTTAAAATATTAGGAACAAGATTTATTCAAATATTATCTTTATATATATCAAATCATTTTTAATCTAAATTTTTTATTATTTTTACAATACACAAATACACAACCAAACAAGTACTCAAGATGTGTGTTTGGTTGGTGATTTTTTTTTTTGGTTTTGGAATTTGATTTTTGCTTTTTTTTATTATTTAAATAGAAATTTAAATATAATATTTTGTAAAATAAAATGACGTGTTTCGTTAGGTGTAATTGTTAAAATTAAATTATAGAAATTTTAGAAAAAAATCACTAGAAGAGTTTTGCTTAGGGTTTGGGTAAATATATATAACTCCTAATATAATAGAATTACCATTATATCATATATGTTGTGATAGTTTAGATATTCAATTTTAGATTTAATAGATTTATACGTAGATTTGATTTTATTCATAGATTAGATTACTTAGATTTGAGTTTATTGAGTCTATTTGGTATTGCCTGTATATAGAATCTTTATTTTGATGATCAATAACACAACTTCATTATTTTCCCCCAAAATTTCTAACATGGTATCAGAGCCTATTTTTCTCATGCCGTAGATATAGCCTACCAACCCGTGTTTCTCCGGGTACAACCATGATTGTACCCGGAGGTCTTGTGACTTTGAATTCATGCATTTGCAAGTCTGTCTTTTTGCAAATTCGTCTCGTCTACGATCTGTCATATGTCCGTTGCCTGTCTGTTCCTGCGTGTAATTTGAAATCTGTTTGCTATCTACCACCTGTCAACTGTCTATCTGTTGCATGCGTGCGATTTTCCATCTGTCATTGCTTGCGTGCGATCTGTCATCTGTCGTTGCCTGCTTGCGATTTGCCATCTGTCGTTGCTTGTTTGTTGCCTGAAATCTGTCTACGATCTCTCATATGTCCGCTGCTTGTCTATTGCATGCGTGCAATCTATTTGGTATTGCAATCTATCTCGTTTTCGGCGCATCTCATTTTTTGCTCCGGTGGAGTCATCTCATTTTCGGCTCTGGTGGAGAGTAGTCTTGGATTCGACTCTGGTGGAGAGTCATCTCGTTTTTTGCTCCGGTGGAGTAATCTCGCTTTCGGCTTTGGTGGAGAGTAATCTTGTTTTCGGCTCCAGTGGAGCGTCATCTCGTTTTTCGGCTCCGATGGAGCGTCATCTCGTTTTCAGCTCCGGTGGAGCGTCATCTCGTTTTTTTGGCTCCGGTGGAGTCATCTCGTTTTCGGCTCTAGTGGAGTCGTATCGTTTTCGGCTCCGATTGAGTCATGTCGTTTTAGGCTCCGGTGGAGTCATCTCATTTTCTGCTCCGGTGGAGTCATCTCTTTTTCGGCTTCGATGAAGTCATGTGCATCATCTCGTTTTCGGCTCCGGTGGAGCGTCATCTAACTTTTTGGCTCCGGTGGAGTCATCTCGTTTTCGGCTCCAGTGGAGTCGTATCGTTTTCGGCTCCGGTTGAGTCATGTCGTTTTAGGCTCTGGTGGAGTCATCTAATTTTCTGCTCCGGTGGAGTCATCTCGTTTTCGGCTCCGATGGAGTCATGTGGTTTTCGGCTCCGGTGGAGTCATGTCGTTTTCGGCTTCAGTAAAGTCATGTGGTTTTCGGCTCCGGTGGAGTCATGTCGTTTTCAGCTCCGGTTGAGTCATCTTATTTTCGGCAACGGTGTAGTCATTTCGTTTTCCGGCTCCGGTGGAGTCATCTTATTTTCGGCAACGGTGGAGTCATTTCGTTTTTTGCTCATGTGGAGAGTCATCTCGTTTTCAGCTTCGGTGGAGAGTCATCTAATTTTTTGCTCCGGTGGAGTCATCTTATTTTCGGCTCCGGTGGAATCATCTCATTTTTTGCTCATGGAAAGTCATCTCGTTTCCAGTTCCAACGGATAATCTAATACTAATCTTATTTATATTTTCTTTTTGCATTTATATTCAAATTTCTTATCAAATTCAAGTTGATTTCTGTTATACCACTTGAGTTTGAGAGGGATGTTGAGATATTTTAGATATTCAGTTTTAGATTTAGTAGATTTATACGTAGATTTGATTTTATTCATAGATTAGATTACTCTGAGTCTATCGAGTCTATTTGGTATTGCTTGTATATAAACTCCTTATTTTGATGATTTAAGACAATTTCATTATTTTTCCCCAAAATTTCTAACAATATATACACATTAATCACCAAAAATCAACAAAACTTCTTGCAACACATAACTACTTAATCAAACAATTAACAGTTTTTATATATTTTTATTTATTTATTATTATTTTTTTGATATTATTTTTATTTATTTTGTTTTTTTCTAAATATCAATTAAAGCCAATAATATATATACATGTGAACAAGTACATATGTAATATGTGTGAATATGACAACATCCCTACTACACAGGTCATAGCATATGTTTTTTTTATGGATTTTTATTTTCTTTTATTTTTTTAGAACAGTGATTTGGATTTGAAGTTTTATAATTTTTTTTTTTTTTTTTTTTATTAATAATCGTGATGGTTGTATAATAAAAAAACCTATAAAAGGGCAAATTTTGTTAGTTATATCCTACAAACTACTTTTGATTTGTTATAAATATATTGGGGTTAATTTTTATAAACAAACTTATAATGATATTATTATATATTACAGGTTTATACCAAACTAGTATCAATTTTCTTTAATTCAACTCTAATTATGAATTTAATTAACGAAATAAAATTTGTAATAAGATGAAATAAATAAAAATTTGGACCATTATAATCATATTAATTATTTGGGAAGGGGCATTTTTGTCTTTACACATCAAAATTTTAAAAATAATTGTCAAAAACGCTACATCAAATGCAAATCTTGTGGGGTGACGCCTACCATACTAATTCTTAACGGTTGTGAGATTTCGTGTACGATTTTAAAAAAATATAGGTATGGTTAGCGACGGAACTATTGCTCCACAAATATAATTGTATTTGTATTATAAAATTAATTTATACTACATATTAATATAATAATTAATATTAAAAAATTTACACATAAAATACCAATGGCATCCTTCATTTGGGACGAAAGTAGCATACTATTTTATTTTCTATAATATCACATAAAAATATTAATTAAATAAAAATTCAAAATCAGCTTTTAATTTTAAATCAATTTTAAACAAAAATATCTAGAAAAATTCAACAAAATTACATAAATTTTATTACTTTTTACTTAAAAAAAATAAAGACCAGAAGTGCAAATGAACAAAACTATAAAAATTCTACTTTCTCCGTGCCAATCTAAAGTGATCACTTAGAGTTTTATTATAATATATTAAAAATTAATATTCCATCCGTTTTATTTCAAGGGAACTCTTTAGAGTTTTATAATAAATTAAGTAAATAATGCTCCTCTGCCCAATCCAAATTGGCCATTTGAAATTTTGTAGTTTATTAAGAAATAATACTCTCTTTGTCCCGCAACAAGGGTGACGTTTGCTTTTTGCACGTAGATTTTTTAATATTAGTATTATATTAGATTATAGTAAAAAAGACAAAAATACCCCTATTAGTATGATGTAATATAAAAGTAATGAAATTTGTGTATTATATTGTAAGTTGAAAGGGTATTTATTATGTGAAGTAGGTAGTACAATTAATAAATTAAGAAATTGTAACTTTGTTTTGGAACTGACGAAAATGGTAACATTTCAATGGGATGGAGGGAGTAATATTTTATTAGTTAACGAAAGTGTGTAAGAAGTTTTCGCATTTCTACTTTTTGACGGTTGGAATTAATTGTATGTGCAATGATATGTTTGTAATTTCTTTGGTAAAAAATTAAGAGTATTTTGATAGTAGTGTATGATTACTTTTACTAAAATAAAAAAATACTTTTAAATGGGACTTACGAAAATGGTAAGAAAGATATTTTGAGTTGAGACGGATGGAAAAATATTTTATTAATTAATAAAAATGTGTAAGAAATTTTGATATTTTTGTTATTATGTAACAATTATTTGTATATGCAATGATATGTTTGTAATTTAGACAAGTATTAAGGGTGTGCTTGTTTGGGGGGATTGTATTAGATTTCTACTATTCATCCCATTTTTTTTCTCCCAAAAACATCAAATCAAACACCTATTTTTTATTTTTTATATTATACTAAAAATCAATTTTACATTCAAAACATCACATCAATATCTATTTATATCACATCATACAACTATTCAAATTCAAAACTTTTACTATTCAAATCCCAACTCAAAATCCAAATCCCTAAACAAACACACCCTAAGTGTATTTTGGTATTAATGCATAATTATTAAAAAATAAGAAAGAAATACTTTTGAATGAGATGAACAAAAATATTACTTTGAGTTGAGACGAAAATAATAATATTTTATTGATCGGTAAAGATATATAAAATGACTTTAAGCTTTTAATATTTTGCAGTGTATGATTATTTTTACTATAATAAAAATTTATGTAATAAATTAAGGGGGTGTAATAATATATTTGAAATTATGTAAAAAATAAAGAATATTTTGACATGTGTAATTACTTTTACTATAATAAAAATTGATATTTTTGAGTGAGATGAACGAAATGATAAAAGAAATACTTTAAATTAAAACAAAATGAATATTATTTTTTTATTACTAATATAATTCCTCATATGAAATATAAAAAATATGTCCATAAAAATATACAAAGGGAACAAATACGTAATTATCGGCCAAACAGATTATTCCCCAAAGTACTTTCAACATCAATACTCAATCTTGAAAGCATTGAAGTTTTGGTTTATTTCCACCACTTGCTTTATTTTGACTTTGAGAGTGGATTTGGAATATAAGAATAGTACAACTAAATTATATATATATATATATATATATATAAATGTATAGGGATATTTTGAATGATTGATACTCCCTCCGTACCATAAGAAAGTATTTATTTTTTCATTTTAATTCGTTTCATAACAAAGTATTTATTTTTTTTAGTAACTGAACTATCTACCTAATATTACAAATATCCTTACAACCTACAATATATTACACAAATGTCATTTACCTTTATATCACACATACTAATAATGTTATTTAGTCATTTCTACTTTATTCCTACTATATCCCAATATAATACTAATATTTTTAAAACTACATAAAAAAACAAATAGTATTTTTTTTTTTGAGACGGAAAGAATATTTAAAATAGTCTTTTTTTTCAAATAAATATTTGATTTAATAAATTTTCAACGAAAAATATTGATGAATGTTCAAAAAATTACCCTACTCAATCTTTTTCTTGCATTATACTTTTTTAGTCAGTTAAATTTGTTTCTTTTTTTTTTTCGGTTAAATTTACCAAATTATTAATTTTAATAAAAAAAATAATATTTAATTATTGCTTTCATTTAATACTTATTTAATATAATTGTTATTATCATTATTACAAATTATTCTCTTTATTACTCCCTCATTCCCACCTACTATGTTCAGTTTCTATTCGTCACACATTACGTGTCACTTGTTTTTTTTAAGAAAATGATTATAAATTTTAATCTCATTTTAAATTTTTTAATTTAATTTTTTTAATTATAATTAAACTAAATAGTTATTTTAATCTTAATATATAATTATTTATATTATAAAATAATTATTTTCATTGGTACATTTTTAATTATTTACTAATTATACTTCTTCTAAATTTTTGTATCTACGGTCACCCAAACATCTAATGTGGGACAAAGGAAGTACTTAGGGTGTGTTTGTTTGAGGGATTGAATTTTTTTTTCCACTATTCATCCAATTTTTTCCCCCAAAAAATATCAAGTCAAACACCTATTTTTTATTTTTTATATTATATTAAAAATCAATTTTATATTCAAAATATCACATCAACACCTATTTATATCACATCATACAACTATTCAAATTCAAAATTTTTACTATTCAAATCTCAGCTCAAAATCCAAACCTCCAAACAAACACACTGAATGCCCATAAATGCCACTTTTTATACTTAATTAATTTATTTTTTCAATAGAATATTTATTTTGATTAATCTCCGCAATAAGAGTAATTTTACTTGATATGGTAGTATTATACAGAAAAAGTAAGCTACCTTTGACTTATGATGTGAAAACTTGAGGTGTTTTTTTGTTTGCGGCTTCAAGTTGATTAGTTCATAATATTACGATTTTCTATAACAAAATCAAACTAAAAAACATATTGGGTCGGTTGTTTTTTTTTTTTTTTTTTTTTTTTTTTAAAGACTGCACAATAATTTCCTACCAAATTCATTATTATTAGGTATAGATATTGTAATTTGTGTTGTTTCATAAGTGGATTATCATTAAAATCACACGAAACATATTGAGTAACAAAATTGAAATGTGAGCAACTTGATGTAGCAGTTTGAAATAAATTGAAATTATTGAGTGTTAAAATTGAAAGTGCCTTTGGAATTAAATATGATTGGGAATTCAAAACTGCTCCTTCATTCCCTATCTAGTTCTTTGATATATGAATGCCAACCACCTCTCTCTCTCTCTCTCTCTCTCTCTATATATATATATATATATATATATATATTGTAAAATATTATTTATTTATCTAATTTTCAAGTGTCAAAAAAAAAAAAAGAAAAGAAAAGAAAAGAAAACATGGGATGTAGGGTTGTATTCCATATACTCTATTCCCATTCTTTTTTACCTCCTAAAAAACATATAAGATCAGCATTTTTTTTTTAAATAGGGTGTATTTTTTACACTATTAATTTTTTGATAAGTTTTCTCCTTTATAATAAAATATAATATATATATTAACACAATACATAATCCTCGTTTGATTTGGGGCACTTTTATATAAAAGTATTATTGGTAATTTTAAAATAAGAATTTTAATATATAGGATTAAAATAAATTTAAATTATGTGTTTGAATATTTTATATATAATATCTTAATTAAATATATGCAATACATATATCATTTTATAGAGAATAAAATTTTAAATTATACAAGTAAATAAAATACATATTTATAATTAAAATAAAACTAATTTTATAAAAAGGAGTTTTAAATGTGGATACAAATATTTGTTTATGTAGTAGAGAAGATAAATATAAATAAAAGTGTTTTGAGTGGGTTAAGTATGACTTATATAGTATGGAGTTAATTAAGTTGATTTATATTTATTAAATATGTTTAGATTTAGTAAATTTTACCAAAAGAAAGACAAACAAGAAAGAAAAATAAGACAATTGAAATGAAATGAAAAGAACATATTTTATTTGTTGAACAATTCAATGTAAATATATATATATATTTTATATTACCGATGTGCTTTATATATCTAACATAAAATATATTTCAATTTAAAAATAAATAAATACACTCATATATATATATATATGTATATATAATAATTAATATTTGTATCACATCAAATATTTCTTCTTTTTCAATACACCCATATTTTCTCAAGCCATGCAAATACTACCATATCCTACCAAACTAAAAAATTTAACATATAACTAACTTTTGGTATTTCTCTATATATAGAGGCATATATTGTTCTAGTTCAAAAGCAATTTTGCTCTACATCTATTTCAAGCCCTTAATCCCATATTTATTGCTAATATTTCATTTCAATTTCTCCCCACTCATTTACCTAAGTCATTTTGCAATGGAGGAAGATGCAATTTTTAAATACTTTGAAGGCAAGAGTATCCTCATCACCGGAGCCACGGGCTTTGTCGCGAAGGGTTTTCTCTATTTATCTTCCATTTTCCATATTATTTTTAGTGATTTTTTCGTTTATTAACCACATACATTTGTTTCTTTCTCTTCATTGATTGAAACAGTTTTCTTAGAGAAGATACTTCGACTCCAACCAAATATCAAGAAAATGTATCTTCTAATAAGAGGAAACGACAAAAAAACTAGTGAAGAACGTCTTAAAGAAGAAGTAAGAAAACCCTTTATTTAACTAGATTTTTTTTGCATTTTTCACATATTTTTAATTTGTTGTTCCCAATGAAAATATACTAATTTTACTTAAAAAAATATTACATCTAACCACTAATTCACCTAAAAAAAAAAAAAAAAACTAAAAACTCTAAATTTACAAAACATATACCAAACACTTAACAATTTTAGTTTGAACTTTCGAGTTGAAGTATCATTCATCGATATGATTATGAATTCAAGGTCTACCGCCAATCCTATGACCCCTCGACGTATAGTTGGAGGGTTATAGCCGAACTAATTAAATGGATCAAAGTTTTCTTTGTCTCAATTTTTCTAAATCAACAAATGATCTATTGCATCCCAATATAATCTTCCTCTGGAAGTTCTCTATTACAAGGTAAATTCAAGGCATGACAAAAATATTTTATACTCCCTCCGTCCGGTTTTAAGGGTCTCATTTACCTTTTGTGCAATTGTACTTAATATTAAAAATATTCTTATATTTGTATAATTTGTTAAGCAAATGTTATTACAATAGTATTATAAGATACTAATATAAATATTTTTGTTTTTTTTCCCCTTTAATTTGTACTATGTCTTTATATAAAAAGTTAATGGGATCCTTAGCGCCGAACATATTACATTATTTACCTGCTAACAGAAATGAATTGTGTTTATAGATTATCAACACTGAGCTCTTTCGAGTTTTGAGGGAAGGCCACAGATCAAACTTCGATTCAGCTATATTGTCCAAAATTGTTCCAATGTCAGGCGATGTATCGCAGAATAATCTGGGGATAGTTAATCGACAGCTAAGAGAAGAAATGTTTCTAGAACTTGATATCATCGTCAATTCAGCTGCAACGGTTAGATTCGATGACAGGTATATATTATAATTAATACATTGAGTCATAATATATACGAATAAAGACCCTGTTTATTTGAAGTTAGGTTTCAGTTTCATTTATTATGCGATCGTCGCAATTCTCTATAAAAATATATTATTTTATCTTCATAATGTCATATCTACCACTTTTCAAATAAAAACTCGACACCAAACATCAAAAGTAATTAAACAAATTCGATAATACAATTAATTATAGGGTAGTATAGATATACATGTTATGCTTTTGATCTTGTTTTGGTACTTTACATCGAAAAATTATAAAAATCATATCAAATATAACACACACATATATATATATATATATATATGGAATTTAAAACATCACATATACTATATGTTTATATATTAGAATGTATAATTATGTACGTGAGAGGGGTACGGTGCTAATTGAGGAAAATTGACTAATCAACAGATAATAAATAAGCAGATAACATATTGTTTCAATCAATACAACATAGGTTGTATCAGTTGAAACAATGTGCTGACAGTTTTATGTATAATATGTTTAGTATAAACATATTTTATATGATGACATCAATGAACATATGTGCTGTGGTGATAATGGCTAAACGAATGATTATATTATGCCTAAATTGTAGACAGTTAATAAATAAGAGAATACTAAAATATAAGCCATATAATTTCTCAATTCTAATACAAAGTAATTATTAGATCTAATGTATTAATTCGATCTAATAGAATGATATTGTCGTATTTATACTAATATCAATCTAAGTCATTTCATGAATAAAATATGACCAATTAATCAACCAACAAAACTACTTGTTGTAAGTAACGTCTTGTTGTTGCATTGAAATATAAAAATATTAACTAATCTAACTAACATTGAACTTGGTAAAATACATTTATATTATATTAATAAAAATGATGTGCTATCTTTTATATTGTATTGTGAGCAGTAAAAATTCAGTATAATAACTACAACCCATGTTATTATATATACACAATCCATCCATTAATAATATATATTGTATTCATAAATAATAGATATTTTTCTTAATTTAATAAATATTAATCCTAAAAATTAATAATATACATGTTTTTGTTGTTTCTGTAGATACGATGTCTCCTTTAACATCAACACTCTAGGAGCTATGCATGTTCGAGATTTCGCGATGAAATGTCCAAAACTCGATACATTGCTTCATGTATCCACCGGTTAGAATCATCCATAAATTATGCTATTATTAATTGTCGTTGATTCAAACTAAATGCACGCTTATAATATTTGCGATTTAATTCATCTACTAATTCATAAATTTTATTTTTCTAATGTGTAATTTATCTAATAGCTTATGTGCACGGCATGAGGGTTGGGGTCATACCCGAGATACCATTTTGTATGGGTGAAACACTCGACGGATCCAAACTTCCGTATATAGACTTCGATGCAGAGAAGACTATTATCAAAAAAAAAATGGAAGAGCTTCAATCTGGAGAGGTCAAGGCAACGGAAAGAGAAATTTCAAGGGCTATGAAGGATTTGGGCACCCAAAGGTTGAACAAAAATTAAGATATATATATATATATATATATATTTTTTTTCAATTTACTTTGGATCTAATTAAATCGAAATTTTTTGCAATTAGATCATTGATGCATGGGTGGCCAAACACATATGTATTTACAAAGGCAATGGGGGAGATGTTAGTAGAAAGCTTCAAAGAAAAGGCAAGAGTGATCATATTACGCCCGACTATCATAACGAGTACATACAAAGAGCCATTTCCGGGTTGGATTGAAGGCTTAAGGTAATGGTTTGGCTTATATTTTTTCACCATGTAATAAAAAATTTAATTAATTTATTTGTTTTAAGGAATTAGGTTTAGTATACAAATAATTTTATGTTTTTTTTCCACTCTAATTAAAAAATTTCTTGAAACCTATCTATATTTTGCATCTACGTAAAGTTGTTCAGTTCGAACCAACCCAGACTCGCTCCAACCAAAAATTGGCTAGGGACTAGGCAAGCCTTGTCCTATGAGAAAATTGTAAAAACGATCCTCCACTCATATACTCAATTATCACGTATGTCCTTAATTTATTTATCTTGTTGAAAAAATATATCCTACAAGTTTGCAAAATTCGCAATTTCTTTATTATATTCATGTGAGATTATGTATAAAGTCTTAGAAAGCATAGGCAAGCCTTACCCAATTTCTTAATAATGCAAATAGAAAGGATAGATTTATTAATTTTCATTTTTATCTTGTTGTTGTTGTTGTTGCAAGTTTATGTTGATTAGTAAAAAAGTTACATTGTCATAAAATAGTTAACTCAAAACTTACAACATTCTCATGATAATTATGCGAAACAGAACTATGGATAGCATATTTGCTGCATATGGTAAACGCAAATTTGAAGTTTTTGTTGGCGATCCCGAATCAGTACTTGACTTGGTAAGATACAATTCTCCTAGACGACATCTTATTTCATTTGCATTATATGCGCAATACCTATATAAACAATATCTTGTACATAGATATGTTTATATATATATATATATATTTCACTATTCAATTTTGCGCAAATGAATTATATATGCCTCGTTGGGTTGGGATTCTCAGCCCCAAATTTTCCCACCAACGGCTCCAACACTCGAGAGCTATAGATACACTTATATGTATACCTCACTATAGCTATTGAGCGTTGGAACAGTGGCCATATACAAAAAAAATCAGTAGGATCTTAAAAAATATTGAAAATCTCAGTCCTTAAGTCTTCATACTATATACATGATGAGTCACTATGTATACTTTATACATACAATTTTTATTTATTTATTTATTTATTTTTTATTTTTATGTATACATTGTGAGACTATGGGGCAGTGAATATGTAGCGGTTGAGGATTCCTACAATAAAAAAAATATATGTATTACTATTGAGTTAGACTTTTCTAATGTTGGTAGATACCATGTGACATGGTGGTAAATGGTATGCTCACTGCGATAGCGGTTCAACCTAATCACCATCAACGGCGTGATCTATTAGTCTATCACATTGGCTCGTCACGAAGGAATCCTTTGAAGTTTTCAGAGCTCAAGTGGATCATGCATCGTTACTTAGTTGAAAATCCACTTCTTGACGAAAGAGGGAGAGCTATCAAAATAGGGCAACCTAAAACCTTAAATTCCATAGCCAGCTACCGTGATTTCATTACAACCCGCTACTCACCATTCCTCACGGTTAGTTTTTGAATGATATTGACGGGGGGCTTCCTCTTTACTATATCCTACATAGTTTACATAACTAATTTTTCTTTTCCGATTTTTTTCTTTTTTTTTCTTTTTCTTTTTTTCAGATTCTAAAGTTCGCTAACATAGTTTCTTGCAACCTATTGGAGAACTTATATACAAAAGAAAGTCGACGACTGAACCATGCCTTGCGTTTGATTGACCTTTACAAGCCTTATATATTTTTCAAAGGGATGTATGTACTTGGACTTTATTTTTGATTCAAATGCTACATTGAAGAGGGATTATTATTATTAATCACTTCGGTTTCTTTTGGCAGTTTCGATGATGCTAATGCTGAAAATTTACGAAGGGCTATAAAAGGGCGTGGTGACATTCATAAGGATATGCTCAATTTCGATCCAATGTGTATTAAGTGGGATGAATACTTAGAGAAAACTCATTTCCCGGGAGTCGTCAAACATGCTATGAATTGATCTACAAAGAAGGATTGTTGAATAGATTTTGAGTTGAATAATTTGCGTTAAATTCATAGTAAATCTAGTGTGTTTGATCATGTTTACAATTGTTTTCGCACCATGTTCTACAACTATTATTATTATGGAAATAAAGTCTAAATGTAAGGGTGTATGGAAATTATTTTCCCTACTAGTTTGTTTGGAAAAAATATTCTGTTGGAGTTTGATTTATCTTGTTTATTATGCAATTATCATGATTTTCTATAATAATATACTATTGATTATCATATACAAATACCAGTCATATGAAATCTTTTTTAAAAGATAAAATAAAATCAAACTTCAAAAAAACACACAGGGAATTGTGTCCTACGTTGACAAAAATAGCTAATTGATTCGTATTTCAAATTTCCAATAAAACTAGTAGAGATCCATGAAATTTAATTGAAAATTATAACCTATGTTTTTAATATGTCACAGATTTTATAGTTTAAACAAAAACAATAGAGATTCATGGAATTAAACTAATGAAAAACTATAACCCATGCTTTTAATTTGTGATTGATTCTAAATTTCCAACAAAAGTAATAAAAATACATGAAATTTTCCCGTATCAAAATCTACATTTAGGGGATCCAAATAATTCGTCCACTACAACCTATCATCAGGTTTACAAGAACTCGACACACCAACAAATATACAATACAACCTAGCCTCTCCCACACATCTTTTTGCAAAACTATGCACATGAAAATAGTCGTCACTAGTAATAACACAAACAAATATTTTCTTGCAGTAGGAGGGATGGAAGAACACGTATTGGGAGAGAAACACACTTATTTCTCACTCTAAAATTTCGTCTCAATATTCTATTACATACAAACACAGATTGGTTTTTTTGACCAACTTTGTGGCAATGGAATAGATGCGATTCTGAAGGATGGTTTGACTCCTCCATATGTCTTCCTAAGACAATTCGAATTTGTTTTTGTAACCTTTGGCTCTGATCGATTTTGAGCCAGATAAAGTGGCTTCACAGTCATGCAAATCTCTTCAGATTGTGTGCAATTTTTTATTTTAATTATTGTTATTTTTTTAATGTCAATATGCAGAGATTGGAGCCAACCGACGTCCAAATTATGTTGCTTTATATATATATATATAAAATTTTAAAATTTTAAATTTATTTTTTTTATTTTTTAAAATTTAAAAAAAAAATTATTTTAAATTATAAAAATAAAAAGTTTAAAATAATAGGAAAAATTGAATATTTGAATAATAATAGGGAAAAATGAAGTTGAAAAATGAAGTTATACAGTAGCAACCGCATATTTAAGAGTTAAAACTAGATAAATGGAGTTGATGAGTTGAAAATGGCACGCAGCTTTGTCTCATATGCCTAAATAGTAAACATTTATTTTGTCTTATCTCAACAAAAGAACTTTGTTCGAAACATATTTAAAGCTTGACAACTTTTATGATTGTTCAAAGCCTTCTTTCCTCATCGGTCCACAACAATATCACAGTTGAATTATAAATGTAGTTTTAACCAAGAAATTCAATTATGATTCACATTAAATAACATGTTTAAGAGAATGTTTTCCAACTATTATTCCAGTTTCGCGTTATTTGAGCGCATACTTCACAATCCCCGGAAAATGAATGTTCATAAAATACTCTTCCCACTGCACCAATGTCGGATCGAAACCAATATCGACATTTACATGGCTCTCACTTATGGACCTCCGCAAGAATTCAGTGTTGAAGTCATCGAAGCTGCACAGAAATTTCAATAAAAAAATAAGGTTTCTTAGTTTTCTTTTTCAGCTACGTGTTATGCAAAAATTGTGATATTAAGCAGAAATATAAAATTTAGAAATAATCGTTTGCAATATACATTCCACTGGGGAACACATAAGGTTCGAAATGTTGCGCCAATCTTGTCAAACTATCAATATTCCGTGTTGCTCTGGTTATCGAGGTTCGAAACTGGTTGCATAGAATAAGATTAAAGAACTTCATCATCTGTGAAAACATGTAAAAGAAATCATTAGCATTTTGAAAATTGTTTTGATCATGTTTCAATGCTAAGCAAAAATTAAGCGAAGGCGAGCTCACCTCCAAAAATGGCAAATTGTTCATTCTAATGTATTGTTGAAAGCTTGAAAAGGAGCTCAGAAAATCTATCTGTCTCACATTGACTTGTTTTCCTCTATGATCAACCATCGGATTTTTCTTCAGGAATTGATACATTAGAGAAGCAAACAACTTCAATTTTACTGGATTCCTTAAGGATGTACCAACTTGATAAATTTTAAATTTATCATGAGATGGTTGGCTAGAAAGATGTGACACCACCGCCGCCAACATAGCATTTACAACCATGTCGCCTGGGATCTGTGGGACGTATGCAAATTGAAAGTATCGTATAAGCATCAAATTTATGTAACATTGTATTGTTGAATAAAATGAAACTTTATTGAACAAACTAAGTCGATATTTTCACAAAAAATCTTTTCACAAGTATCACTTCTCTTTCGCTCTTTCTTTACACTTACATGGCATTCTCATATATTTTGTTGCTACGCTATGTACAATAGCTAACTTTATATTTGTAGATTTGAATAGAAACACAATAATGTTTAATCAAACTTCGTAGGTTATTGTGTTAATCTAAATGACCTTTAAGATGAAAGCCTAAAAACTTACAAGGTCGATAGTTGCGTGTGGATTGCCGATGAAACTTTTCATCATTCCTTTCCCGTAAGCAGCAAAAATAGTATCAATAGTTCTGTTACATAATAATTAATTAGATAAAGATCCAAAGATTTCATAATAATTAAGAGCAGATGTCAATTAATGAACATATGTATTGGTGGTCCTATTAACAAACACGTATAACTAATTTTGAGAAAAAGTATATTCTCAATTCCATATATGAGATTTCTTATATTTGTATTTCTTTTTTTGAGAATGTTAAACTTAGTGTGAAAAGTGATCAATTTTTTTTTTTTGATTGGAAAAAGTGATCAAATTTTGTTTTCATTATTCAAAGCGCGCGGAAAATCGTTATGCATCAACTATATGCATTGGGAATGCATGCATCAACATTGCTTGGCTTACATTATTGGCATGTGACAAGTTCCGGTGCAAAATGGACAAAAAGGAAATATCTACACATATATATGTACTTAGGGAGAAAAATATATCTTTCTAACTTAAAAGATGAATATTTTTATTGATGATAAAGGCTACCTTATTCCTTCAATCCAACCAGGAAATGGGTCTTTATAAGTACTTGTTATGATAGTTGGGCGAAATATTATTGTCGCAACCTTCTCCTTGAACGATCCTAAAAGCATCTCTCCGATTGCTTTTGAGAACACGTATGTGTTTGGCCATCCATGCAACTTGGCCCTACAATTATTTATTGATTTTTTTAATTGATTGATTGAGTTATTAGGTGAATATGAGTCGATGATTTTGATTATTTAGCAAGTATTTGAGAAAAGCTAATTGTGCTGAAGAAGAGGTGTGTTACCTTTCCATGCCTAACTCCTTCATTTCCCACGTTATTTCTTTTTCAGATGCATTTTTAGATCGAAGCTCATCCATTCTTGTATTCATGATTTCTATCTCTTTATCAATATCTAGTCGTGTAGCTTTAGCTCCATTGAGTGTCTCACCCATATGAAGGGGTGTTTCCCTCAAGAGCCCTATCCTCATGCCGTGCACGTAAGCTACAAGGTATATCCAATTAATTAGGTCTGATTATTAGTCGATTTTTGTGCCACTTGGAATTTTCTCCCCACGGCACGTTGGAATAAATGGTGATGAAAACCATCGAAAAATAAAAAAAAAATCCGGAAGTAAAACTACGAGTACATTCTTTACCTGTTGAAACATGGAGAAGCATCTTGAGTTTTGAACACTTTTCTGCAAAAGTCATGACATTTTTTGCTCCCATAGAATTGATGCCCAATGCTACATCATATCTACATCATGAAAAACAATGTTAATCTTCGAAATATATTTGTATTGAAGATGCTTATTAATAATGAAATGATATGAGTTAAATCATAGTAAATAGATCTATCTAATTACTATATTAGTAACATGTGAAGTTCTCGACTTGATCGTAAGTACCTTTCATTAAATTTTGTTGTTGCTGCTGAGTTAACAATAATGTCTACCCCTTTTTGAATGTCTTCAGTCAATGTTGGATCGACAATTCCCAAATTTTCAAGAGAAATATTACCGCAAATTGGAACAACCTTCTCCTCTGTAACATTGCTAAATTCTCTTCCAAGTTCTTTCTTGATAACTTCAAAGACTTTAGTTTCAAAAATCTAAAATAAAAAGGAATTAAACATATTAATTTGCCTGAAATGTTTTATAAAATCTAAATCCGGCTTCCAAAATTAATTATGAATCCCATAGGAATGACAACAAGGTAGGGTCGGAATGGATTTTGTAGGCCCCAAACCCACCCTCTCAGCCTCGCCCCGTCTTGTACCTGCCGAGTTTAGGACCAATCCGGAGCCCAACTTATGTTGTAAAGTAAATGTATTTATAGATTTTTTTTTTATAAGTCATACAATACAACACAATATCTTAAACCAACAGAATATTGAATATCAAATACTTCAATATTTTAAAACTATTAATCACATAATTAGTAATATGTTTTCAATTGTGGTCACATGAGTATAGTGATATGAAAAAAAGGTGAGTTGAAAGATACATATTAAAAGATTGAGTCAATAGAAATTTTAAAAATAAAACCCAATGAAGATTTTGAATATATATTATTAGAAATATAGATAATACATATGTTACGAAAATTCTAAAAAATTAAGAAGAGACAAACAAGGACACAACACAAGGATATAAGAATTTGGTAACCTAGTTCGATCAGAATAATCTACGTCTAAGGCATTGCTAAATAAGAAATTTTACTATAAAGTATGCAGTCACATGTTAAAGTGAGAATACAAGGATATTTATAAGCTAAGCCTATGCCAATAATATCCAAATATATATCTAAAATCTAGAATATAATATCTAAATCACATCTAAATAAGATCCCTAGAATTTAAGATATAATCAGACTTCATATCTCAACAATTTCCCACTTGAAGACTGATTGTATCTTCCACTTTAACATTTTACTTCATCCACAATGACAGCGCCAAGCCTCATTCTTCACTCATCGAGGCCCATTGAGGTTGAACACAACCTCAATTCATTTAAGGTCACCGCCTTAGATTGTCTTTTAGGATTGCTCATAAATTGGCTCACTACTCCCACTGCACGTGCTTTCCACCTCCTAAAGGTATCAAAAGCATCATATTCACGCTTAAGGAAATATACTCATGCCTCCCATTGTAGCGTCATCAATAAACGCGGTGTAGTACTATAAGCCTCCAATGGTTGATACAGGAGTTGGTCCCCACAAGTCCGTTTTGACCAATTCCAACTTTTTCTTTTCCAGGTCTCCCCATCTTTTGAGAATGCCACCTTTCACTGCTTCCCAAAGATACAATCCTCGCATACTTCAATATCGACGGACTTGAGACCTGACAATCTTCCCTTTGAAACAAGCTCCCTCATCCTCTTCTCGCTCATGTGTCCGAGACGAGAATGCCATAAATTTATGTCATTATTTATGGCCACAAAACCAATTCCGTATTTCATGTTTTTGGTCATGTAGAGAGTTCCATATCTTCTCCCTTGGGCCACCACAATGGATCCTTAGGTTACCTTCCACGACTTTGTTACAAAACCTGCCGAGTAACCTGCCTTATCCAATTGTTCAACGGAAATCAGATTCCGTTTCAGACTTGGGACATGGCTCGCGTCATTCAATCTTCACTCCCCACCAGTTTGTGTTTTGATTCGAATTATTCTTTTACCTACAATTTTCAGTGTCTCATTATCTGCAAGATAGAAACACCAAAATTACATGTGGTATAGGATTCTATGATTCTCAAATCACTGCATGAGTGGAATGACGCTCCTGAGACCAAGATCCATGACTCCATTGGACTGCTGACGCTCAGAATCAGCATATCGGATATCTCCTCCGCTGTGTTTGCCGAACCCTGATCCTTCTCCGGCGCCTTGCACTCTCGTTTCAAGTGCCCCTTGCAGTTTCAACATACTATCTGACTTGCATCTTTCTTGTCCTTGTTCTTGGGCTTCAACTTTGACCATTCTTGATATTCACCATTTCCTTTTGCCTCAGATCTAAATTCAGTCGAGATCTTCTCTCAAAAGGGTTAGTCGAACCGCACTCATCGTCTTTCTGTCGATCTTCTTGTATTCGGCTTCATCCATGTCTTCAGGTTTCTCCTTCAATGCCGCATCTAGATCTTTACTATACATGTAATCTTCTATCTGCATATTTCAGAAACCGAAGTTCATACCATCGAATACATTGATAGCATGATGACCACCCATCTAGACTCTCACAAACAAACCTAAGGTTCACTTGATATAAGAGCACATCGGATATCTCCTTCGCTGTGTTTTCCGAAACCCTTATCCTTCCTTGCCCACCTTGCACCACCTATCACAAAGGGACCCGCTGCCTGACCTACAAGAACTGTCGGGACCGACCCAACACCACCAGGAGACTTTCGACACAAGGCACCTCTACAGATCACAAAGGATTTCCACAGCCACAATCAATATCCGATGCCTCCCAATCCACCTTACCAACGAACCAGACTCTCATACCACTTATTACGGAAATTCCAGGAAATCAAGAAGAGACAAACAAGGACACAAGGATATAAGAATTTGGTAACCCAGCTCGACCAGAATGATCTACGTCTGGGGGCGCTGCCAAGTCAGAAATTTTACTATAAAGTACGCAGACACATGTTAAAGTAAGAATACATGGATATTTATAAGCCAAGTCTATGCCAATAATATCCAAATCATATCTCTATAATTTAGAATATAATATCTAAATCACATCTAAATAATATCTCAGATTTTAGGACATAATCAAGCTTCATATCTCAACAACATATAATACCCCCGTCCTTTAACAAATTATCTATTTTTTCATTTTGGTCGTAATAACTGTACTATTTAGCTAACATTACAAATACCCCTACAACTTACAATATATTAAACAAATGTCATTAGTTTTATATCACACAATACTAATAATATTATTTTAGTTATTTCTATTTATTCTCACTACATATCAATATAATACTATTACACCTTAGATTCCGTGCAAAAGCCAAACATATACCTACCTAAGGGACAAAGGGAGTATAATTTTAAGGAGTTTGGAATAGGGTTAGATTTGGGGAGGGTTTTATTTTATCAAATTGGTAACTCACTTCAGTCTCAATTGAGTTTAAAATTTTAAAATCAGTAGCCTAGTCTAGAGATAAAATTTTAGATCTTAACCCGCCTGTCCTATATATTAACTTTTGGGCCAAGACAGTCCAGGCAAAACCTGCCCCAATTGCCATTATAAACTTGAAAAAGATGTAAATACAATCAAATTAATAATGTTACCATACCTCTTTCTGAAGCCGTTGTTCAGCGGATTGTTTGGAATTTGATCTTATTACAAGATATATTTTCTTGACTGGTGGTTGGATACAAAGTATTTTTACTAAAAAAACTGCATTGAAAAATTATAGTTAAAACAATAAGAGAACAAAGCGTCAGCTTGAAAATCTATAATATGTTAGTCATGCATATATTGAGGTATCTTTTTATTAAAAGCTCTTGTACTTCTTTTCATTAATTTCAAAGGAAAATATTAAATATACTGAAAAAACAATGAAAAATATAAATATAAAAAAACAAAAGAAGAAGAAGAAGAAGAAGAAAACATCCGAAATGGCTTACCTCCCTACTAGATTATTGTTTTTCAATATTTAATTTATCAATTAAATTAGAATTAAAGCTTATATTTACCTAAATATACAAATTTTAAAAAACGCAATTCAAAAGAATAAATTATAATAATTAATCTTATATTGAAGTCCCAACAAACTTATACAGATGAAACTTTAGCTTGAGTTTTGTTTGGTTTGTTTCAAACTGAGTTATTTTATGTATAATTCACATCATTTTCAATAAAAATATTATATATCCTTATGAAAATACCACCTTAAAATACTCTATATATTAATCAAAATTTCAAAAAATCATTTAAACTCAAACACAAACCGAGTTTCTTAGTACATCAACTCATCATACTTCCAATATCTAGGCTATTGAGAATCAAAAAGTGGGACGTAACTTTTTGCAAGAAAGCCGGTGCCACCCAAGATCAATATCGTCTTGCCCGCGACAGATTGAAAATCGACATCCATGACTATAGATATGGAAAAAAAAAATACTCATTGAGAACAATGCGATATGAACATATATGGAGTGAAAAGAACCAAAAGTATAATCTCTTTCATAATAGAAGAATGAACCTTCATTAATTAAATAACTAACTTATTCATGTCATCTATTGTCTATGCTTAGTAACTAGTTGCTATTAAATTGAAAATGATGTACATAACTATTGTATTTTTGCATAAAAAAATAAATATAAAAGTCTATATATAATTCTGATAAAATTTTATATATAATATTTTATGCATTTATCTTAATTAGAACTATAAATATAATTTATCAAAATAATTTTGATAGTAAATGTTCACTTATAGAATAATAGTCCAAAGTTTACACTAGAAAGAAATAATAGTCCATGCAAAAAATAATGAACTTTGTGAATGGAAATTCCCCTTTTAACTTATTTTGATAGCAAAGACTTTCTAAAATAAAAAAAAAAAAAGATACCATAGAAACTCACTCATTCCATTTTGGTGCAAAGGAAATTAATGTAGAATTTTTTATTTCAAGAATGTGAGTGATTAATTCAACCGGATATGATTGAAGATTGGTGGTGAGTGAGTTTGAGAGCATGTTTTAGAAAAAAAATTGAGTTAAGTTCCCATCATCTATCAATATCATTTTTTCTCAATTTTGAATGGTTGTTTGATTAAAAAAAAAACTCACCGGAGAGTTGATTAGAGATGGAAAATAAAGAAGTTCCACTTGGAGAGGATGATCAGGCTGTGAGCAGCTCTGTCTATACGGTCGTTGTCGTTTGAACCTGTGGAGATACTTTCAAAGGAAAGTTATGATAGGAGTTTGAGTTGAAGAAGTTGTGATTGTTTATATTATAAAATCTCTCCAGGATTGAGATTCTCCGAATGTAAATTGGTTTATAACCGAATCGGGTTATCAAATACCTTGTCTTCTCTTTTGCGAGTTGACCCTATTTGAAGTGTTCAAAGGTATTTTATTCGATCTACCTCCCAACAAACTTGTTTTTTCTTTTTAAATACTCTACACCAACAAAGTCCCATAATGCCAATGAGAACATTTATAATGATTCATGAATTAATCTTAGGGTAGTTGGCATATATAATATTTAGGCAGACCTATCATAAAGTAAAGGGGTTTAGGTGATTGGTTCCATCGAATTATTGGTTAAAAAAGTCAACAGAATTAAAAAGAAAGTTCAAACTTCAAGAGTATTCAGGTCAACAAATTTATTATTTTATTTAATACAAATTTTATTATAAAATTTTTAATATAATATTTTATTCATAAAATCTGAAGTTAATAAAATTTATATGTTAGATGATATAAATGACCGATTCACCTAAAAATTTAAGTTGTTAAAAATACTCATTATTTATTTGTTTATTTATTTAAGTTGTTAGGAATACTCATTATTTATTTGTTTATTTATTTGTCTACGAACGGAAGTCCACCGACATTATGGAAAAAAAAAGAAGGGATTAGCTAGATTTGTTTACAACTAGACTTGGGATTCGATTTTCAATAGTACATAGACTTGAATTGTTCCTTTAAGATGAATTTAAATAATTGCTGTTCATAAAACCATTATCTTCTTCAATAATCTCAACTGAGTCCTGCTTTAAAGGTCACAAGTGCTATTTTTAGATACTATTTTGTGATTCGGTTATATGCATCCCTTGCCTAGCTACTCAAAATTTAATGAGTTCTGTTAGTTCTTTAGACTTATGCTACCCCTATGTCTTCCTAATCTGCTAGGACTTTAATGAATTCATAGCAATTTTTTTTTTTTTTTGGTGACGAAATTCATTTCGTCGCGTTAGTAAAAGTCTTTTACAACAAATATGACTTTTGTAACAAAAATTATATTTTTTGCAATGAAAGTTAAAAAAAAAGATATATCTACAAAAATAGCATTTTGTAGCTAAAGCTATTTTTAAAATTCATAACAAAAGAATTTTGGCAACAAAATATGCATTTTTTTTAACCAAATGGTTTTAGCTATGAAAAATATTTTTATAACTAAAACTCTTTTGCTATGAAAATAGTATTTTCTAGCAAAAAAATTTTAGAAACGAAATTAATTTTGTAGTATATAATTTATTTTTAGCGATGAAATAAATTTTATTGTTAAATGACACGTTTTAACTACAAAAATATTTTATAGTTAAAAATATTGTAGCTAATTAAATACTATTTTATAGTGACATTGAATCTAGAATGTGATGGGGAGCTGGGCATGCATGTGACTCATGTCACAAGTGGTACTGGCCATCTAAACGAACTACTTGGAGCCCTTATAGCTTGAGCTCCCGACTTGCAAAAATTGAAATTGACAAAGGGAATATCAAATGGTCCTAATGACTAACATCAAGCCTTTTTTTATAGGGTCGGCAAAGCTTTTAGAATGTTGACGATTATGTACTAATATCCATCTGGCAGATGAGTTGCGACCATCAATTCCAAAGCTTGCATGTGATCGATGGTCGGTCTTTCTCTAACATAAAATTGAATTCATGCAGCCTTGGAGGGTAAGTCAAGCTAGAGTTTAATTGATTTTCTCAAATCGGTAGTTGTCCATGACTGACTGTCCCAATCACGAATGTATCAATTCCGCGAGTACACTTGAGAACAAACAAATTTATGCTTTCCTCATTTTCATCTCAACCGCAGCTGCTTGATGTGCCTCCCGAAAGGTTAAAAAAATACTAGATAGGGCATATCAATTCACAGAAAACGAGTAAACACATATTCTTCCTAGGAATTTTGGCACAATTAAGCATTTAAGTGACCCGGAATCACAACATATTCTAGCAAAAAATGTTACGAAAACAATGCTCAAATTCTGCCGTATCACTTTACAGCTATAAAGCCCTTCTTTCCTCATCGGTGCACAACAATATCATAGTTGAGGCAACATTCAAATGATTCTTGACTTATTGGTGATAAATGTAGTTTAATCGAAGAAATTAAATTCTGATATGTTTTCTAACTATTATTCCAGCATCGTGTTATTTGAGCACATACTTCACAATCCCTGGAAAATGAATGTTCATAAGATAGTCTTCCCACTGCACCAATGTTGGATCGAAACCAATGGCGACATTTTCATGGCTCTCACTTATGGACCTTCGCAAGAATTCAGTATTGAAGTCATCAAAGCTGCACAGAAATTTCAATAAAAGATAAGGTTTCTCAGTTTTCTTTTTCACCTAGGCGATATGCTATATTGCCATATTAAGTAGAAAGAAATAATTTATTGCAATATACATTCCATTGTGGAACACATAAGGTTTGTAGTGTTCCGCCAATCTTGTCAAACTATCAATACTCCGGGTTGCACTGGTTATCGAGGTTCGAAACCGGTTGCATAGAATAAGATTTAATAACTTCATCATCTGTTAAAACGTGTAAAAAAATCATTAGCATTAATAAAATTGTTTTGATCATGTTTCGATGCTATACAAGAATATTAACCGATAGAGTAGGCGAGCTCACCTGCAAAAATGGCAAATTGTGCATTCTAATGTATTGTTGAAAGCTTGGCAAGGAGCTAAGCAAATTTAGCTCTCCCACATTGACTTGTTTTCCTCTATGATCAACCATTGGATTTTTCTTCAAGAATTGATACATTAGAGAAAAAAAAAACTTCAATTTTATGGGATTCCTTAAGGATGTACCAACTTGATAAATTATAAATTTATCATGTGATGGTTGGATCGAAAGACGTGAGGCCACAGCTGCCAACATAGCATCTACAACCATGTCACCTGGGATCTGTGGCACGTATGCGAATTGAAGGTACCATATCAGCATCAAATTTATGTTACGTTGTAATTTGAATAATGATGAAAGACTTTATCAAACAAACTAATTATACTAGCATTAAATCGATATTTTCACGACAAAACTTACTAATAATAAAACTTGCTGCACTATGTAGAATAGTTAACTTTATATGTAGATATGAATAGATAGACATTAAGATGAAAAGGTCAAAACTTACTAGGTCGACTATGGTGTGTGGATTGCCGATGAAATTTTTCATCATTCCTTTCCCGTAAGCAACAAAAACAGTATCAATAGTTCTGTTACATAATAATTAATTAGATAAAGATCAAAGTATTAATTTCTTAAGAACTAAGAGGAGATGTAAATGAACATTTGTAATGGTGGTCCTATTAAAAAACATGTACAACTAATTTTGAGAAAAGGTATATTCTAAATTCCAAGTATGAGATTTCTTATATTTGTATTTCTTTTTTTTGAGCATGTTAAACTTAGTTCGAAAAGTTGTCAAAATTTGTTGTTTTCATTGTTTGACAACAAAAATTGTTATGTATCGACTATGTGCATTGGGTATGCGAAACATTGCTTGGCTTACATTATTGGCCTGTGACAAGTTCCGGTGCAGAAAGGACATAAAGAATATATACACATATATGTACTTTAGGGCGCAAAATATATCTTTCTAACTTAAGATGAATATTTTTATCAATGATAATAAATCTTTGTAAGGCTACCTTATTCCTTCCATCCAACCAGGGAATGGGTCTTTATAAGTACTTGTTATGATAGTTGGGCGAAGTATAATTGTCACAACCTTCTCCTTGAATGATCCTAAAAGCATCTCTCCCATTGCTTTCGAGAACACATACGTGTTTGGCCATCCATGCAACTTCGCCCTACATTTTTTATTTATTAATTTAGTTACTATGAGTCGATGATTTAGTATATATTCGCAGAAAGCTGTCTGTGTTGAAGGAGAGAGGTGTGTCACCTTTCCATGCCCAACTCTTTCATTGCCCACGAAATTTCTCTCTCGGATGCATTTTTAGATTGAAGCTCATCCATTCTTGTATTCATGATTTCTATCTCTTTATCAATATTTAGTCGTATAGCTTTAGCTCCATTAAGTGTCTCCCCCGTACGAAGCGGTGTTTCCTTCAAGAGCCCTTCCCTCATGCCCTGGATGTAAGCTACAAAGTACTTCCAATTAATAATGGCTGATTATTAGTGTCATTTTGTGCTGTTTGAATTTTGTTCCCCACGGAACGGTGAAATAAATGGGGATGAAAACAATCTAAAAAAAAAAAAAAACCCCGGAAGTAAAAATATGATTACATTCTTTACCTGTTGAAACATGGAGAAGCACCTTGAGTTTTGAACACTTTCCTGCAAAAGTCATGACATTTTTTGCTCCCATAGTATTGATGCCTAATGCTACATCATATCTGCATCATGAAACACAATGTTAATCTTTAAAATATATTTTTATGAAGATGTTTAAATTAATAATGAAATTATTTGAGTTAAATCATAGTCAATAGATTTAGTTAAGATATATTAGTAACAATTGAAGTTGTCACTGGACTTGATCATAAGTACCTTTCATTAAATTTTGTTGTTGCCGCTGAGTTAACAATAATGTCTACCTCTTTTAGAATGACTTCAGCCAAGATTGGATCGACAATTCCCAAATTCTCAAGAGAAATATTGCCACAAATTGGAACAACCTTCTCCTCTATAACATGGCTAAATTCTCTTCCATATTCTTCCTTGATAACTTCGAAGACTTTAGTTTCAAAAACCTAAATTTAAATGAATCAAACATGTTAATTTACCTGAAACGTCTTACAAAATAACAATCCGGCTTCCAAAATTAATTACGATTTGCATAGGGATGACAACAGGGTAGGATTGAGATGGGTTCACGCTGCATCAAACCTGCCTGCCTTGTATTCTAAAATATATGTACTTATAGATTTCTTTTCATATGTTGTACAATATTGTATAATAGAACCATCAAAATTACTTCAAATTTTAAAACATACCAATCACATAATTAGTAATATGTTTTCAGTTGTGGTGATATTATGAGTGTAGCGATTATTGACCAAATATGAAAATGGTTTGAGTTAGGAAGATATAATACAGTTGAAACAGTGGAATTTCGATAAATAAAAAGTAATAAAGCCTATGACTGTATATAATTTGAAACAAGACAATACATTTTTTAGTACTCCTTCTGGCATCTAAGCTTATGCCCGTTTTTTTTTTTTTTTTTTTTTTTTTTTTTTTTTTTTTTTAAGTTGTTATACAAAAATATTTTTGTTTTTTTTTTAAATAAAAAGATAATTTTTATTTTTTCTTTACTATCAAAGAAAATTTTTTCTACTTTTACAGATTTTTTTAAAAACCAACTTTGGATCAAATTGGCATAATTTTAGATGACCGAGGGAATTTAACTTTAAGGAGTTTTTGATCGGCTAGCTTTGAAGAAAGTTTTTTCTATCAAATCTGCAACTCACTCCGGATTTGACCGGATTTAAAATTTTAAAATCCATAACATACTCTGGACATAAAATTATGGATTCGAACTTACATGCTCCATTCACACTGGAGCTGGGACGGGTTCGAGTGAAACCCGCCCCAATTACCATTATAGACTCGCAAAAGTTCTAAATACAATCAAATAATGTTACTATACCTCTTTCTGAAGCCGTTGTTCTGCGGATTGCTTGGAATTTGATCTTATTAAAAGATAGATTTTCTTGACTGGTGGTTGTATGCGAAGTAATTTAACTAAAAAAACTGCATGCAAATTATAGTTAAAACAACGAGAGGAACAAAGCATTCACCTACAAATTAATATGTTAGTCCTGCACATATTGAAGTATCTTTTAATTAGAAATCCTTATTCTTCTTTTCATTATTTCAAGGGAAAAAGGTAAAATATAATGAAAAGCAATGAAAAAAAAAAAAAAAAAAAAGAAAAAGAAAAAGAGAATAAAAAAACACTTCAAAGGGCTGAATGATTACCTCCCTATAAGACTATTTGTCTTTCAATATTTCATGTATCAATTAAACACAAAATTAACGCTTATATTTACCTAAATATATAAATTCCAAAAAAGCTATTTCATAAGAGTAAATTATAATAAATTCTATTTTGAAGTCCCAACATATTTATATAGAAGAAACTATATATATGAACCTTAAACTTCATAATAAATGGTTTGGTTTGCATCTAAACTTACTTTTCTCTAATATACAGTTTGCAAAATTTTCAATAAAAATATAATCTTTTCGTTCCAATATAATAATCCTATTTTGTCATTTTCGTCTGTGCCAAAATAATAGTATCGTTTCCATTTTGGTGAGTAGCTCCCCACTCTTTCAAAAAACTATTTTTATTTTTTCATAATAATTATATAAAATAATAGTATTTTGATCTTTTAGAAACACTTTTACACCCCATATCAATATGATACTAATTTTTCTAATTCTCGTGCCCATTCCAAATATCTTTATTATTTTGGGCATTAGGGAGTATTATTATTATGTTTTTATTATAAAATGTCACATGAAAGATATATATTTAAAAAAAAATGCAAACCAAAAAATCTCAAACCCAAGTACAAACCAAACAACACAACTTTGTTAATAACATAAACTCATTGCCATTTCAATGTCGAGGTTATTGAGAATCAAAATGAGACACTTTACTTTTTGCAAGGAATCCGGTGACACCCAAGATCAATATTGTCTTGTCCGCGAAAGAGTGACAATCGACATCCATGACTAAATACTCTTCGAAAACAATGCGCTATGAACGTATGGATTTAAAAGAACCAAAGGTATAGTCTCTTTTATAACACAAGAATGAACCTATGTATTAAATAAATAACTAACCATTATACATGTCATTAGTTTGTTGATTTAGGATGTGTTCGTTTGGCGAATTTCCACCAAATTCTATAATTTACCATTTTTTTTTTCCAAAGATATCAAATCAAATACTTATTTTATTTTTTATATTATATTAAAAATTAATTTTATATTTAAAATATCGTATCAATACTTATTTATATTCACCATACAATTATTTCAATTTAAAATTTTACTATTCAAATTTTCAATTCAAAATCCAAACCCCTAAACAAACACACCCTAAGATTTTGGATTCTATATTTCCCCTAAAAAAAGATTAAGTTTGTTTTTCCCTCATAAAATATCTCAGAAAATATTATTTTGATAAAAGATCTAAACCTTCAAACCCAATCTAAATTGAAAGGAAACCATCTACAATGAATAGTAATCACTTACTTTTAATTTGAAGATGATGTACATAACTAAAAAAGTGTTTACTTTGTCGGATTTTAATTTTTGATTTTACTCTTCCAAATTTTTTTTTTCAAAAATCTAAAATCAAACACTCAATTTTCTTTTATTATATTATACTAAAATTTATTTTTACATTCAAAACATTACGTCATATATTTATATAATATCAAATAATTATTATAATTTAAAATTTTACTATTTAAAACCAAAATTCCACATATAAACACAAAATTCTATATATAATTTTAATAATACAAGAGCATTTAAAGAAACCTTTCCACCTCTCCAAGTCATCATTTATTTCCTTCACCACAAAAAAATGCATATATATATATTTATTTATTTTTAAAATCAAACTTAAATAAAAATATATAATATTTATATCATTGTATCGGGAATAAAAATTTACATGCTACAAAAATAAAAGAAATAAAATTAGCAGAAAATATAGAAAAAGAAAAAAAAAAAGGTAAACCAAGAGAAATTATGCTAATTTATTTACTAAAGAAATGGTTGTTTCTTCTCGATGCACCATGGTGAATAAGGCATTAAAAGTTATTTCTTGATATATTCCATTCACACAGCATTTTTAAATAAATTGATTTTTTATGTGCGATACGAAGAATTGTATAAAAAATATAAAATATATTATTTTAAGTTGAATATTTGACTTTTTATAACAGATAATTTGAAGTTTATTTTGACTTTTTGACTTTTGTAAAAAGTTTTTTTTATGATATATTAATATTTTTTGAGAAATCGCAATTGAAAAATTTATTAGGAAAACAAATTTTATGCTTTTATTTTAAATTCAATAACACCCTTTACTTGTTATATTCAAGTTGCATATACCTATTTTTTTGGAGGATGGTTTCCTTTATGGAACTCCCTAACAAAAAAATAAAAAATAAAAAATAGAAAAAAAAAAGAAAAGAGAACTTGAAAAAAAAGTGTTGCTATTAATTTTTCAGTTATAGAATAATAGTCAAAATTTTACACAAGAGAGAAATACAAGTCTAACAGTATCTTTTTTAGAGGACCTATTCATGTATATGTATTATGTATATAATATACAAATTTGTGTGGGCTATACATTAATATTGATTGAAAATAAGACAGAAGTAAGAATATTACAAATAAACACACCCGACTTTAATTAAATATAGCATAGTTGGCATATATTTAGGCGGACCTAATACAAAATAAAAGAGGTTAGGCCGTTAGGAGTTCCTTCCATGGAACTCATCCAATTAAGCTCGGTAAGATAGGGCTAGTAGTGTGGGAATGAGATTGTGACCGTAAAGCTATGTGTTATGTAAAACTTTTAAGGTGACTTTGTCGAGGGATTGAATATTTATATATTAGAATTTTTTTTTCATTTTTTTTTTAAAATTTATGGGCCTACTATAAAATATATATTATGTAAAAAACAGGGAGAATTGCATGGCCGTATTTTAATTTCCTGAGGCCCGATAAAGCAAGTACAGGTAGTCATAAGTTCAATGTCCACACCACTAGGCCAAGATAAAAATGATAATTGAGTATATGAATATGATATTTTTTTTGCAATTTTCCCACATAATATTTATTATTTTAATAAATATGGATCCCCTAATTAAATTATGTAGTAATAGTAATTATTATTTGATATACACTTTTATTGTAATTTTTTTATTTTTAAAATATACAATTTTACTGAATTTGATATATAAAATAATTTTCTTTACACAACACGGCTATGCTTTTTCCGCGAGGCTGTTACGTTGATAAGCAAATGCACACCTTTTAATTAGATCTAAATAGATTTGTTCGTACAATTCATAGACTATTTTAAAATTTTAGAACGTTTGAGAAAAAACATACTACTATATGGCATGAGACCAACAAAATAAATAAATAAATAAAAAGTCCTAATAAATAAATAAAGAATAAATAAGAGAAAATTATTTTTAATATTTGAGGATACTTAAGTCATATGATAGATGGATAACAGGAGGTGTCCTAATTAAATTATGGTTACGAGAAAATAAGAAAATATTGATAGTAATGAATGTTTATCGAAGGCGATTTTACATATGAAATGAAAACTAATGTTTCAACACTCTTTAAATATATCTACAGATGGATGGAATGCTAAATTACGATTATCGCATTGTTACGCGCCAAACCAAGTCATGTCCTGTCTTATCCGGAAATGGACTAGATTGGATTGGCGGAAATGAAACTTGAGTTTTACCTTCGAAATTTTTTCTTGGACTTTCGAATCAGGTGATGGATTGAAGCTATGAGCTCACACTACAAGAAATTATCAATTTTGTAACGAGATTTTTTCGTTCCTAAATTCACTTTTTTTTGTTACTAATGATATTAGAGACGTAATTAGATATGGAATTACGTTAGCTACGTGAACTTTAGGAACGGAATTCCGTTACAAATATACTATTTTTTTGTAGTGTCATGAGTCGGATATGAAAATTCGTTAAAACTATTTGTTTTGAATGGACAAGTTTTACCATATATTTTATTTCCTTAACTATATTGTTATCTTAGTTAATTGGTATGTGATTAGATGCTGAAATTTTAAATTCAGCATTCTTGCTGAATGCTTAAAATTTAATAAATCTACTTTTTATAATTAAATAATATAACTAATTAATAATATATAATTATTTCTAAAGCATCAGCATGAACTTTTAAATTGTTGAATAAATCGGGTTAAAGTAATTGATGATATTTAATTAATAGAATATTAAATATGAAAATTTTCGGAACTAATTTTTCCGTGAATAGAAATGCATTTGGCCAAACAAAATACTTAAGCTAATTAGTTAGTTAACAGGGTATTTAACTAAATATTGGCGGGATCTTGTTCAGACTGGTTAATAAATCAATTCATGATGTGTTTAAATATTAAATTACGTAATTAAAGTGACAAAAAGTATGGTTAGGCATACTAACGTTAGTGAGCCATACGTGCGCACCGTCCGCCAAATATAGACACAACACGGGCTTGGTGCTCGCTTGGCTTGGCGAGGCTAAATTCTGCACCCTTACCCAAGAAAGAAAATTCAGGTACATGGTGATGTTATACATTTGATCTATTACTATATTTTGGAGATTTTGAGTTGATTTGATATGAATTTTACTGAATTTGTATATATTTAATATACTTTGCAGGTTTAGGAGATTTTTTTTTTGGCAAAATTGGAAAGTAAAAATAATATGAGAAATTATGGAAAACAAAGTCCGTAGCTCTTAGTTATGATCACAACCATGAAAGGCGTATGTGATCTATTTGAGCCCAACTAACTACAAACTTAACTGTTATTTCAAAGGCAATAAGTGAAAATTTAAAAAGAAATTTAACATAAAAATAAAAATTACATGTTACGTCACTTGTGTTTATATTTATTATTTTCTTTATTTTTATGAATATTGAGTAGATTATCGACGCAACTTGAAGTCTTCATTTATACTCTCTAAACTTAGAGGGCTCTATATTTATCCTCCGAATTTGAAGGATTTATATAGAGTCCTCCAAAACTTGGATGAATATTTTCTTTTATATTTTAGGCTTAAATTTATTTTATTTTGTATACTTGATGTTTATTTATTTATTTTTATATATTGTATAATTTGTAAATTAAAATTTAAATAAAAATACTTATATTATAATAAATATAATATTCTTGTAATCTTAACTATTACTTTATTAAATTATTGTACAATATAAATAAATTAATATTATATAAAAAACAAATTACAACTTAAAATAAAATACAAACACAAATATTTATAAACAATTTTATTGATTATTATTAAAAGATATCAATATTGCATCATTTGGATTCATAGAAGTATTTTTTTGGTTAATATGTAAATACGTAAAAGTTAAATAAATTTGTTTGATTTTTTAAAATAAATTAATATACTATATAATATTGTTTGGGTTGGAGTGAGTTCAAAATTTAAAATAAAATTTAGAAAAAAAATAGTGATATAGATTGTAGATAAATGGTCTAATTCAATAGTTAAATGTCAATTTGAATAATATATATATATGTAATTTTACTTTTATTTGAATAAATAATATCAGGGTTGAATAGTTATATCTAGTGAAATTATACGATCGAATTTTATTGTAGGTAATAGTTTGAATTAGACTCTTTTAGATTATAATGTAATAAGACAATTTAATTTATATAATCGCACCTAAGGTTGTTAATCTAACTAGGGACAATTAACAATTATAACTAATTGTCTATACGATAAAAATAAATAAAAAAAAAAATTGATTGTCAGCGTTAATTTGTTAATGTCAATAAATAGTGTATAAATGATTATAATAATTATTTTTAGTTAAATTAATGATGAAATGCAAATTTCATTCTGGAGGATGTTGAAAAAAAAATTAACTGTAGATGTTAAAAAATTAAATGTGGGTAATTTCTACTTGGTACTATAATAAAAACTGCATTTAATTTTTTAAACCCCTTGGAGAAAAAAAATAAAAAATAAAAAATATAAAAACAAGACCAAGCTAGTGAGGTATTATAATAATTTCTTAAGAAAATCTTTCAATAATGAACAGACAACACAGGCAATTAGGCATAGCCCAACCTAGTTTAATAAATTGTCTTTAATATAACTAAAGTTTAGGTTGTGCTTGCTTGGAGATTTTATTTTTATTTTAATATTAAACTATATATTTTTTAAAAAAAATATAATATCAAACATATATTGTTTTTTATATTAAAATTTTTATTATTTAATTGAAAACCCAAATTTCCAAACAAATACACTCGAATGTACCAAAAATTTCTCTTAGAGGTTGTTTGGATTGTATTTGATTTGAATTTTTATTTAATTTTTAATATGATATTTTATATAAAAAAATAATATATTTTTATTAAAACTGTAACAACGGAATAGAAAAAATTGATTTGGATGCAAACCAAATAAAAACTAGATGTTTTTTGTATCATGGTGGCCTTAGATGGGCAATTATGATTCGAACGACAAAACAAAATTTCATCGAATTTAGCTTTTATACTCGAGGCAGGCCGCAGGCCATTGTTTGTTCAAATAACGTAGGCCTTTTGCTACATGGATTTTTGGCCTTTCGCTACCTCTTTTTGAATGATTTCAGTTGTCAATATTGGATCGACAATTCCCAAATTCTCAAGAGAAATATTGCCACAAATTGGAACAACCAGCTTCTCCTCTATAACTTGGTTAAAGTCTCTCCCAAATTCTTCCTTGATAACTTCGAAGACTTTAGTTTCAAAAATCTAAAACCAAGTGAATCAAACATGTTAATTTTCCTGAAATGTCTTAGGAAATCTCACCTCGGCTTCCAAAATTAATTAAGACTCGCAAGGGATGACAGCAATGTGGCATTGGGATTGATTTTGTAGGTTCCAAAACCGGTTCTGCCTTAGCCCCACCTTGTCTTGTACCCGCCGGGTTCAAGGCCAGCATGGAAAACTTGGCTTGCTCTATTCGGTAAATTTATGTAAGCTTATTTGGACAATTGTAGATTCATCTAGTATGCATTTAAAGAATAACAATTATAGATTCCCACGTTATAAATAGATAAATAAATAAAATAAGATGCTTGTAAGACCCAAGAAACGGAATAAAACTTAGTTCAATGGCTGCATTTGAGCTCCACAACAATGATGTTCGAACCCTTCTTGCCTCATCGGAGTTCGATTGGTTCATTTACGAAAAAATCAATTCTCATCTCAACAGCGCGACTGGCTATTTGAGTACATACCTTGTTCCAGCATCATGTCATATTATTTTAGGGCATACTTTATGATTCCTGAAAAATGAATGTTCAAAAGATAATCTCCCCATTGCACAATGCTTGGATCGAAGCCAAATGCACTAATATTTTCTTCGTTCCAACTCATTGACCTTCGCAAGCTTTCGGTGTTGCAATCGTCAAAGCTAAAGAAAAGAAATGATAAAGAATTTTTAGCTCTATGTGATTTAAATTAAATAATATGCAGTTATGTTACTAAAGATAAAAAAAAGATTGAGAAATTATTGTATACATTCCATTGGGGAACACATAGGGTTTGTAAAATTCTGCCAATTGCTTCACGTGATGAATAGCCCGCGTTGCTCTCGTGATTAACTCTTCGAAATAGTTGCATAAAAAGAAATTCAAAACCTTCATGATCTGTGAAAACATATAAAATAAAATAATAGAATTAAGAAAAAAACAAAATCGACGTCATCAATGCAAAATAAGAATGACAAGTAAATGAACTCACTATGATAAATGGCAAGTAGCGAAGGTTAAGATATATGTGAAATCTCGACATGGAGCTCAACAGAACCGGCTCGCCTACAATAACTTGTTTTCCTTTATGATCGACCATCGGATTTTTCTTCAAGAAACGATAGGATAGAGACAGAACCTCCTTAATTTTTGCAGGATTTCTTAAGGATGAACCAACTTGATAAATTTATGAGCTTATCATGAGATTGTTGGACCGAATGGTGTGACGCCACGGCTACCAACATAGCATTAACAACTATGTCACCTGGGATCTGCATTGTGTGTATATATTCAAGATATGATATTGGCATCGAATTTATGTACATTAAAATTCAATGGAATTATGAAAATATGTAGATGACATGAAGATCTTAAAATGCAAAAGTGAGAAGGAATATGATGAATATATAATTATGACTCAAATTATGTTAAACTTACTATGTCGACTGTACCATGTGGATTTCCGATGAAAACATTGGTCTTCCCTTTTCCGATAGCAGCAAAAATGGCATCAATAGTTCTGTTGTTAGATAACATTTAATCAGTACAAGGTTCAACGTTGTGTTTGGAAGAGGTTTTTTCTTTCCAAAACTTGTATATATTTATCACTTTTTTTTTCTCTCTCTTCAATCATACTTGTTCACTTTGGTTTTTTTTATTATTTTAAAGTAATTGTTTGACATGATTGTTTCTGTAAATAAATTTCAAAAAATATAAAAATGGTATATGTATACATATCTAGTAAAAAAGAATACTTAAAAGAGAATAAAGTGTTATTTCTCATTTAAAATCACATTCATTTTTATTTTTTAAATGTTGTTATTATTATTATTATTATTTTTTGTCATTCAAGTAAGCACCGCAAAAGTTTATTTCAATTAGAATTTACTATTTTCACACTCAAACTTATATAAAAAAACACAATAATGTAATATATATATATATATATATATTATCCAACTAAATTAGGTGTGTTTAATGGGTTTAGCTGGTGATATTTTTTGAGAATAATGTGTTTTTATATGGAATCATAAAGATTGAATAATAATGATAATAATAATAATAATAATAATAATAATAATAATAATAATAATAATAATAATAATAATAATAATCATAACCAAACACTAAAAAAACATAATATATTTGTAACGGAATTTCCTCCCTAAAGTTCACGTAGCTAATATATTTTCATCCCTAATTCCGTCTCTAATATCATTAGTAATAAAAAAGCAAGATTTAGAGGCAAAAAATTTTCGTTACAAAAATGTTATTAAAATAAGCACACAATAAATATTTACTATCAACTATAATAAATACTTTTAAAGATACCTTAATCCTTCTATCAACCGGGGAATGGATCTTTATAAGTACTTGTTATAATAGTTGGGCGGAATATAATCATTGTAGCATTTTCTTTGAATGTTCCTAAAAGCATCTCTCCAATTGCTTTTGTGAACACATATGTGTTTGGCCATCCATGCAACCTCGCCCTACCGAAATTAATAAACTTTATTACTAAACAATTTAGTTTTTAAATAAATAGTATTCGAGAAGTATTTGTTTATTTATTGTAGAAGAAATGTGTTACCTTTCGATTCCCAACTCCCTCGTCGCTGATGTTATTTCTTTTTCAGATGCATTTTGAGATCGAAGCTCCTTCAAACTCCATTTCATTATTTCCATCTCTTCGTCAATATCTAGTCGGGTAATTTTAGCTCCATTAAGTGTCTCCCCCATTCGAAAGGGTGTTTCTGTCAAGAGCCCTGACCTCGTACCATGCACATAAGCTATCGAATAATTTAAAATTAGAACTCATTAATTACTTCTTGTTACAACACACATTTAAATAGATAGCAATTAAAATCATTATAAGATATATAAATTAAATGTCAAATAAAAAATTCAAATTCAAATCAAAACCTTTTTCAAAACAATAAAAAGAAAAGAAAAGCAAATAAACAGAAATAACCTAAGTTTTAGTTTCAATAAATTTTAGTGTTTATTTGTATTTGTAATCTTAGATTTTTACTATTTAATTTAGCATTTCTTTCATTTATATATATATATATATATATATCAAATTCAATATTTATTTTTCACACGGACAAGTCCTATTTTCACCTAAAAACATCAAAACTAAAAAAAAAAAAAAAAATACAAAATATAAAATATGAAACAAAAATAAAGGCACAAGTGAGTAACTAGTGTGAAAGTACAAAGATGTGAAGAAAAATTAATCTCTAAAATTTCTTATTAGAGTTGGTTAATACTAGGGCTAGCTATAAACGGGTTACAAAACTTGTTATATAATCTGTATAATTCGTCTAAGTCTAAAATTTATAAATTTTAATTGAAAATTATATACTATATATTTCTTTTGTCTTAATTTAAAGTATTTTTTTTTTTACTATTTTTGTTTATCCACTCACAAATACTCATTTGTTTTTACAGTAAAATTAATCATACACTAACACCAAAATACTCTTAACTTTCATTTAAATTTCAAATATAACATTACATATACAATTACTTTATACAAAAAATCAAACGGTAAAAATGTCAAAATCTCTTACGTACTTCCACTAACCAATAAAATACTATTATTTCTTAATATACCACAAAACCCCAAAGAGCCCTTTCAAAAGGGACAGATGAAGTATTAAAGAAAAAAACATTTATTCATATCATGAAACCAATATTCAATAGTCGAATTAACAAACACCACACAATAGTATATAACACAAATATTAGATGGATTTTATTTTTCAATCTATTGAAAAAAAAAATTCAAAATCATTCCTTTGTTTAACCCCAATTTTGTTGGATTTTGACTTAAATTTTATATTTTGTATTTTTATAAAATGGCCGACAAATATTTGAGTTGGATTGATAAAATTTAAATAACATACTCCTTCTATGTCCCATAAGAAAAGTATCATGGGGATTTTTGCTTATTAATCTTTGAATAGTACTTATTATATTAATATATAGTACAAATTAAGAGAAAATGACAAAAATATATTTATTAGTATCATATAATACAAATATAATAACATTTGTGAAGTAATTATATAAATATAAGATATTTTTAATGTTAAATAGAATGACATAAAAAAAAAAAAAAAAAAAAAATTGCGTCTTTCTTATGGAATTGAGGTAGTATTTAAAATTAGAGTAATATTAATTAAACGGGTTATTATGTTGAAAATTTGGAACTAAACTTGACACATTTAATTAAATAGATTAAATGAGTTTGAGTCTATTATTAATTTGGTCAGGTTGAGATCGAATAATCAGATCTAGTTAATTTTTGTGGTTAATAAAAGCAACTCAACACCCTTTTAGCGTAGAGATAATTGAGAACGAGAAGAGGACCAAACCTTTTGCAAGGAAACCGGTGGCACCCGATATCAACACGGTCTTGCCTGCAAAATATTTGTAGGGAACGTCCATGTCGATGGAAGGCTATAGTACCACAATGTGATACAAATTTGTAGATTAAAAGAAGACACACACAAAGCAAAAAGGAATGATCTCTTTGATTTATAGTAGAAGAATTTCATTAAACAAACTATGAAAATTAATGCTGCAATTAAATGATCCTTAAGCACATGATGTCGTGGATTATCTACATCCATGCATATGAATGGTTAGAGTACTAATTAGTACTAATCGATATCGCGCCGAATCGGCACATCAAATATGTATTGTATAGATTGTTAATATGTAATTTTTTTTATTTTAAGTGTATTGTGTTAGCATATCTTTGATATGAATGATAATGTAATGCTCCGATTTTGAACTGTATTAAATAATATTATTATAGCAAATAAATATTTTTATAATATTTTGAAATCAAAAAATTAATATTTTGGAATAAATTTATTCTTATTTTGTATATTGATTATAATTATAGAATCAATTAAACGAATAAATATCGATAAGTATAAATATAAAATATGACATAAATATATATATATTTATATAATATAATATATATATGTTGAAAGTCGCGGAGAGGGGCGCGAAAGAGGTCCAACGCCTCCGAGTACCTTGCACAGCGGAACTGTGAAACGTTCGACGTAAACACAGCTTTACAATGTAGTTGTCTCGCGGTTATAGCAGAGGTGTGTGTTCATGCACGAATCGATGGCTAAATAAGTGCAGAAAGAAAAACAACACACCAAGTTTGTTTACCCAGTTCGGTTTTCCAACCTACGTCTGGGGGATTACAATCCAGGAGTCTTAACTAAACCAAACACTTGGTTTACACCATATAAGACACCAAACCGAACTACCCAACCTATCTTCTACCCAAGCTCCATTTAGTTTTACAAACTCTCATGGACTGGCTGTTACTCTACCGCAACAACTCCAGCAGGCCAGCGACCAAGCTAAGAATAAGGTTGTTTACCGGATGAATATCTTCTTCGGCTTCGACTCCAAGAATCCTTCTTCTCGTCTTCAATCCTCCATGGATGAGCTCTCTCAACACTCTAACAGGTGGAGAAAATACTTCTCTAAGTTCTGGTTGCTCACCCATGAATACAAACAAACATCCATATCAAATATATACACATTACACAAAAGACAAAAATTGACTGTGACAATTTTTGGGGCAGTGTGTTCAAGGTCATTTAATGCCATCCAGTATGAGAGGACAATACATGCAGCTTCTCCTGCGCGTCCTCTGTCCAATGCATATTCATTTGTCCTGTTCCATTGAGTGTAGAACACACAAGATGCATCCAAAAGCTGTAACTCGGTCAACTCTGCAGTTGGCAGATTTCCCGAAATGGTGTCAAACAGAACCTGCAACAACATCCTGCAACTTGCTCATATGCCAAAAGTAGAAACAAAAGGGTTTGGCAATTTTGAATATGCCAACAATATATATAGTAAATAAGTACATAAATTCACCCATTAGCTCGAGCAGAAGGAAAAATGCAGGCTTTTTCAAGCAGAGAGGAGTAGGGATGAAAGAAAGAGGAAGGAATAAAAAATAGAAAAAGATTTAGCCATTTAATTTCGATTCCGACTTCGGTATTGTATTTTTTGTTATAAGTAAAATTTAATTATGAATTTTAATATGAATTTCGATATTACGGATATTAAATTAGAAATTCTTCAAAAATTCATAACTGACTATTTGGTTATTTAATCGACGAATTGCTTTAGTTAATAGCCTATTCGTAGTCCTAGTGTTATGTGTTTGAGTTTAGATTTCGGGGACGAAATCTTTTTAAGGGGGAGTGAATTGTAATACCAAAATATCGGAATGTATTAAAGAATATTATTATAGAAAATAAATATTTTTAGAATATTTTGGAATCAAGAAATTAATATTTTGAAATAAATTTATTCCTATTTTTATATTGATTATAATTACAGAGACGTTTAAACAGATAAATATTGACAATGATAAATATAAAATATAATATATATATTAATATAATAATAATAATGATAGAGATGGATGATGATCATGATGTAAGTAATAATAATAATAAGGTTTAATAATAATAATAATAATAATAATAATAATAATAATAATAATATATAGTAAATAAATAAATAAACTCACCCATATAAACTCACCCATTAGCTCGAGCAGAAGGAAGAACGCAGGCAGAGAGGAAAGAAAGAGGAAGAAAAAAAAAAAAAAAAAGATTTAGCTGTCCGATTTCGATTCCTGTTATACTTGGAATTTAATTATGAATTTTAATATGAATTTCAATATTAAGGATATTAAATTAGAAATTCTTCAAAAATTCATAACTGGCTATTTGGCTATTTAATCGACGAATTTCTTTAGCTAATAGCCTATTCGTAGCTCCTATGAATAAGAATATAGCTTATTTGATTTGAGTAAATAATGGGGCAGGTGTACGTTAGAGGAGATTTGGGTGAAATTGCAAAAACTAGGGAGTGTCGATAAGAGGTAAGCAGTAAGGAATTAAATCTAATTTTAAGAAATTAGGTATGCATGTTGCAGGTCGTGTCTATTTTTGTCATATAATCTGTCTATTGTCATTTGTGCATTAAAGTTAATCTTTATGCAAGCTCGTCCTTCAATTCATTTTGGTGTAAACTTACCCCAACATGTGTGTTGATTTTCTACACATAAGATTTCAATTTCATTCGAATACTAAAAATATATAATAAAGGACTATTACACATATTGTATATGGCCTCCATAATGAGGTACAAAGGAATGAATACAATTCAAAGTCAATTCCACTTAGAATGTAATGACATTAGATCTTCCCCTAAATACACTTTAAATTTTAAATTCCTAGTAAATAATATATATATATATATATATATATATTGATCCAGAAACATGAGTATTCCCAAATCCAAACACCAACATGCAATAAAACATATATTGTGACAAATATTTCACTTGAGTACATGTTTTACCACTCCTGGCAAGTGAATGCCCATGAAGTACTCATCCCATTTGATGGTTTTGGGATCGAAATTGAACTTATCGACCTCGACCCCGTTTGCTACAGCAGCCCTTCTGAGTTTTTCAGCATTCATATCATCGAAACTGCACAAGATCAAGACTGAGTTATTTTGGGCAATGATGATTTGAATTCGATATTGCGCCTACTTGAACTCTAGTTTTCGGCACAAGTGTTTCTAGGACATGTTTTCCCCGTTGGCATTCACATGATAAGTTACTGAAAGTGCAAAGAGAAAACTCAAGATACACTTACTATCCTTTGTAGAATAAATACGGCGCGTAAAGCTCCACCAGTCGCAATACGAACTTGATCTTTCGGCACATGTCGACATACGTGCCTTGGAAGTATTGGCAGCACGCCGTGTTCAATATTTGTAGTCCCTAAAATACATTTTCGAAATTTTATTTAGTATGTCAAAATTCCCTTAAGGAGTATTCTTCTATAAAATGTAAGCTACAATTTAGCGCCAAGAACATACGAAATGTTAAATAGTGTGATTTGTCACTCTTCCAAAGTTTTTTTTTTTTTCAAAACAATAGAATTATTTTATACATAAAATTTAATAATGGGGTAGAGGACTGAGGATTCCTAGGAGGGCCGGTACTGAGCCCAGGCGAGAAGGACGGCCGTCCAAGGCTAAATATAAATAGGGATCCGTTGTATATTTATATTATATATATATATATATAACTCTTTTTATGTTCGTAAATATAAAAGGATGTAATTTTGTGGTGTACGGGTAAATCAGTAGCAAACCTTGAGCGGGAGTAAGTAGTGAATCGTCAAGTATCGCTGAAAACTCTCCATGGAATTCAAGACGGTAACATTGCCAACAATGACAGGCCGGCCTTCCTTGTTGATCCACGGATGCGTCATGAAGTATCTCTGGCCGTAGTTTTGAATTGTGGCAAACTCCACAGGGTTTGAAACAGAGGACCCGATATGGTAAATAGTTTCATTCGCCTGATTCGCATGCGCCACCATGGCTACTATCATCGCATTCACGACCATATCAGCCGGGATCTGCATTTAAGTTAATTTTATACATTTAGTAAGTCACATTTCACCTAAAATGCGCGATCCAAAAAAAAATGAAAAGAAAAATGAATAACTCACTAAATCGATAATTGCTTTAGGATCGCCGAGGAAGCATGATATTCTTCCTTTACCATATCCAACAGTTAAGCTATCAATTGTTCTGCGATTGATTTGCGCCAAATAAAATTAGTCGTGAAAAAAGAAAATGAGAGAAAATAAATGATCGATATAATAACTTGTATTGAAGCGAAAAATAAAATTGCTATTTAACTTGTTGCGTGTCGTGAAATTATTTTGTTACCTAACACCTTCGGCCCACCCCGGGAATGGGTCTTTGTAAGTACTCGTGACAATTGTAGGTCGAACAATTACAAGAGGTATGTTTTCTTTCAATTGTCCTAAGAGCATCTCTCCCATGGCCTTGGTGAAAACATAGGTGTTGGGCCATCCAAACTTCCTTGCCCTGTTGTAATAAAATTTCATGTCAAAAGAAATGTTAGCAACGTCAATTTAGATAGATATTTTTAGAAAATTTTAACACTATTCATCAATAGTAATTTTTTTTTTTTTTTTGGCATCTAATAGTCTTGATTTTTTATTATTTTCAAATTTTCGGAAACTCCAAAAATCTATATGTAAATGAGTTTTGTTTACTTATGTTTTTTAAATACTCAAGATAAATGTAATCCAATAGATATTATTTTAAATAAAAATGGGTTTTGCCCTAATGTCTTTTATATTCAACAAGTATATATGAGAATATAAAATATGTAATTGAGAATTTTTTCACATACTCTCTCTATCATACAAATTTATATTTACTTTTTCTAATGTTATGAAAAATATTAATTTGTTCTTTTTAGTAATTTTTTTCTTTATTATAAAAGAAAAAAAAATATATATATTTATGCATTTTTTTTAATAAACTCGATCAAATAAACATAAATTTCGATGACAAAATAGTATAGTTTCTTTTTTAGTATTTTGAAAATAGCTGTTTATTAATGAAAAGCAATAATGAATCAGCTGTGACTTTGCCTATACGTGAAACCTGTCTAAATGGGACATACAATAAATAGTTAAATGTGCAGAGTAGCTATGTTTGGCAGTTGGGCATTTAATAATGGCACCCTATCCACATTAATTATATAACTATTATAAATGCCTTCAACTACCAATTTAGAAAGTTTTAAATTTATTGCACTGTGAGGGCATTGCATATGGGTTTGTTCTTTTTTTTTTTTTTTTGAAAAAAATATAAATTATATAATATAATATCAAATTATTATTTAAATAAAACAATTCATTCAAAATACTAGATAAAATATTTATTGATATGAAATCAAAATTTTGTTTTAATATAAGCTTTTACTATTTTCAAAAATGGACCCTATGCCTAAACAACATACTATATTTGACGACCAAAAATTGAATTAATGTGACATGATTTTCCGCAATTTAAGGGCCCTTAAAGCGTGACTGATACTGACATAAATTGATTTTGGTGAATATTTATTGCAGATACAAACTGAAATTTAAAATAAATATGTCTATGTGAGGGTTTGGTAGAGGCTAAAACGTCCAAGAAATCAATAATCCTCAATTGATTTCTACTTGTTAATAATATTTAATTTAATTGTTTTTTTTTTTCTGAGAGAAACTAATATAGGTCAATGGTATGACACAACAACCTTTGTTCACCAAGAAAACCTAAATAGTTCAACTAATGAAGCAACCAAATAAAAAAAATAAATAATATAGTAGTATCAAAGATGAACATTTTGTATCTAAATAAATTTGTTTGGCTAACCTTTGAATTCCCAAATCTTTCATGGTTGATTTAACATAGTCTTCTGAACATTGTTCAGCCTTGAGTTGCTTCAAGGTATCGTCGATTAACTTCTTCTCCAAATCGATGTCCAGCCCAGGTTCCCCGTTTAGGGTTTCCCCCATCTTATAAGGGGTTTCGAGTATAAGTCCCGATCTTTCTCCCGCAACATAAGCTGGAATTTACATCGATAAATACACACACATTTTTAGGTCCTTCTTTTTAGAAGAAAATTTATAATGTGATTGAAATTAGAGATAAAATGGGTGTGTTCACTTTGTAGGAAAAATTACGTCGATAATAAAAAAATAATATTAATAATACCTTGTGTTGAATATTTATTTTTTTATGAGTAAATAAAAGTACATACTACCTTCGTCCTGAAAGAAGAGTAACGTTTACTTTTTTTTCACGTAGATTTTTAAATATTAGTATTATATTGGTTTATAGTTAAAAATATAAAAATGCCCCCGTTAGATTGTGTGATATAAAAGTAATGACATTTGTGTAATATGTTGAAATTTGTAAGGGTATTAATTATGTTAAATATGTAGTACAATTATTAAATAAAAAAATGATATCCTTGTTTTGAGATGGTCAAAAATGAAAAATTGTATCTTTGTTGTGAGACAGATGGAATATTATTTTTACTAATATCTAATGTCATAAAAAATAAATAAATAGTCAGGTGACCAAACATATGGATGATGAATAAATTGTTATTATTATTATTATTATTATGAGCAAAATAAATTAAAATCGATGGGCTTCGTGATAAAATAAATGCTAAATCATAAATGCAAGAACTAACAAATAAATAAATAGTTAGAAAGTTATGGACATATAATTTAAAAAATAAAAGGGCACTAACCAGTCGATACATGCAAGTGAACCTTTAACTTGTTGCATTTCTTGGAAAAATTTAGAACATGCATAGCTCCCAGTGTATTTATTCCCATTGAAACGTCGTATCTGCGAGCCAATCAAATAAAATACACAGATTTAACTTTTGAGCTTAATTTTTTTAATAAAACTTATTTTAAATAAAAATAAATAAAAATATTGAATACAAATTCGACCTTTCATCGAAGTTGGTATTTGCAGCCAAATTAATCACAACATCGACCTCATTCCACATTTCCTCCAACAAAGATGCATCTTTTACACCCATATTCTCCGTAGTAATATCCCCGGCCACAACTCGAACCTTTTGCGCAAGCAACGAATTTAAATTTCCCGCACAATTTTCTTTTAGGACCTTGAATAACTCTTTGGCGATCACCTATAAAAGATCGAAATAATAAGCACAACATTAATCTTTTTTTCTCCAAAATTTTATGTTAGCTTATTATTATACTAAACATTAAAAAAATCATTATGTGTGTACACACACATGCACTTTCAAAAAAAAAAAGTCATGTTAATGAAACAGAGTTTGAAAAGAAAAATAATATATTTTTACAAGAAAATAGTTTTAAAAAAAAAATCAAAGAGAAACAGAGCTTTAAAATCCGAGAAAACATCTATGTATATATATATATATGTTATATTATGTGATTATTCTCCAAAGTAAACACACTTTTAAGCCATTTTCAACCCATAAATTCTATTTATGCAGACTTAACTAAAAAATATAGTTACTACAGTATCTTTACTCTAGTTCAGAATTTTATTTTATATTTCAAAAGGAATATTCTTCGATTTTATATATTATTTTAAATTATTTTTTATATTTATAATTAATATTATCTTTATTAAAAAAATTAAAAAGGAATGAAAATGCCAAAATTGGTATTGCTACATTTTAACAACACTGGAATTGACGTTGCCCCGTAGCAATGCCAAATTTTAACGGTCGGTTTGCGGGCAACTGAGCACAATATACAAAAAAATGAAATTGCTAAACACTCCAAAAGTTTAAATCAATTAAATTTGCGGCCGGACCTCGTTGTTAAACCTTAGGGCGGCCGTCTTAGCATCGGCTGCCCTAAGAAGAGCATAAAGCTTCTTCACATTGGGTTGCACCCTCAGTATCTTCTCAATAAAAACTGCAAATAAATTAACATGATCACAATACAAATTATATTTCAAAATCTCTGACATATATATAGGACATGAAATTATAAAAATAAAATAAAATAAAATGAATCACATACTCTTTGCAAGAAAGCCAGTGGCACCAGTGACAAGAATAGACCTATTCTCCAAGAACCCAATAATGCTGCCAAACTCCATTACACAATCTTCAAAGGATTTAAAGTTTTAGGGTTTTTTTTAGGGTTTGAGTCGTCGTCTTCGATATGTATATCTATATATATATATAAGGATGAAAGTGTGTTGGTGTATGGGTGTGCCTAAAGGAAAGATGATGAGAGAGAGAGAGAGAGAGAGAGAGAGAGAGAGAGAGAGAGAGAGAGGGAGAGAGATGAGAGAAATGGGATGGAGAAATGTGGGGTTTGGGGGGAGATATAAATAGTTTGAATATGGAAAAGAGTGTACGCAAGTCCTATTGGGTAGATCGACATTGGTGGGTTTTGATTTTTGACTTTTCTTGCTCTTATTGCATTTGGATTCTTTTATATATATAGGTATATGTATATATGTATATAGTATAAGATATGTGTGTATGTGCACGATCTGACATTCAACTTCAACTTCAACTTCAACCAGCTTCATCTTAATTAGGCCAGCTAATTAAATCATGTCATACACCCGCGTATACACATGTACATATACGTGTTTTCTAAAATACATGACAAAAATGTTGTGTTTTTTTTTTTTTTTTTGGTTATGTATAATTGTTTTCGTCTACTTAACTAGTATAATTTTTTTTTACTTTTATTGTTTAAATACAAAATAATTATTTTTTTTTTTAATATGTATGGACTCTATTGTACTCCCTCCGTCCCATGTAATATAGATGTATTACTGTAAACACGAGAATTTAGGTAAAGTATAATTAGTAAGTAATTAAGAAGTGTATTAGTAAAAATAATTATTATTTAGTAAAAATAATTATAGATTAAGATTAAGATATGTAAATAGTTTAATTAAAATTAAGAAAATTATAAAATTTAAAATTTAAAATGCGATTAAAGTACATAATTATATCCCAAAAATAAAAAGGACAAGTTATGTGGGACGGACAAAAATAGAAAATAAGAACAAATTACGTGGGACGGACAAAAATAAAAAATAAGGACAAATTACGTGGGACGGACAAAAATAAAAAATAAGGACAAATTATGTGGGACGGAGGAAGTACATTATAAGGGTGGAGATCCTGCATCATAGTGCTAATTTGATCGGATCAGTATTTATTGTCTATAGTCCGCATATGTTTATACATATTTCAATATATATTGTATTATATGATAACATACACTACAAAAAAATAATATATTTGTAACGGAATTCCGTCCCTAAAGTTCACGTAGCTAACGTAATTTCATTCCTAATTCTGTCTCTAATGTCATTAGTAACGGAAAAAGTAAATTTAGAGACAAAAAAATTTTGTTACAAAAATGATTTTTTCTTGTAATGATATGATAAGTTGTAATATAATATATTATTTATTATAAATATGTTGAAATATATATAAATATATATTGGTACTGGATTACAACTGATCTATGCCCATATTGTAATACTCTTACTTTCATACTTATTTGCATCAATATTTGTATACTAAATTTACACGTGATGAGAGTAAAATAGTCTTAATATATAAAAAATTTCATCAACTATTGTTAAAATATAATATTTATTAAATTTCGTACAAAATATAAATATTTATTTTCTAAATAGACAGAGGTAATATTGTTTATCATTTTAGTTAAGAAAATACATTAGGGGTGTGTTTGTTTGGGGGTTTGGATTTTGGATTGGGATTTGAATAGTAAAAATTTTGAATTTGAATAGTTGTATGATGTGATATAAATAGGGTTTGATGTGATGTTTTGAATGTAAAATTGATTTTTAGTATAATATAAAAAATGAAAAATAGGTGTTTGATTTGATGTTTTTGGGGGAAAAAAATTGGATGAATAGTAGAAATCCTTCAAAATCCTTCAAACAAACACACCCTAGAAAGATGAGGTTTTTCTAGTGTATGTTAAATATTATTGTTTATTATTTTAGATATTTAAGTGAAAGACAGAGAAATAATCTTATATATAATTTACCTTCGTAGAATATTATCATGTGTGTTAATATGTATTAGTTATGCGACAATTTTTCAGGATCAAAGATTAACATAGGTTTAATTTTGTATGTTTATCAAAAATATATTTGTAAATTTTTATATATATATATATATAAAAAAAAAATCAAACATACGCGCCAATATTTTGAATGGAAATTGTCACAAGTATTGATTGTGTCATGTGATTATGTGATAATATTCTAATATTAATTAGATTACCTTTCCATTAAATATAGAATTATATTTATATATACTTTATTAAAGGACTAAAAGTGATAGGGTAACCAAAAAAAAAAACAACAAACATTAATTTATTCCTAAAATAAATACTCTCTTCGATCCAGATACCGTATCTGCTACACTGTAGACACGGTATTTTAGGAGGGGTATAATTAGTAGATAATTAAAAATATATTAGTGAAAATAATTATCATATAATATAAATAATTATAAATTAAGATTAAGATAACTAATTAGTTTAATTAAAATTTAAAAAATAAAATTTAAAAATTTAAAATGAGATTAAAGTGTGTAATCATTTTCTAAAAAAGGAAAGTCACATGGTATGTGGGACGGACAGAAACGGCAACGTGGACATGATATCTGAGACGGAGTGAGTATCAATTTATATATATTCATTTTGCTTTCTACCCGGATTTATATATGGCTTATTATTCTTTTTGGTCGGGAATATCTTTTGTAAAGATTTCTGAATTGAGTCATTAATTGTATGATTTAATTGAGCCATGGCCAGTATGTCGGTTTGTTTACTTTTGATTTTACATTCATTTTTACACTCCAGTAAATATATATAATTTTTTTTTTTCTTCTAAGGCGTGTCACATCAAATTTTTTTTATTTTTTTTCAGTTTTTAGTATTTTTTAAATAAGCTAAAATAATACCATACTCTAAAACAAAGAAATAAAATAAAATGAAAATTTGAAAAATCGAGAATAGTTAGGGTGTTGATTTAGGCTAATCAACACCATGATGAATAATTCTAAAAATATTTTTGGTTTATTTACATATATTGTCTGATTTATTTTTATTTTCTGATTACGATTAATTTGATCTATTTTTATTTGTTGATTAAGACAAACCATACAACATATATTCTGTTAATATATATTGTTCTAATTTTTTATTAATGTGTTAATATATATTGTGCTAATATAAGTTAAATATATAGTGTGTGAATTATTGTTATATATTATCGAATAATGTACTGTATTTATATTATATTAATATATATTTTATATTGTTTGTTTATATCTTTTGTACTTTTGGTTTATATTATGTGTGGTGTCAGCAGTGTGTTGATTGTTTATAAGTAGTCGGCATAATATCAGTCGCCACTACAAAAAAACAATTAAGTAGCGAAGGAATTTAGAGTTCTAAATTTACTTTTTTTGTTATTAATGGAATTAGAGAGACAAAAGTTAGCGACGAAATTTATTCCATCCCTAAATTTCGTGGCAAATCGTTAATAAAGGACGCTTCCTCTGATTACGTCTGTATTTCCATCGCTAATAGGGATAAAAATAAATTTCATCCCTAATTTCCGTTACAAAAATATTGTATTTTTGTACTGCGCTTGGAAGTTGGAACCTGAGGAAGTAAAAGTTGAGTGATTTGATTCTTTAAATGAGGTAAGGGTCTGTTTTTTTTTTTTTTATTATTATTATTGGTTTGAAAAAAAAAATTGTTTAAGTTTGATATTAAAATAATATTTGATACATATTTTATGAAAAAAAAAATTTTATTTTAAAAAAATACAGAGTTTAAATAGTAAAATCTAAAGTTTGGGTAAAAAGAACCAGACCCTTTACATTAATTATTATATTTGTGTTCTTGATATTGTATTCATGATGAAATGTAAAGAAAAACTTTTGAATTTGTTTATTTGTGTGGGTCTATTGAAGACCCCTTCAATTATATTTAATCTCATTCATTTGATGTAATTAATTATATTATGTCATTGTTCTCATCATTTATAATATAAAAAATGGCTTTAGCATGCATGAAATCAATCATAAATAGTAAAAATCTTGTATTTCATATATTAGTTTTCTTTGGCTATTTATTCATAATTGTTTTAATAATTATAATTTATATTATTTAAATTATTATATCAAAATTTTATTTTTTTAAAAAAAAAAAAATCAAAACACTACAAAACTCAAACAAGCACACGTTAATTACTAATCAAATTATTAAAGGAAAAAACAATTATTTTCAAGGTGAAGGTTTATCATTTTTTGTTAAGACGAAGGTTTATAATTCTCTCGTCCACTTAATAAGTTTACATTTACTTTTTGTCTCTTTGTACTTAACATTAAAAATATTCTTATATTAGTATAATTTTTTGTATAAACGTCCTTCTATTACTATTATAAGACACTAATAGGAAATATTTTTATTATTTTTTTTTATATATATACTATGTTTTGATATAATAATTTAATATTCAAGTATCAAACGTTTAAAAAACACATGTACACGCGAAAAACACATGTAAACTTTCACTTTACAAGTTAATAATAATAATAATAATAATAATAATAATTTATACATTATTTAAATTATTAGTATAAATTAAGATCGCAGACAGTGTGATGGGAATGGTCCAACAACTTGTATCAAAATGCAACAGTCCATTTCTCTCTGTCCACATTAACTTAATTTAATTTAATTTCTCCCAAAACCTTGTCATGCAATTTATGCCAACTCAATTTGGTCAACCACACCTCTCTCTATATATATATATATATATATATATATAGAGAGAGAGAGAGAGAGAGAAGGAGAACAGCTAGGGTGTTTGTCATATACTAGGCCGGTTCCTTTGTCGCGAATTCGGGCCCAATCCCACCATGCCTATACAAGTCGGGGGTAGCATTTTTCAATTAAATAATTCTTCATAAATATTATTAAAAAAATAAAAATATATACATATTAATATAATATATATTATCTATTCATAAAAAATCAACTGTTCGACACAAAATATATATATTTTTTATGTTACTAATATAATTTTTCATACTACATGTAAAAAAATCAATTTATCTAAAAATACTAAATTAATTGTATATATATATACATCTACTGTATGTAGGCACAACGGGATAGGGCCCAAATTTCGGGACAAAAAATCCGGTGAAAAAAATATTTTATCCGTCCACAAACTAATGTCCTATTTTTTTATTTGGGACGTCCAACAACTATTGTCATGTTTCCTTTTTTTTTTTTAAACACGAATT